CCCCCTCCCTCCCTCCCCCACCAAGAGCCCCTCCCTACCTCACATCCCGTTGAACCCTTACCAGGCCCTACCTCTACAGCCCGACCACCAAACCTACACTCCCGCCCCGCTCCTGCACCTCCACAGGGCCATGGGAGCGGTCCAGCCCACTCACCCCCATTCTGCCCCTCCCGTGCTGTGTCCCCCTCCCAGGTGGCGGCGGCCGCGATCGCTACTGGGAGGGAGGCCGTCGGGTTGAGGGATGCGCCCATGGCAGACGCCACCGACTCCCCTCCCATCCCTCCCACCCCTTCCATGTCGACGACCCCCTACCGCAACCCATGGTGATTGGGGAGGGCCAAGGGGGCCTTCTAGGGCAGGGTCCCACCCGAGCTCCGCTCAGCCAGCACGCCCCACTCCACCCTCTACCCTGCCAGCCCTCCTACTCTCACCTACAGGCAGGCAGGTCTTCGAGACCCCAGAGGAGGTGAGGGCTGGCATTTCAGATTTGCTGGCGATACACCGCCTGAGCAGCTCTCCGGCTGCCCCCCACCCTTCCAGTCCCACAGGACCGGACCCGGACGTATGCGGAGGTCACCCGGTCTGTCCCTTCTTTTATCCCCCCCGCCACTCAGCTAGGCGCGTCACTCCCGACCCCAATGGAGACGGACCGGGTTCTGAGGCCGTGTCACTCGCACCTAGACGGGGTGGCGCCTCCCCCCGTTCAGCCCGTGGCGCAGGAGGTCACCAGCAGTAGGGATGAGGCATCCGCCCCTACCGAGACCCCTCCGCCTGGGGTAGCAGAGCCGTCACTTGAACCGCACCCCGCCGAGGGGCAGGAGCACACCACGGCACACACTTCAGGCTCACCTCCACGTCCCCCCTCCCCAGCTTCGACACCGGTACCGGCACGAGGCCCGGCCCTATCCTGTGCGACACCACCTCTATCTTCGCTGACACCCCCCCCGCGCGGGGCTGGTGAGCCGTCTCCTCCCCTCATCCCAGGCGATCCTCTCGGAGCTCAGGCTGCCCACGGGGTCCCCTCTACAGCCAGTTCCGACGCCACGGCCCCGATTGACCCCGCCGACACGGCGACATCACCCGACCAGGTCATGAGTTGCCCCACCTGCAGGAGCTCTCTCGCGAACCGACGCGCGCTCCAGCACCACATTCCCTTCTGCCATCCTGCGGACGCGGCTCGCAGGGCGCAGGCTGCCCATGATACCGCCTCGATCATCCCTTCCCTCTCACAGCCCCGTGCGACCGGGATGCAGTTCACCGACGCACAGTGGCAGACGCTTGACTCGGTGGACTGGACAGAGTACTTCTCGCCCGAGCGTATCCATACACGCCCTCTCCGACGTGTCCCGGAGAGGGTCCGCGGAGGATATCTTGACGTCCTCAGTGCGATCCTAGTCCGCATTGCCCAGGACCCGGAGGCTGCTGGCCCTACCTTCCTCCTCGCTGCAGCGCCGACTCTTTTCCTTGTTCCAGCGACGCCACCCGACCGCTCGCACACGGCTGCCATTGCAGCGCGCATCTCCCGCTTTGGTCGAGGTGAGTGGGCTGAGCTAGTCTCAGATGCACTAGGCCGTCGCACACCCCTTCCTCGGCGCACAAGTCACCGGTCACGCACCGCCACCGATCCCTCTACAGCAGATGAGCGCCGCATTGCACGTTGCCTTCGTTTGGCAGCGTGCAATGCGACCTCACGGGCGTGCTGCGGGCTCTCGAGTCCGCGGAGGCAGCCCCAGATACACAGGGGACGATACAGCGCCTGCAGTCGAAGCACCCCAACGCGGAGAGGCCGACCCCAGCTTGGCTGTATGGCTTCCAGGGGTCCCCTCTTGTGCTCTCGGTGGATCACTTACGCCGCGCGATTTTCACAGCTCCGCGGGGCTCTTCCGGGAGGACCGTCCGGTTGGGTCGCTGAGCACCTGCGAGACACTTTCTTAGCTTTCCCTCAGAGTCTCCATTTCCTCCTGGCCGTGTACCAGCAGTGGCTCCGAGGCCGTTGCGCTCCAGCTGCACGCTCCTTGCTAGCGTCTTCCACCCTCGTGGCCTCTGGCGAAGTCGAACATGGATGTTCGGCCGATTGCCATCGGCGAGGTTTTGGTCCGCATTCTTTCTCGTGCAGTCTGTCTCCAGCTACGTGACCAGATGGCGAGGGTCTTCTTGGCGTCACAGCCGTTTGGGGTGGGGGTTATGTGCGGGACAGAGGTCGTAGTTAGAGGCGTCCGCCGCGCCCTGGCTGACCACCCAGACTGGGTGGTCCTGCAGCTAGACGTGGCGAATGCCTTTAACTCTTTCCACCGAGACAGGATGTTCCAGGCGCTGCAGGCCAGCCCGGAGTTTCAGTGTCTGATCCCCTTCATCGGCCCTCTTCTACGGGTACGCCCTCGGATCTCCACTACAGGTCAGGCACGGGAGTGGTCACGATGCACTCGGAGCGGGGCACTCGCCAGGGAGACCCTCTCAGCCCCTTCTTGTACGCTCTGACATAGCGTCTTGCTTTGGAGCCGGTTCTGGCGAGGGGGATTTCCAGCTCTGGTCGTACGCCGATGACACGTACGTGCTAGGTCCCCCAGCCAGGGTGCTGCACCACTTTGCCGAGATCGTGAGGCGCTTGGGCGAGATGGGCCTTGCAGCCCAGCCGCACAAGTGCCTCGTCTACCAGACGGAGTCCTTTCTGTCCAGGGATCTGGAGGCTTTTCACGGGCCTAGGGATCGAGGTCGCACGCCGAGGGCTCACCGTGACAGGCGTACCGGTAGGCACCGTTTTGTTCGTGGAGCAGAGTCTCCCGGATCGTCTCGAGAGGATGGGGGGGTGCTACCTTGGCTTCCGAGGTTGCGCCAGCCCCAGACAGCTGCCCGCCTCCTTTCGGCGTGTCGTCAGCACTCGTCCGCAGTACCTGTCGAGGACCGTCCCTCCTTCGCCCGCAGTGATCTCCAGTTTTACACGGTGGGACGCACGCCTGGGAGAGACATTTCAGCAGCTTTTAGCTTCAGGGACCTGGGCTTGTCGCGAGGACGTCCGAGAGGCCGCCCTAGACCAGATCTTCCTCCCCATCCGTCTCGGGGGTTTCGGCATTCGTCGCATGGCGCGCATTGCCCGGTGAGTTTCGTGTGCTCCTGGGTGCAGTGTGCACCCATTCTCTGTTCTCTCCCTGCGTGTGGCGAGGTGTTTCGGCAGAGCTTTGCTTCAGGTGAGCCAGAGCAGATCGACCGGGCTCTGCAGACGGCGCTAGAGGGTCTCCCACCTGACGTTCTCTCTCTCCTTCCCCCCTGGCCCTCTTGCACTTCTGCCTCCCCCGATTCCCTTTTTGCAGGAGCGAGCCGTCTTCTGGAGGCGCATGCCTTGGAGGCCGTGCGTGCCCGTCACGCCTCTCCCTTGCACCTTGCCCGTTTGACTTCCCTTCAGGGCGGAGGTGCAGGGGCGTGGTTGACGTCGGTGCCGTACGCCGACCCACTGCGCATCCCGGAGGCGCTGTGGCAGGCGGCTTCATCTTCTCGTCTTGGTCTCCCTATCCCCACAGTTAGCCCTTGCAGGTTCAGTGCTCCTGCGGACAGGCGATTGACGACATGACGTGCCTCATCACGCGGTTCGGTGCCCGCGCTACGGGGTCGCCACTACCATCCACGACACGGTGAAGTACATGCTTCGAGACTTTGCGGTCGAGGCGGGCTTCGCGGTAAAGGTGGAGGACTCTACGCTGTTCACACAGTTGGAGGCGGCTCGAGCGAGACTACTGGGGACAGCCAGTGGTGGAGAGGGGACACGGGCTGAGGGACCGGGGGAGCGGAGAGGCGAGGCGGGACAGCCGGGTGGCGGGGGACAGGGGGGACGGCACCAGCTGCGGGGTCAGGTGGAGCGAGGGACAGGTGGGCAGAGGGGACGGCAGGGGGAGCAGACGGGCCAGGACGGGGAGGGGGGACGGCACAGGCAGCAGCAGGAGAGCCAGTGGAGGCCGCGGGCCCAGGGCGCCGCGCCTCCAGGTTCGGCCTCGGGGGCGGGGCAGGGGCGGGAGCAGCAGAGAGCGGACGGAGGTACAGGAGAGGCAGCGGGATTGGGAGGGGAGGGCCAGGGAGTGAGAGAGGCAGCAGGGGATGGAGCAAGGGGGTCGGGAGGTTTGGGGGAGGGTAGAGAGGGGGAGGGGAGAGGACAGGTGGATGGAGGAGAGGAGAGGGGGAGAGAGACGATCGGAGAGGGGGCACCAAGGGACCAGACAGGGCAGCAGCCAGCGCAACAGCAGGGACCAGTCGGACGCACAGGCCGTGTAGGCACCGCCTCCCGCATTCCAGATCTCACCTGCCGCGACGTTGGCCAGGGTCTGATGGTTCTTGTGGATGTCTCCATAGCGGATCCACAGCGGGAGGGGAACGTGCAGCTGAGACGGGCGACCCCCACACAGATTGGAGTGGCAGCAGCTAGGCGGGTGCAGGAGAAGCTGCGTCACTGGGGGCCGCACTTAGAGGGGCTGCAGCCGGCACCACACTTTTACGCGTGCGTGGCGGAGACCTTTGGCCTTCTGAGTGAGCCGATGCGTCAGTTTCTGGAGCTCTGCGCAAAGAGGATAGCACAGCGGAGGAGGGATAGAGGTGGGGGGGATGACGGATCGGCACGGACATTTGAGGCAGGACTCACTACACGCCTCTCCGTTGCACTGCAGCGCGCGCAGGCTCAATGCATGATCCAGCATGCGGTGCGGCAGTTAGGGAGGTCCGACGACGGGTGGATGCCCGCACCAGTCCCACTGGGTGCGGGGCAGGGAACTTGGCACCACGTCACAGGGTGCTTCGAGAGTGTGGCTGATATGCAGTATATATATGATGCATACGTGTAAAAAACAATAGTGGCTGTGCTTGAAACGCTGTGCCCGTGCGGTCGTGCGGGTTGCTGCCGTGTTTGGTCCTTTGGTGCTCCCTCCTCCTTAGTCTCTCTCCCTCTCTCCTCTTCTCTTCCCACCTCCCTCTTTCTGTTCCCTTCTTCTATCCTTCCCTTCTCTTCCTACCACCCTCTTCCTTTCCCTACCACTTCTTCTTACTCCTTCATCTTTCCTTCCTTTCCTTTCTTTCCCCCTTTTCCTACAAAATATATATACCGTCCTCATAGCGATTAGGCTATGTCGAAATTTCCTAGTCTTGGAAAAACCATTATATTCGGCTTGTATTTGCTCTTCCCTTATTAATGAATAACTGCTCTCGCCCACCGGTGCTAAGCTTCGGAGTTCTGATGGGATCCGGCGTAGTAGCCGAGGTATGATCGTACCACGTCAACCCCGTGCCCCGACCGGTACACACCCCTTGCCCGGGTCCCTCCTTCATAGTCACACCCCCTGCCCCCTCATGCCATCCGCTCCCCCCGCCCCTACCCTCCGCGTGCCCGCTCCCTTGCCGCCTCTTTTGACCCTCCCTGCCCCCCTCGCCGTTTCCCACCGCCCGCCATTCGCTCCTCCCCGCCCGTGCGCTCTCCTCGCTTACCTTCTCCTCCCCCCTCCCCTCCTCTGCTGCACGCCTCTTCCTTCCCCTCGCCGACCCACTCCACTCCCTTGCCCCTCCTCAATCCGCACCCTGCCCCTCGTATCTCGCCCCCCCTATGCTTGGTTTCTCCCCTCCCTGCTCCTCGCCGCCTTTCTCCGCCCCCCACCTCCCCCCTCTCCCTGCCCCCCCCACTCTCCCCCCCTTGCCCTTGGCTTCCTACCTCCCTGCCCCACCTTTCCCCCCTCTGTGTGCTCAGCTTCTCCCCCTCCCTGCCCCTCCCTCCTCCCCGCCCTGCCCCTCGTTTTCCGCCCCCCCACACCCGGTTTCTCCCCTCCCCGCGCCTCCCTTTCTTTCTCCGTGCCTCTCCTTTGCTCCCTCCCTGCCCCCGCCTGCCCATGCCCCTGTCTTTGGCTTCTCCCCTCCCTGCCCCACGTTTCTTCCCTCCCTGCCCTCCCCCTCTGCCCCTCCCTTGTTTTCCCCTCACCCATTGCTTCTCCCCTCCCTGCCCTTGTTTCCTACCATCCATGCCCCTCGTTTCCCCCCCTTTTTACGTTCAGCCTCTTCCCTCCCTGCCCCTCCCTTCCTCCCCCCCTGCCCTTTGCTCTCCCCCTCGTTACGCTCCCTTCTCCCCATCCCTGCTGCCCTCTTACCACCATCAGCCCATCCCCACCCCCAGCCCCCCTCCCACCCTTCTCTCCCCCCCTCCCTTTCCCTCTCTCTCTTTCTCACACACACACACGCACACTCCCCTCCCCCACCCCCCCACCCACATCCTCCCATTCTGCCCCTCCCTGCCCCTTTCCCACCCCCTCGCACGCCCCTCACCTCCCACCTCCGTGCAACTGGTTTCCCCCCCTATGGTGCCTCCCTTGCATCGCTCGCCCCTCTGCTCACCCTCTGCCCGCCCCTTTTCCGTGCCCTCAGCTGGCCCAGCCCCTGCCCGTTGCTGCCCCTCCCCTTGCCCCCTCAACTCCCCTGCCCCCCGTACACCCCAGTCCCATCCAACCGCCCCCACCCTCCCCCGGCTGCCCGTTTCCGCTCTCCACCCCCGCGACCGTGCGCGGCTTCCAACCGCCCAACGGTGGTGCGCACGGGGCGTTTCTTCGCACGGGCAAGCCTCCCCGGGGGCCCCCCACCCCGCTGGGTCGTTGTTCGGGCAAAAAAACGAAAATAAAAAAATCGGACGCGCTGAAATCGTCCTTTCTTTTTCCCGCTTGCCCCTCCCCCGGCACGTGCCGAGCAAGGGGCATAAATGGGTACAACACGAGGACTTCCCGGGAGGTCACCGGTCACGCACCGCCACCGATCCCTCTACAGCAGATGAGCGCCGCATTGCACGTTGCCTTCGTCTGGCAGCGTGCAATGAGACCTCACGGGCGTGCGCGGCTCTCGAGTCCGCGGAGGCAGCCCCAGATACACAGGGGACGATACAGCGCCTGCAGTCGAAGCACCCCAACGCGGAGAGGCCGACCCCAGCTTTTGCTGTCTGGCTTCCAGGGGTCCCCTCTTGTGCTCTCGGTGGATCACTTACGCCGCGCAATTTTCACAGCTCCGCGGGGCTCTTCGGGAGGACCGTCCGGTTGGGTCGCTGAGCACCTGCGAGACACTTTCTTAGCTTTCCCTCAGAGTCTCCATTTCCTCCTGGCCGTGTACCAGCAGTGGCTCCGAGGCCGTTGCGCTCCAGCTGCACGCTCCTTGCTAGCGTCTTCCACCCTCGTGGCTCTGGCAAAGTCGAACATGGATGTTCGGCCGATTGCCATCGGCGAGGTTTTGGTCCGCATTCTTTCTCGTGCAGTCTGTCTCCAGCTACGTGACCAGATGGCGAGGGTCTTCTTGGCGTCACAGCAGTTTGGGGTGGGGGTTATGTGCGGGACAGAGGTCGTAGTTAGAGGCGTCCGCCGCGCCCTGGCTGACCACCCAGACTGGGTGGTCTTGCAGCTAGACGTGGCGAATGCCTTTAACTCTTTCCACCGATACAGGATGTTCCAGGCGCTGCAGGCCAGCCCGGAGTTTCAGTGTCTGATCCCCTTCATCGGCCTCTTCTACGGGACGCCCTCGGATCTCCACTACAGGTCAGGCACGGGAGTGGTCACGATGCACTCGGAGCGGGGCACTCGCCAGGGAGACCCTCTCAGCCCCTTCTTGTACGCTCTGACACAGCGTCTTGCTTTGGAGCCGGTTCTGGCGGAGGGGGATGTCCAGCTCTGGTCGTACGCCGATGACACGTACGTGCTAGGTCCCCCAGACAGGGTGCTGCACCACTTTGCCGAGATCGTGAGGCGCTTGGGCGAGATGGGCCTTGCAGCCCAGCCGCACAAGTGCCTCGTCTACCAGACGGAGTCCTTTCTGTCCAGGGATCTGGAGGCTTTCACGGGCCTAGGGATCGAGGTCGCACGCCGAGGGCTCACCGTGACAGGCGTACCGGTAGGCACCGTTTCGTTCGTGGAGCAGAGTCTCCCGGATCGTCTCGAGAGGATGGGGCGGGTGCTACCTTGGCTTCCAAGGTTGCGCCAGCCCCAGACAGCTGCCCGCCTCCTTTCAGGCGTGTGTCAGCACTCGTCCGCAGTACCTGTCGAGGACCGTCCCTCCTTCGCCCGCAGTGATCTCCAGTTTTACACGGTGGGACGCACGCCTGGGAGAGACATTTCAGCAGCTTTTAGCTTCAGGGACCTGGGCTTGTCGCGAGGACGTCCGAGAGGCCGCCCTAGACCAGATCTTCCTCCCCATCCGTCTCGGGGGTTTCGGCATTCGTCGCATGGCGCGCATTGCCCCGGTGAGTTTCGTGTGCTCCTTGGGTGCAGTGTGCACCCATTCTCTGTTCTCTCCCTGCGTGTGGCGAGGTGTTTCGGCAGAGCTTCGCTTCAGGTGAGCCAGAGCAGATCGACCGGGCTCTGCAGACGGCGCTAGAGGGTCTCCCACCTGACGTTCTCTCTCTCCTTCCCCCCTGGCCCTCTTGCGCTTCTGCCTCCCCCGATTCCCTTTTTGCAGGAGCGAGCCGTCTTCTGGAGGCGCATGCCTTGGAGGCCGTGCGTGCCCGTCACGCCTCTCCCTTGCACCTTGCCCGTTTGACTTCCCTTCAGGGCGGAGGTGCAGGGGCGTGGTTGACGTCGGTGCCGTACGCCGATCCACTGCGCATCCCGGAGGCGCTGTGGCAGGCGGCTTCATCTTCTCGTCTTGGTCTCCCTATCCCCCAGTTAGCCCTTGCAGGTCAGTGCTCCTGCGGACAGGCGATTGACGACATGACGGTGCCTCATCACGCGGTTCGGTGCCCGCGCTACGGGGTCGCCACTACCATCCACGACACGGTGAAGTACATGCTTCGAGACTTTGCGGTCGAGGCGGGCTTCGCGGTAAAGGTGGAGGACTCTACGCTGTTCACACAGTTGGAGGCGGCTCGAGCGAGACTACTGGGACAGCCAGTGGTGGGAGAGGGGACACGGGCTGAGGGACCGGGGGAGCGGAGAGGCGAGGCGGGACAGCCGGGTGGCGGGGGACAGTGGGGACGGCACCAGCTGCGGGGTCAGGTGGAGCGAGGGACAGGTGGGCAGAGGGGATGGCAGGGGGAGCAGACGGGCCAGGACGGGGAGGGGGGACGGCACAGGCAGCAGCAGGAGAGCCAGTGGAGGCCGCGGGCCCAGGGCGCCGCGCCTCCAGGTTCGGCCTCGGGGGCGGGGCAGGGGCGGGAGCAGCAGAGAGCGGACGGAGGTACAGGAGGGGCAGCGGGATTGGGAGGGGAGGGCCAGGGAGTGAGAGAGGCAGCAGGGGATGGAGCAGGGGGGTCGGGAGGTTTGGGGGAGGGTAGAGAGGGGGAGGGGAGAGGACAGGTGGATGGAGGAGAGGAGAGGGGGAGAGAGACGATCGGAGAGGGGGCACCAAGGGACCAGACAGGGCAGCAGCCAGCGCAACAGCAGGGACCAGTCGGACGCACAGGCCGTGTAGGCACCGCCTCCCGCATTCCAGATCTCACCTGCCGCGACGTTGGCCAGGGTCTGATGGTTCTTGTGGATGTCTCCATAGCGGATCCACAGCGGGAGGGGAACGTGCAGCTGAGACGGGCGACCCCCACACAGATTGGAGTGGCAGCAGCTAGGCGGGTGCAGGAGAAGCTGCGTCACTGGGGGCCGCACTTAGAGGGGCTGCAGCCGGACACCACACTTTTACGCGTGCGTGGCGGAGACCTTTGGCCTTCTGAGTGAGCCGCTGCGTCAGTTTCTGGGGCTCTGCGCAAAGAGGATAGCACAGCGGAGGAGGGATAGAGGTGGGGGGGATGACGGATCGGCACGGATATTTGAGGCAGGACTCACTACACGCCTCTCCGTTGCACTGCAGCGCGCGCAGGCTCAATGCATGATCCAGCATGCGGTGCGGCAGTTAGGGAGGTCCGACGACGGGTGGATGCCCGCACCAGTCCCACTGGGTGCGGGGCAGGGAACTTGGCACCACGTCACAGGGTGCTTCGAGAGTGTGGCTGATATGCAGTATATATATGATGCATATGTGTAAAAAACAATAGTGGCTGTGCTTGAAACGCTGTGCCCGTGCGGTCGTGCGGGTTGCTGCCGTGTTTGGTCCTTTGGTGCTTCCTCCTCCTTAGTCTCTCTCCCTCTCTCCTCTTCTCTTCCCACCTCCCTCTTTCTGTTCCCCTTCTTCTATCCTTCCCTTCTCTTCCTACCACCCTCTTTCCTTTCCCTACCACTTCTTCTTACTCCTTCATCTTTCCTTCCTTTCCTTTCTTTCCCCCTTTTCCTACAAAATATATATACCGTCCTCATAGCGATTAGGCTATGTCGAAATTTCCTAGTCTTGGAAAAACCATTATATTCGGCTTGTATTTGCTCTTCCCTTATTAATGAATAACTGCTCTCGCCCACCGGCGCTTAGCTTCGGAGTTCTGATGGGATCCGGCGTAGTAGCCGAGGTATGATCGTACCACGTCAACCCCGTGCCCCGACCGGTACACACCCCTTGCCCGGGTCCCCCCTTCATAGTCACACCCCCTGCCCCCTCATGCCATCCGCTCCCCCCGCCCCTACCCTCCGCGTGCCCGCTCCCTTGCCGCCTCTTTTGACCCTCCCTGCCCCCCTCGCCTGTTTCCCACCGCCCGCCATTCGCTCCTCCCCGCCCGTGCGCTCCCCTCGCTTACCTTCTCCTCCCCCCTCCCCTCCTCTGCTGCACGCCTCTTCCTTCCCCTCGCCGACCCACTCCACTCCCTGCCCCTCCTCAATCCGCACCCTGCCCCTCGTATCTCGCCCCCCTATGCTTGGTTTCTCCCCTCCCTGCCCCTCGCCGCCTTTCTCCGCCCCCCACCTCCCCCCTCTCCCTGCCCCCCCACTCTCCCACCCTTGCCCTTGGCTTCCTACCTCCCTGCCCCACCTTTCCCCCCTCTGTGTGCTCAGCTTCTCCCCTCCCTGCCCCTCCCTCCTCCCCGCCCTGCCCCTCGTTTTCCGCCCCCCCACGCCCGGTTTCTCCCCTCCCCGCGCCTCCCTTTCTTTCTCCGTGCCTCTCCTCTGCTCCCTCCCTGCCCCGCGCCTGCCCATGCCCCTGTCTTTGGCTTCTCCCCTCCCTGCCCCACGTTTCTTCCCTCCCTGCCCACCCCCTCTGCCCCTCCCTTGTTTTCCCCTCACCCATTGCTTCTCCCCTCCCTGCCCTTGATTTCCCGCACCCCTGCCCTTGTTTCCTACCATCCATGCCCCTCGTTTCCCCCCCTTTGTACGTTCAGCCTCTTCCCTCCCTGCCCCTCCCTTCCTCCCCCCCTGCCCTTTGCTCTCCCCTCGTTACGCTCCCTTCTCCCCATCCCTGCTGCCCTCTTACCACCATCAGCCCATCCCCACCCCCAGCCCCCCTCCCAGCCCTTCTCTCCCCCCCTCCCTTTCCCTCTCTCTCTTTCTCACACACACAAACGCACACTCCCCTCCCCCACCCCCCACCCACATCCTCCCATTCTGCCCCTCCCTGCCCCTTTCCCACCCCCTCGCACGCCCCTCACCTCCCACCTCCGTGCAACTGGTTTCCCCCCCTATGGTGCCTCCCTTGCATCGCTCGCCCCTCTGCTCACCCTCTGCCCGCCCCTTTTCCGTGCCCCCAGCTGGCCCAGCCCCTGCCCGTTGCTGCCCCTCCCCTTGCCCCCTCAACTCCCCTGCCCCCCGTACACCCCAGTCCCATCCAACCGCCCCCACCCTCCCCCGGCTGCCCGTTTCCGCTCTCCACCCCCGCGACCGTGTGCGGCTTCCAACCGCCCAACGATGGTGTGCACGGGGCGTTTCTTCGCACGGGCAAGCCTCCCCGGGGGCCCCCCCACCCCGCTGGGTCGTTGTTCGGGCAAAAAAACGAAAATAAAAAAATCGGACGCGCTGAAATCGTCCTTTCTTTTTCCCGCTTGCCCCTCCCCCGGCACGTGCCGAGCAAGGGGCATAAATGGGTACAACACGAGGACTTCCCGGGAGGTCACCCAGCCCAGTACTGCTCTCGCCCACCGGCGCTCTTACCTTGACCTAGCTTACCTAGCCTTGGCTGCCTACTAAGGAGCCTCCTAAACCTACTATTTCGAGTTGCTTAAGGACAAAGTGATTGTGATAATTGTTTATCTTATAGTTATAAGCGTTTCCAACGGTTAGTTTTCCAGTTTCGACTGTCGAGTCCGACGGGTCGGGGGTCGCGAGTTTCGCGCGCGACCCTCAGGAGTCTCGGAAACGGAACTCGCGGGGTGTTACGGAACCGCTCGTTCGACCCCGCCATCGCGGGAAGGCTGCGGACGCGCTGCAGCCGATGTAACGGGAGGTGGGGCGTTGACGCGAAGTTCGCCCGCGGAGTGTAACAGCGCGCGCGACTCACAACCACAACTCCGCCAGACACGGTGTTCCCGCCCATCCCCTCTCTCGACACTCTCCCTTATCCCCCCGCTCTTTTCTGCCCACGGCTTTTCTATTCGAAGCGATTAGCTACTACCGATTTTCTTCCCACGGTTTCCCTCTCTCGAAGTCACTGAGCTTAGCTTCCGCCCGTAGTTAGCATTCTTCCTTCCCTTTCAGTGCGCCCTTCTTTATCGAAACCCTAATTCGAAGAGCCGCGCGTTTTCAAGCACGCTTTCTCGTCGCCTGTCATGTTTAGTCACGCACTCATTTTCCCCGCCCGTTCAATCTAGCCGCGACGTAGACAGAACCGCGCACGGGGCGCTTACCGCCAGGGAAAGGCAGCGCGGAGGGAGGCAAAATTGCTACGTTCGTAGCGATTAAGCAGCCCTCCCCTTGCGCGCCTCCCGAAGCGCGTTTTCTGCCTAGAGCGTTTTAGCCGCCCACGTTGGGCACACAGGCTGCCCCACTCCCCCTTTGCTCACTCCCACCCTGCCATGCCTCGTCGCGCACTCGTGCATGCCACCCACACGTCGTAATCTTACCCCGTCGCCACCCACATATTCACCTTCCTGCTCACACCGCCCCTTTCCCCCTCACACGCGCGCTTTAGCCACCCCGCCACCTAACCTCTTTCCCTAACGGCGCTTAGCTAGCAGAGGCCGCCCTGTCTCTGGAAACCGTAGGAAATAAGGGGAAACAACTTCAAAGAAAAAAAAATATTCATATAAATCGGAAAAAAAACCAGAAAAAAATCAGAAAGGCAGCTTACACTTTGTTCTCCCAACCCTCCAGGGCCCCATCCAGTCCGCCACCCCCCCATTCTGTTTCATCATACTGCACCACACCCTCCCCTTTCGCCCACCAGCATTACCGCCCCTTTCCCCTTATCCCCCACCACGCCCCCAAGCAGGCTTTTCTCCCCCCAGCCTCCCGTCTCCCTGCCCTTAGTACCGCCGCGCCCTGCCCGTGCGTCACCCTTGCCCACTTCATACCACCTCCCCCTTCTCCCCCCCCCCGGCTTCTCCCTATCATCACCCGCATGTTCCCCCACTCCCCTGTCCACAACGTCCCTCCTCCACCCCCCCTCCTGCCTTCCCCACTCCCACTCTGCCCCCCACACCTCTACGAGCCGTACTTCCCCCTCCAGCCTCCCTTTCCCCCCCAGCTACTTCCGCATCCAGCGTGGGCTGCACCTCTGCATCCCGCCCTGCCAGGCCCTACGGTGACCCAACTGCCGCCACCTGGCACCATGCCGCCTTTCCCACCCCCATCCAATCTCTACACCCCCTGCCCCTGCTCCCTGCGCAATCCAGCCACCTACCCCAGCCTCCCTCTACCTCTCCCTAACTCCACACCGCCGTTCCTACCCCCAGCCAAGGTCTACACCCCTTGCTTTTGCTCCCTGGGCTGTGCCGTCCCCAACCTCCCTCCGCCTTTCCGCGGCACCAGACCGCCTCTCCCTCCCCCAGCCAACCTTTGCACCCCCTGTTCCTGCCCCTTGTGCCCTCCAACACCCTACCTCAACCCCCCCCAGTCTCCCCCTTCTCCAACACCCTCCATATTTCCTCCCCCCTGGGGCTCGCCCATCCGCAGTTATCACCCTTCATCGTTTCCCCAATTCCCTCTGTCCCCTGTTTCCCGGCCCCGCATCCTATTCTGCATTTACCACAGCGCCTCCTTTCGGTGCCCTCTCTGCCCTCCCACGTTCTCACCCCCCGCCTCCCAACCTTCTCATTACCCGCTACCAGGCTCACGCCAACTCGACTACCCACTACCCTTTGCCCCTTCCTCTCTGTTCCCCACCCTTCCTTTCCCACTTGGCTCCACCTGCCCACCCCCACCTCCCGTGGAATTCTGCCCGTGCCCTCCCCACCTCCGGCCCACCACCTGTCCCCACACCTCTGCTCACCCACCGCTACATCACCCCCGCCCCCCCACCTCCACTACAGCCCGCCAACACTTCCCCTCTCAGCCGGCCCCCAGCCCGCCCCCCCCCTTGGGCCCCAATCCCCTCCAACTGTCAGGCCCCCTCTACCCTCTCTTCCACCCACTGCGCACCGCTTTCCCCACCCTTTTCCCCTTTCCCCAAGCTAACCCCCCGCACCCCGGCCTCTGCCAGGGAGCTCCTTCCCCCTTTGACGCCCTCTTGAGCCAACTCCAGCAACTCACACCGCCACCGCCAGGCATGCTGCCTCTGTAACAATGCCCCAGCACCCCGCGAGTGGGGGAAAGGCAGACCCGGGAGCCCCTCGGCGATCTGGGAGGTCCCGCAGCCGAGCCACCCCCTACTCTCCCACTCCCCCCACTTCAACCGTCAGGAAGAAACAACACACACCTGACCAAGCGAAAACACTCACACAATCTGACCCTAGGGGCCAGAAGCGTACCTTTGAAGAGGATGGAACAGAGGAACGCCAAGCCCCACTGGAGGAAATACACGAGGAGGAGCCAGCACGCTCAAAACCGCGCCCTACCCCCGCTGCCCCATCCCAGCCTACCCCCCCTTCAGGTGACAGCGGGGGCGGCACCCATGCATGCTCAGTAGAGAGATCCTCCAACTCACTCGCTACCTCCCATTCGCAAACCAGATTACTTGTGAAAACACTTAATCCTACCCGCACCCCCAAGCACATAGAAGCGGGAGAGGGCAGAGCCAGGGGGGAACTTGCAGCTGACACTGCACGGGAAGGGGTAAGTGAGTTTGTGTGTGAAGGAGCAGCAGAGGCTGCAGAGGATGGGGCAGCAAAGGCTGCACGGGAAGGGGCAATGGGGGTTGTGGGGGAAGGGGCAGCAGAGGCTGCAGAGGAAAGGGCAGCAGAGGCTGCAAGGGAAGGGGCAGCAGCGGCTGCACGGGAAAGGGCGGCAGGGGCTGCACGGGAAGGGGCGGCAGGGACCGTGACTCTGGCCAGGCAAAGGGCAGAGGCCATGGAGACAGGTTTTGCAGGAGTAGGGGCCACGGAACCTGCTGCTGTGTCGGCTGGGGGAACCGCAGCAGAGGAGGCTATAGTGACCGCACCAGGTGAGGCCGCACAGACCACAGCAGGCGTGGCTGCAGGGATCACAACGGGTGAGGCTGCAGGAGGGACCATGGCAGGTGAGGCCGCAGGGAGCGCAGTAGGTGAGGCTGCAGGGAGCGCAGCAGGTGAGGCTGTAGGGGGCGCAGCAGGTGAGGCTACAGCGAGCGCAGCAGGTGAGGCCGCAGGGAGCGCAGCAGGCGGGACTGCAGGGGCCGCAGCAGGTGAGACTGCGGCGGACGCAGCAGGTGAGGCTGCGAGGGCTGCATCATGTAAGGTTGGGCAGACTCTAGCAGGTGAGGCTGCACAGTCTACAGCTGGTGAGGTCGCAGGGACTGCAACAGGTGAGGCCGCAGGGACTGCAGCAGGTGAGGCGGCAGGGACCACAGCGGATGAGGCTGCAGGCGGGACCATGGCAGGTGAGGCCGCAGGGAGCGCAGCAGGTGAGGCTGAAATAGCCGCAGCAGGTGAGGCTGCAGAGGCCGCAGCATGTGAGGTTGAGCAGATTCTAGCAGGTGAGGCTGCACAGACTGCAGCAGGTGAGGCCGCAGGGACTGCAGCGGGTGAGGCTGCAGGGACTGCAGCACGTGAGCCTGCAGGGACCGCGGCAGGCAAGGCTGCAGGGATCGCGGCTGGTGAGGCTGAGCAGATTACGGTAGGCGAGGTTTTACAGACTGCAGCAGTCGAGGCTGCAAGGACTGCAGCAGGAGCGACAGAGGCCACAGTGGGGGCTGGTATAGGGGGAGGTGCTACGGGTGCAGCGGGGAAGGGGGTAACGGGGACTGGTGCGAGGGAGAGTGCCGCCCCGGCTGTAGCAAGAGAGGGTACGGCAGGGGCTAGAGTGGGAGAGGGGACAGCAGTGGCCTCAAAGGCAGAAGGTGAGGCTGCAGCTGAAGCAGCAGGGAGGGCCATAGCACGGCCAGTAGGGGCGGCAGGGGCCGCAGCAAACGCGGGGAAACACACAGCAGGGCCGGCAGGGCCGGCAGGGACTGCAAAAGGGGCTAGCAGTAAAGCGGCAGCAGGCGGGGTGGGCTCGGGGGACATAGGGGCAACAGGGGAAGGAGAGGTGAGTGTGGTCCCGACCGGGGTGGGCACTGAAGAGGGGGATGTGATAGCGATAGAGGAGGATGAGGGAGAGGATGTGATGCACATTGACGGGCCACTGGCCCAATACCTCACGCTTGACGGTGAGGCCGACCCGGCCCCCCTGCAGCCTCACGTCGAGGTTCCCCCTCTACCCCCCATGCCCGTCCCCATGCTAGCAGAAGGACCGATGGAGGGGCTGGGGGAGACCTTGAGGACAGAGCCGCGCGAGGGAGCCCCCATCCTCACCTCCCGTCCTCCAGCCCACCCACCCCCAGGAGCACCACTTCCCCACCCCCACCCTCAGGTCCCGGTAGTGTCCAGGGGGGCAGCCAAGGCCCTGGCCTTCTTGGCGGAGCCGTGCTCCCCGACCCCCACGCTGCTCCATGGCCAGCCCCCCTCTCCGTCCCCAACGCCTGACCCCACGGTTGCAGGCGGTCCACCGGGAGAGCACGCGGGTGCGACAAGAGCAGAGCCACCCGAGGGCACCCCTTCTCTCACCCCTCACCCCTCCCCGCCCCTTCCCTCACTCCTTCCTTCACCCCCAAGGGCAGCACACCTCTGCCCCCACCCTCAGGGGCTCCTTAGAGCACCACGTGGAGCAGCCAGGGCTCTGGTCTTCCTAGAGGAGCCATGCTCCCCGACTCCTACCAACACCCAGCCACCCCCTACCGGCCCACTACCCCCTCCTCCACCAGGCCCCCCCCCACCCGGTAGTACACACATCTCGGAGGTTGAAGCATCTCTGCGGCCAAATCCCTCTCCCACACGCTACAAGCACCCAAACCACCCGAGTCGCCGCACAGCCCCAACACGCCCACCCAACAGGCTGCCCTCCCCACACCACCCCCCCCAGGCAGCCGAGACCCACCCGCAAGGGCTTGCGCCCCAGGCTCATGGGAGCGGCGGCACCCTGGTAGAGGGGCCCACAGGAGAGGCCACCACAGGGCCCACACAAATCTCTCTCCCCCCACCGTTTGTACCTCGCTCTAACCTCCACACTGGCCCAGCCCCTCGACCCCCACCTCCAACCCCCTCTCCCGGCCGGGTTCCCCACGAGTGGCCCCGTTGGGCAGCCATCACCCCCCACACACAGCTTGCCCGATCTGTTCCCACGGAGGGGGATGTTTCGAGGAGAGAGGAGATGCACACAGAGCACCCCCCGCCTGGCGAACCACCCATCCTCCCTCCACCCACCCCTTTGGCCCCACAGCCCCCCCTTCCTTCACAAACAGGCGCGGACAACCAGGTTGGCCGCCGGCGGAAGAACAGGGGCAGAGGGTCAGCCCACGTACTCCTCCCCTCCCTCCCTCCCCCACCAAGAGCCCCTCCCTACCTCACATCCCGTTGAACCCTTACCAGGCCCTACCTCTACAGCCCGACCACCAAACCTACACTCCCGCCCCGCTCCTGCACCTCCACAGGGCCATGGGAGCGGTCCAGCCCACTCACCCCCATTCTGCCCCTCCCGTGCTGTGTCCCCCTCCCAGGTGGCGGCGGCCGCGATCGCTACTGGGAGGGAGGCCGTCGGGTTGAGGGATGCGCCCATGGCAGACGCCACCGACTCCCCCTCCCATCCCTCCCACCCCTTCCATGTCGACGACCCCCTACCGCAACCCATGGTGATTGGGGAGGGCCAAGGGGGCCTTCTAGGGCAGGGTCCACACCCGAGCTCCGCTCAGCCAGCACGCCCCACTCCACCCTCTACCCTGCCAGCCCTCCTACTCTCACCTACAGGCAGGCAGGTCTTCGAGACCCCAGAGGAGGTGAGGGCTGGCATTTCAGATTTGCTGGCGATACACCGCCTGAGCAGCTCTCCGGCTGCCCCCTACCCTTCCAGTCCCACAGGACCGGACCCGGACGTATGCGGAGGTCACCCGGTCTGTCCCTTCTTTTATCCCCCCCGCCACTCAGCTAGGCGCGTCACTCCCGACCCCAATGGAGACGGACCGGGTTCTGAGGCCGTGTCACTCGCACCTAGACGGGGTGGCGCCTCCCCCCGTTCAGCCCGTGGCGCAGGAGGTCACCAGCAGTAGGGATGAGGCATCCGCCCCTACCGAGACCCCTCCGCCTGGGGTAGCAGAGCCGTCACTTGAACCGCACCCCGCCGAGGGGCAGGAGCACACCACGGCACACCAGGCTCACCTCCACGTCCCCCCTCCCCAGCTTCGACACCGGTACCGGCACGAGGCCCGGCCCTATCCTGTGCGACACCACCTCTATCTTTGCTGACACCCCCCCCGCGCGGGGCTGGTGAGCCGTCTCCTCCCCTCATCCCAGGCGATCCTCTCGGAGCTCAGGCCGCCCACGGGGTCCCCTCTACAGCCAGTTCCGACGCCACGGCCCCGATTGACCCCGCCGACACGGCGACATCACCCGACCAGGTCGTGAGTTGCCCCACCTGCAAGAGCTCTCTCGCGAACCGACGCGCGCTCCAGCACCACATTCCCTTCTGCCATCCTGCGGACACGGCTCGCAGGGCGCAGGCTGCCCATGATACCGCCTCGATCATCCCTTCCCTCTCACAGCCCCGTGCGACCGGGATGCAGTTCACCGACGCACAGTGGCAGACGCTCGACTCGGTGGACTGGACAGAGTACTTCTCGCCCGAGCGTATCCATACACGCCCTCTCCGACGTGTCCCGGAGAGGGTCCGCGGAGGATATCTTGACGTCCTCAGTGCGATCCTAGTCCGCATTGCCCAGGACCCGGAGGCTGCTGGCCCTACCTTCCTCCTCGCTGCAGCGCCGACTCTTTTCCTTGTTCCAGCGACGCCACCCGACCGCTCGCACACGGCTGCCATTGCAGCGCGCATCTCCCGCTTTGGTCGAGGTGAGTGGGCTGAGCTAGTCTCAGATGCACTAGGCCGTCGCACACCCCTTCCTCGGCGCACAGGTCACCGGTCACGCACCGCCACCGATCCCTCTACAGCAGATGAGCGCCGCATTGCACGTTGCCTTCGTCTGGCAGCGTGCAATGAGACCTCACGGGCGTGCGCGGCTCTCGAGTCTGCGGAGGCAGCCCCAGATACACAGGGGACGATACAGCGCCTGCAGTCGAAGCACCCCAACGCGGAGAGGCCGACCCCAGCTTGGCTGTCTGGCTTCCAGGGGTCCCCTCTTGTGCTCTCGGTGGATCACTTACGCCGCACGATTTTCACAGCTCCGCGGGGCTCTTCGAGGAGGACTGTCCGGTTGGGTCGCTGAGCACCTGCGAGACACTTTCTTAGCTTTCCCTCAGAGTCTCCATTTCCTCCTGGCCGTGTACCAGCAGTGGCTCCGAGGCCGTTGCGCTCCAGCTGCACGCTCCTTGCTAGCGTCTTCCACCCTCGTGGCTTTGGCGAAGTCGAACATGGATGTTCGGGCGATTGCCATCGGCGAGGTTTTGGTCCGCATTCTTTCTCGTGCAGTCTGTCTCCAGCTACGTGACCAGATGGCGAGGGTCTTCTTGGCGTCACAGCAGTTTGGGGTGGGGGTTATGTGCGGGACAGAGGTCGTAGTTAGAGGCGTCCGCCGCGCCCTGGCTGACCACCCAGACTGGGTGGTCCTGCAGCTAGACGTGGCGAATGCCTTTAACTCTTTCCACCGAGACAGGATGTTCCAGGCGCTGCAGGCCAGCCCGGAGTTTCAGTGTCTGATCCCCTTCATCGGCCTCTTCTACGGGACGCCCTCGGATCTCCACTACAGGTCAGGCACGGGAGTGGTCACGATGCACTCGGAGCGGGGCACTCGCCAGGGAGACCCTCTCAGCCCCTTCTTGTAAGCTCTGACACAGCGTCTTGCTTTGGAGCCGGTTCTGGCGGAGGGGGGTGTCCAGCTCTGGTCGTACGCCGATGACACGTACGTGCTAGGTCCCCCAGCCAGGGTGCTGCACCACTTTGCCGAGATCGTGAGGCGCTTGGGCGAGATGGGCCTTGCAGCCCAGCCGCACAAGTGCCTCGTCTACCAGACGGAGTCCTTTCTGTCCAGGGATCTGGAGGCTTTCACGGGCCTAGGGATCGAGGTCGCACGCCGAGGGCTCACCGTGACAGGCGTACCGGTAGGCACCGTTTCGTTCGTGGAGCAGAGTCTCCCGGATCGTCTCGAGAGGATGGGGCGGGTGCTACCTTGGCTTCCGAGGTTGCGCCAGCCCCAGACAGCTGCCCGCCTCCTTTCGGCGTGTGTCAGCACTCGTCCGCAGTACCTGTCGAGGACCGTCCCTCCTTCGCCCGCAGTGATCTCCAGTTTTACACGGTGGGATGCACGCCTGGGAGAGACATTTCAGCAGCTTTTAGCTTCAGGGACCTGGGCTTGTCGCGAGGACGTCCGAGAGGCCGCCCTAGACCAGATCTTCCTCCCCATCCGTCTCGGGGGTTTCGGCATTCGTCGCATGGCGCGCATTGCCCCGGTGAGTTTCGTGTGCTCCTGGGTGCAGTGTGCACCCATTCTCTGTTCTCTCCCTGCGTGTGGCGAGGTGTTTCAGCAGAGCTTCGCTTCAGGTGAGCCAGAGCAGATCGACCGGGCTCTGCAGACGGCGCTAGAGGGTCTCCCACCTGACGTTCTCTCTCTCCTTCCCCCCTGGCCCTCTTGCACTTCTGCCTCCCCCGATTCCCTTTTTGCAGGAGCGAGCCGTCTTCTGGAGGCGCATGCCTTGGAGGCCGTGCGTGCCCGTCACGCCTCTCCCTTGCACCTTGCCCGTTTGACTTCCCTTCAGGGCGGAGGTGCAGGGGCGTGGTTGACGTCGGTGCCGTACGCCGACCCACTGCGCATCCCGGAGGCGCTGTGGCAGGCGGCTTCATCTTCTCGTCTTGGTCTCCCTATCCCCCAGTTAGCCCTTGCAGGTCAGTGCTCCTGCGGACAGGCGATTGACGACATGACGGTGCCTCATCACGCGGTTCGGTGCCCGCGCTACGGGGTCGCCACTACCATCCACGACACGGTGAAGTACATGCTTCGAGACTTTGCGGTCGAGGCGGGCTTCGCGGTAAAGGTGGAGGACTCTACGCTGTTCACACAGTTGGAGGCGGCTCGAGCGAGACTACTGGGACAGCCAGTGGTGGGAGAGGGGACACGGGCTGAGGGACCGGGGGAGCGGAGAGGCGAGGCGGGACAGCCGGGTGGCGGGGGACAGTGGGGACGGCACCAGCTGCGGGGTCAGGTGGAGCGAGGGACAGGTGGGCAGAGGGGACGGCAGGGGGAGCAGACGGGCCAGGACGGGGAGGGGGGACGGCACAGGCAGCAGCAGGAGAGCCAGTGGAGGCCGCGGGCCCAGGGCGCCGCGCCTCCAGGTTCGGCCTCGGGGGCGGGGCAGGGGCGGGAGCAGCAGAGAGCGGACGGAGGTACAGGAGGGGCAGCGGGATTGGGAGGGAAGGGCCAGGGAGTGAGAGAGGCAGCAGGGGATGGAGCAGGGGGGTCGGGAGGTTTGGGGGAGGGTAGAGAGGGGGAGGGGAGAGGACAGGTGGATGGAGGAGAGGAGAGGGGGAGAGAGACGATCGGAGAGGGGGCACCAAGGGACCAGACAGGGCAGCAGCCAGCGCAACAGCAGGGACCAGTCGGACGCACAGGCCGTGTAGGCACCGCCTCCCGCATTCCAGATCTCACCTGCCGCGACGTTGGCCAGGGTCTGATGGTTCTTGTGGATGTCTCCATAGCGGATCCACAGCGGGAGGGGAACGTGCAGCTGAGACGGGCGACCCCCACACAGATTGGAGTGGCAGCAGCTAGGCGGGTGCAGGAGAAGCTGCGTCACTGGGGGCCGCACTTAGAGGGGCTGCAGCCGGCACCACACTTTTACGCGTGCGTGGCGGAGACCTTTGGCCTTCTGAGTGAGCCGCTGCGTCAGTTTCTGGGGCTCTGCGCAAAGAGGATAGCACAGCGGAGGAGGGATAGAGGTGGGGGGGATGACGGATCGGCACGGATATTTGAGGCAGGATTCACTACACGCCTCTCCGTTGCACTGCAGCGCGCGCAGGCTCAATGCATGATCCAGCATGCGGTGCGGCAGTTAGGGAGGTCCGACGACGGGTGGATGCCCGCACCAGTCCCACTGGGTGCGGGGCAGGGAACTTGGCACCACGTCACAGGGTGCTTCGAGAGTGTGGCTGATATGCAGTATATATATGATGCATATGTGTAAAAAACAATAGTGGCTGTGCTTGAAACGCTGTGCCCGTGCGGTTGTGCGGGTTGCTGCCGTGTTTGGTCCTTTGGTGCTTCCTCCTCCTTAGTCTCTCTCCCTCTCTCCTCTTCTCTTCCCACCTCCCTCTTTCTGTTCCCTTCTTCTATCCTTCCCTTCTCTTCCTACCACCCTCTTCCTTTCCCTACCACTTCTTCTTACTCCTTCATCTTTCCTTCCTTTCCTTTCTTTCCCCCTTTTCCTACAAAATATATATACCGTCCTCATAGCGATTAGGCTATGTCGAAATTTCATAGTCTTGGAAAAACCATTATATTCGGCTTGTATTTGCTCTTCCCTTATTAATGAATAACTGCTCTCGCCCACCGGCGCTTAGCTTCGGAGTTCTGATGGGATCCGGCGTAGTAGCCGAGGTATGATCGTACCACGTCAACCCCGTGCCCCGACCGGTACACACCCCTTGCCCGGGTCCCACCTTCATAGTCACACCCCCTGCCCCCTCATGCCATCCGCTCCCCCCGCCCCTACCCTCCGCGTGCCCGCTCCCTTGCCGCCTCTTTTGACCCTCCCTGCCCCCCTCGCCGTTTCCCACCGCCCGCCATTCGCTCCTCCCCGCCCGTGCGCTCCCCTCGCTTACCTTCTCCTCCCCCCTCCCCTCCTCTGCTGCACGCCTCTTCCTTCCCCTCGCCGACCCACTCCACTCCCTGCCCCTCCTCAATCCGCACCCTGCCCCTCGTATCTCGCCCCCCTATGCTTGGTTTCTCCCCTCCCTGCCCCTCGCCGCCTTTCTCCGCCCCCCACCTCCCCCCTCTCCCTGCCCCCCCACTCTCCCCCCCTTGCCCTTGGCTTCCTACCTCCCTGCCCCACCTTTCCCCCCTCTGTGTGCTCAGCTTCTCCCCTCCCTGCCCCTCCCTCCTCCCCGCCCTGCCCCTCGTTTTCCTCCCCCCCACACCCGGTTTCTCCCCTCCCCGCGCCTCCCTTTCTTTCTCCGTGCCTCTCCTTTGCTCCCTCCCTGCCCTCGCCTGCCCGTGGTCCTGTCTTTGGCTTCTCCCCTCCCTGCCCCACGTTTCTTCCCTCCCTGCCCTCCCCCTCTGCCCCTCCCTTGTTTTCCCCTCACCCATTGCTTCTCCCCTCCCTGCCCTTGTTTTCCTACCATCCATGCCCCTCGTTTCCCCCCCTTTGTACGTTCAGCCTCTTCCCTCCCTGCCCCTCCCTTCCTCCCCCCCTGCCCTTTGCTCTCCCCTCGTTACGCTCCCTTCTCCCCATCCCTGCTGCCCTCTTACCACCATCAGCCCATCCCCACCACCAGCCCCCCTCCCACCCTTCTCTCCCCCCCTCCCTTTCCCTCTCTCTCTTTCTCACACACACACACGCACACTCCCCTCCCCCACCCCCCCACCCACATCCTCCCATTCTGCCCCTCCCTGCCCCTTTCCCACCCCCTCGCACGCCCCTCACCTCCCACCTCCGTGCAACTGGTTTCCCCCCTATGGTGCCTCCCTTGCATCGCTCGCCCCTCTGCTCACCCTCTGCCCGCCCCTTTTCCGTGCCCCCAGCTGGCCCAGCCCCTGCCCGTTGCTGCCCCTCCCCTTGCCCCCTCAACTCCCCTGCCCCCCGTACACCCCAGTCCCATCCAACCGCCCCCACCCTCCCCCGGCTGCCCGTTTCCGCTCTCCACCCCCGCGACCGTGCGCGGCTGCCAACCGCCCAACGGTGGTGCGCACGGGGCGTTTCTTCGCACGGGCAAGCCTCCCCGGGGGCCCCCCACCCCGCTGGGTCGTTGTTCGGGCAAAAAAACGAAAATAGAAAAATCGGACGCGCTGAAATCGTCCTTTCTTTTTCCCGCTTGCCCCTCCCCCGGCACGTGCCGAGCAAGGGGCATAAATGGGTACAACACGAGGACTTCCCGGGAGGTCACCCAGCCCAGTACTGCTCTCGCCCACTGGCGCTCTTACCTTGACCTAGCTTACCTAGCCATGGCTGCCTACTAAGGAGCCTCCCAAACCTACTATTTCGAGTTGCTTAAGGACAAAGTGATTGTGATAGTTGTTTATGTTATAGTTATAAGCGTTTCCAACGGTTAGTTTTCCAGTTTCGACTGTCGAGTTCGACGGGACGGGGGTCGCGAGTTCCGCGCGCGACCCTTAGGAGTCTCGGAAACGGAACTCGCGGGGTGTTACGGAACCGCTCGTTCGACCCCGCCATCGCGGGAAGGCTGCGGACGCGCTGCAGCCGGTGTAACAGGAGGTGGGGCGTTGATGCGAAGTTCGCCCGCGGAGTGTAACAGCGCGCGCGACTCACAACCACAACTCCGCCAGACACGGTGTTCCCGCCCATCCCCTCTCTCGACACTCTCCCTTATCCCCCCGCTCTTTTCTGCCCACGGCTTTTCTATTCGAAGCGATTAGCTACTACCGATTTTCTATCCGCCCGTAGTTAGCATTCTTCCTTCCCTTTCAGTGCACCCTTCTTTATCGAAACCCTAATTCGAAGAGCCGCGCGTTTTCAAGCACGCTTTCTCGTCGCCTGTCATGTTTAGTCACGCACTCATTTTCCCCGCCCGTTTAATCTAGCCGCGACGTAGACAGAACCACGCACGGGGCGCTTACCGCCAGGGAAAGGCAGCGCGGAGGGAGGCGAAATTGCTACGTTCGTAGCGATTAAGCAGCCCTCCCCTTGCGCGCCTCCCGAAGCGCGTTTTCTGCGTGGAGCGTTTTAGCCGCCCACGTTGGGCACACAGGCTGCCCCACTCCCCCTTTGCTCACTCCCACCCTGCCATGCCTCGTCGCGCACTCGTGCATGCCACCCACCCACACGTCGTAATCTTACCCCGTCGCCACCCACATATTCACCTTCCTGCTCACACCGCCCCTTTCCCCCTCACACGCGCGCTTTAGCCACCCCGCCACCTAACCTCTTTCCCTAACGGCGCTTAGCTAGCAGAGGCCGCCCTGTCTCTGGAAACCGTAGGAAATAAGGGGAAACAACTTCAAAGAAAAAAAAAATATTCATATAAATCGGAAAAAAACCAGAAAAAAAATCAGAAAGGCAGCTTACACTTTGTTCTCCCAACCCTCCAGGGCCCCATCCAGTCCGCCACCCCCCCATTCTGTTTCATCATACTGCACCACACCCTCCCCTTTCGCCCACCAGCATTACCGCCCCTTTCCCCTTATCCCCCACCACGCCCCCAAGCAGGCTTTTCTCCCCCCAGCCTCCCGTCTCCCTGCCCTTAGTACCGCCGCGCCCTGCCCGTGCGTCACCCTTGCCCACTTCATACCACCTCCCCCTTCTCCCCCCCCTCGGCTTCTCCCTATCATCACCCGCATGTTCCCCCACTCCCCTGTCCACAACGTCCCTCCTCCACCCCCCCTCCTGCCTTCCCCACTCCCACTCTGCCCCCCACACCTCTACGAGCCGTACTTCCCCCTCCAGCCTCCCTTTCCCCCCCAGCTACTTCCGCATCCAGCGTGGGCTGCACCTCTGCATCCCGCCCTGCCAGGCCCTTCGGTGACCCAACTGCCGCCACCTGGCACCACGCCGCCTTTCCCACCCCCATCCAATCTCTACACCCCCTGCCCCTGCTCCCTGCGCAATCCAGCCACCTACCCCAGCCTCCCTCTACCTCTCCCTAACTCCACACCGCCGTTCCTACCCCCAGCCAAGGTCTACACCCCTTGCTTTTGCTCCCTGGGCTGTGCCGTCCCCAACCTCCCTCCGCCTTTCCGCGGCACCAGACCGCCTCTCCCTCCCCCAGCCAACCTTTGCACCCCCTGTTCCTGCCCCTTGTGCCCTCCAACACCCTACCTCAACCCCCCCCCAGTCTCCCCCTTCTCCAACACCCTCCATATTTCCTCCCCCCTGGGGCTCGCCCATCCGCAGTTATCACCCTTCATCGTTTCCCCAATTCCCTCTGTCCCCTGTTTCCCGGCCCCGCATCCTATTCTGCATTTACCACAGCGCCTCCTTTTGGTGCCCTCTCTGCCCTCCCACGTTCTCACCCCCCGCCTCCCAACCTTCTCATTACCCGCTACCAGGCTCACGCCAACTCGACTACCCACTACCCTTTGCCCCTTCCTCTCTGTTCCCCACCCTTCCTTTCCCACTTGGCTCCACCTGCCCACCCCCACCTCCCGTGGAATTCTGCCCTGCCCTCCCCACCTCCGGCCCACCACCTGTCCCCACACCCTGCTCACCCACCGCTACATCACCCCCGCCCCCCCACCTCCACTACAGCCCGCCAACACTTCCCCTCTCAACCGGCCCCCAGCCCGCCCCCCCCTTGGGCCCCAATCCCCTCCAACTGTGAGGCCCCCTCTACCCTCTCTTCCACCCACTGCGCACCGCTTTCCCCACCCTTTTCCCCTTTCCCCAAGCTAACCCCCCGCACCCCGGCCTCTGCCAGGGAGTTCCTTCCCCCTTTGACGCCCTCTTGAGCCAACTCCAGCAACTCACACCGCCACCGCCAGGCATGCTGCCTCTGTAACAATGCCCCAGCACCCCGCGAGTGGGGGAAAGGCAGACTCGGGAGCCCCTCGGCGATCTGGGAGGTCCCGCAGCCGAGCCACCCCCTACTCTCCCACTCCCCCCACTTCAACAGTCAGGAAGAAACAACACACACCTGACCAAGCAAAAACACTCACACAATCTGACCCTAGGGGCCAGAAGCGTACCTTTGAAGAGGATGGAACAGAGGAACGCCAAGCCCAACTGGAGGAAATACATGAGGAGGAGCCAGCACGCTCAAAACCGCTCCCTACCCCCGCTGCCCCATCCCAGCCTACCCCCCCTTCAGGTGACAGCGGGGGCGGCACCCATGCATGCTCAGTAGAGAGATCCTCCAACTCACTCGCTACCTCCCATTCGCAAACCAGATTACTTGTGAAAACACTTAATCCTACCCGCACCCCCAAGCACATAGAAGCGGGAGAGGGCAGAGCCAGGGGGGAACTTGCAGCTGACACTGCACGGGAAGGGGTAAGTGAGTTTGTGTGTGAAGGAGCAGCAGAGGCTGCAGAGGATGGGGCAGCAAAGGCTGCACGGGAAGGGGCAATGGGGGTTGTGGGGGAAGGGGCAGCAGAGGCTGCAGAGGAAAGGGCAGCAGAGGCTGCAAGGGAAGGGGCAGCAGCGGCTGCACGGGAAAGGGCGGCAGGGGCTGCACAGGAAGGGGCGGCAGGGACCGTGACTCTGGCCAGGCAAAGGGCAGAGGCCATGGAGACAGGTTTTGCAGGAGTAGGGGCCACAGAACCTGCTGCTGTGTCGGCTGGGGGAACCGCAGCAGAGGAGGCTATAGGGACCGCACCAGGTGAGGCCGCACAGACCACAGCAGGTGTGGCTGCAGGGATCACAACGGGTGAGGCTGCAGGAGGGACCATGGCAGGTGAGGCCGCAGGGAGCGCAGTAGGTGAGGCTGCAGGGAGCGCAGCAGGTGAGGCTGTAGGGGGCGCAGCAGGTGAGGCTGCAGAGAGCGCAGCAGGTGAGGCCGCAGGGAGCGCAGCAGGCGGGACTGCAGGGGCCGCAGCAGGTGAGACTGCGGCGGACGCAGCAGGTGAGGCTGCGAGGGCTGCATCATGTAAGGTTGGGCAGACTCTAGCAGGGACTGCAACAGGTGAGGCCGCAGGGACTGCAGCAGGTGAGGCGGCAGGGACCACAGCGGATGAGGCTGCAGGCGGGACCATGGCAGGTGAGGCCGCAGGGAGCGCAGCAGGTGAGGCTGAAATAGCCGCAGCAGGTGAGGCTGCAGAGGCCGCAGCATGTGAGGTTGAGCAGATTCTAGCAGGTGAGGCTGCACAGACTGCAGCAGGTGAGGCCGCAGGGACTGCAGCGGGTGAGGCTGCAGGGACTGCAGCACGTGAGCCTGCAGGGACCGCGGCAGGCAAGGCTGCAGGGATCGCGGCTGGTGAGGCTGAGCAGATTACGGTAGGCGAGGTTTTACAGACTGCAGCAGTCGAGGCTGCAAGGACTGCAGCAGGAGCGACAGAGGCCACAGTGGGGGCTGGTATAGGGGGAGGTGCTACGGGTGCAGCGGGGAAGGGGGTAACGGGGACTGGTGCGAGGGAGAGTGCCGCCCCGGCTGTAGCAAGAGAGGGTACGGCAGGGGCTAGAGTGGGAGAGGGGACAGCAGTGGCCTCAAAGGCAGAAGGTGAGGCTGCAGCTGAAGCAGCAGGGAGGGCCATAGCACGGCCAGTAGGGGCGGCAGGGGCCGCAGCAAACGCGGGGAAACACACAGCAGGGCCGGCAGGGCCGGCAGGGACTGCAAAAGGGGCTAGCAGTAAAGCGGCAGCAGGCGGGGTGGGCTCGGGGGACATAGGGGCAACAGGGGAAGGAGAGGTGAGTGTGGTCCCGACCGGGGTGGGCACTGAAGAGGGGGATGTGATAGCGATAGAGGAGGATGAGGGAGAGGATGTGATGCACATTGACGGGCCACTGGCCCAATACCTCACGCTTGACGGTGAGGCCGACCCGGCCCCCCTGCAGCCTCACGTCGAGGTTCCCCCTCTACCCCCCATGCCCGTCCCCATGCTAGCAGAAGGACCGATGGAGGGGCTGGGGGAGACCTTGAGGACAGAGCCGCGCGAGGGAGCCCCCATCCTCACCTCCCGTCCTCCAGCCCACCCACCCCCAGGAGCACCACTTCCCCACCCCCACCCTCAGGTCCCGGTAGTGTCCAGGGGGGCAGCCAAGGCCCTGGCCTTCTTGGCGGAGCCGTGCTCCCCGACCCCCACGCTGCTCCATGGCCAGCCCCCCTCTCCGTCCCCAACGCCTGACCCCACGGTTGCAGGCGGTCCACCGGGAGAGCACGCGGGTGCGACAAGAGCAGAGCCACCCGAGGGCACCTCTTCTCTCACCCCTCACCCCTCCCCGCCCCTTCCCTCACTCCTTCCTTCACCCCCAAGGGCAGCACACCTCTGCCCCCACCCTCAGGGGCTCCTTAGAGCACCCCGTGGTCGCCAGCGTTTCAAGCAAGGGAGAGGCGTGACGGGCACGCACGGCCTCCAAGGCATGCGCCTCCAGAAGACGGCTCGCTCCTGCAAAAAGGGAATCGGGGGAGGCAGAAGCGCAAGAGGGCCAGGGGGGAAGGAGAGAGAGAACGTCAGGTGGGAGACCCTCTAGCGCCGTCTGCAGAGCCCGGTCGATCTGCTCTGGCTCACCTGAAGCGAAGCTCTGCCGAAACACCTCGCCACACGCAGAGAGAGAACAGAGAATGGGTGCACACTGCACCCAGGAGCACACGAAACTCACCAGGGCAATGCGCGCCATGCGACGAATGCCAAAACCTCTGAGACGGATGGGGAGGAAGATCTGGTCTAGGGCGGCCTCTCGGACGTCCTCGCGACAAGCCCAGGTCCCTGAAGCTAAAAGCTGCTGAAAAGTCTCTCCCAGGCGTGCGTCCCACCGTGTAAAACTGGAGATCACTGCGGGCGAAGGATGGACGGTCCTCGACAGGTACTGCGGACGAGTGCTGACACACGCCGAAAGAAGGCGGGCAGCTGTCTGGGGCTGGCGCAACCTCGGAAGCCAAGGTAGCACCCGCCCCATCCTCTCGAGACGATCCGGGAGACTCTGCTCCACGAACGAAACGGTGCCTACCGGTACGCCTGTCACGGTGAGCCCTCGGCGTGCGACCTCGATCCCTAGGCCTGTGAAAGCCTCCAGATCCCTGGACAGAAAGGACTCTGTCTGGTAGACGAGGCACTTGTGCGGCTGGGCTGCAAGGCCCATCTCGCCCAAGCGCCTCACAATCTCGGCAAAGTGGTGCAGCACCCTGTCTGGGGGACCTAGCACGTACGTGTCATCGGCGTACGACCAGAGCTGGACATCCCCCTCCGCCAGAACCGGCTCCAAAGCAAGACGCTGTGTCAGAGCGTACAAGAAGGGGCTGAGAGGGTCTCCCTGGCGAGTGCCCCGCTCCGAGTGCATCGTGACCACTCCCGTGCCTGACCTGTAGTGGAGATCCGAGGGCGTCCCGTAGAAGAGGCCGATGAAGGGGATCAGACACTGAAACTCCGGACTGGCCTGCAGCGCCTGAAACATCCTGTCTCGGTGGAAAGAGTTAAAGGCATTCGCCACGTCTAGCTGCAGGACCACCCAGTCTGGGTGGTCAGCCAGAGCGCGGCGGACGCCTCTAACTACGACCTCTGTCCCGCACATAACCCCCACCCCAAACTGCTGTGATGCCAAGAAGACCCTCGCCATCTGGTCACGTAGCTGGAGACAAACGGCCCGAGAAAGAATGCGGACCAAAACCTCGCCGATGGCAATCGGCCGAACATCCATGTTCGACTTCGCCAGAGCCACGAGGGTGGAAGACGCTAGCAAGGAGCGTGCAGCTGGAGCGCAACGGCCTCGGAGCCACTGCTGGTACACGGCCAGGAGGAAATGGAGACTCTGAGGGAAAGCTAGGAAAGTGTCTCGCAGGTGCTCAGCGACCCAACCGGACGGTCCTCCCGAAGAGCCCCGCGGAGCTGTGAAAATCGCGCGGCGTAAGTGATCCACCGAGAGCACAAGAGGGGACCCCTGGAAGCCAGACAGCCAAGCTGTGGTCGGCCTCTCCGCGTTGGGGTGCTTCGACTGCAGGCGCTGTATCGTCCCCTGTGTATCTGGGGCTGCCTCCGCGGACTCGAGAGCCGCGCACGCCCGTGAGGTCTCATTGCACGCTGCCAGACGAAGGCAACGTGCAATGCGGCGCTCATCTGCTGTAGAGGGATCGGTGGCGGTGCGTGACCGGTGACCTGTGCGCCGAGGAAGGGGTGTGCGACGGCCTAGTGCATCTGAGACTAGCTCAGCCCACTCACCTCGACCAAAGCGGGAGATGCGCACTGCAATGGCAGCCGTGTGCGAGCGGTCGGGTGGCGTCGCTGGAACAAGGAAAAGAGTCGGCGCTGCAGCGAGGAGGAAGGTAGGGCCAGCAGCCTCCGGGTCCTGGGCAATGCGGACTAGGATCGCACTGAGGACGTCAAGATATCCTCCGCGGACCCTCTCCGGGACACGTCGGAGAGGGCGTGTATGGATACGCTCGGGCGAGAAGTACTCTGTCCAGTCCACCGAGTCGAGCGTCTGCCACTGTGCGTCGGTGAACTGCATCCCGGTCGCACGGGGCTGTGAGAGGGAAGGGATGATCGAGGCGGTATCATGGGCAGCCTGCGCCCTGCGAGCTGCGTCCGCAGGATGGCAGAAGGGAATGTGGTGCTGGAGCGCGCGTCGGTTCGCGAGAGAGCTCCTGCAGGTGGGGCAACTCACGACCTGGTCGGGTGATGTCGCCGTGTCGGCGGGGTCAATCGGGGCCGTGGCGTCGGAACTGGCTGTAGAGGGGACCCCGTGGGCGGCCTGAGCTCCGAGAGGATCGCCTGGGATGAGGGGAGGAGACGGCTCACCAGCCCCGCGCGGGGGGGGTGTCAGCGAAGATAGAGGTGGTGTCGCACAGGATAGGGCCGGGCCTCGTGCCGGTACCGGTGTCGAAGCTGGGGAGGGGGGACGTGGAGGTGAGCCTGAAGTGTGTGCCGTGGTGTGCTCCTGCCCCTCGGCGGGGTGCGGTTCAAGTGACGGCTCTGCTACCCCAGGCGGAGGGGTCTCGGTAGGGGCGGATGCCTCATCCCTACTGCTGGTGACCTCCTGCGCCACGGGCTGAACGGGGGGAGGCGCCACCCCGTCTAGGTGCGAGTGACACGGCCTCAGAACCCGGTCCGTCTCCATTGGGGTCGGGAGTGACGCGCCTAGCTGAGTGGCGGGGGGGATAAAAGAAGGGACAGACCGGGTGACCTCCGCATACGTCCGGGTCCAGTCCTGTGGGACTGGAAGGGTGGGGGCAGCCGGAGAGCTGCTCAGGCGGTGTATCGCCAGCAAATCTGAAATGCCAGCCCTCACCTCCTCTGGGGTCTCGAAGACCTGCCTGCCTGTAGGTGAGAGTAGGAGGGCTGGCAGGGTAGAGGGTGGAGTGGGGCGTGCTGGCTGAGCGGAGCTCGGGTGTGGACCCTGCCCTAGAAGGCCCCCTTGGCCCTCCCCAATCACCATGGGTTGCGGTAGGGGGTCGTCGACATGGAAGGGGTGGGAGGGATGGGAGGGGGAGTCAGTGGCGTCTGCCATGGGCGCATCCCTCAACCCGACGGCCTCCCTCCCAGTAGCGATCGCGGCCGCCGCCACCTGGGAGGGGGACACAGCACGGGAGGGGCAGAATGGGGGTGAGTGGGCTAGACCGCTCCCATGGCCCTGTGGAGGTGCAGGAGCGGGGCGGGAGTGTAGGTTTGGTGGTCGGGCTGTAGAGGTAGGGCCTGGTAAGGGTTCAACGGGATGTGAGGTAGGGAGGGGCTCTTGGTGGGGGAGGGAGGGAGGGGGGAGTACGTGGGCTGACCCTCTGCCCCTGTTCTTCCGCCGGCGGCCAACCTGGTTGTCCGCGCCTGTTTGTGAAGGAAGGGGGGGCTGTGGGGCCAAAGGGGTGGGTGGAGGGAGGATGGGTGGTTCGCCAGGCGGGGGGTGCTCTGTGTGCATCCCCTCTCTCCTCGAAACATCCCCCTCCGTGGGAACAGATCGGGCAAGCTGTGTGTGGGGGGTGATGGCTGCCCAACGGGGCCACTCGTGGGGAACCCGGCCGGGAGAGGGGGTTGGAGGTGGGGGTCGAGGGGCTGGGCCAGTGTGGAGGTTAGAGCGAGGTACAAACGGTGGGGGGAGAGAGATTTGTGTGGGCCCTGTGGTGGCCTCTCCTGTGGGCCCCTCTACCCGGGTGCCGCCGCTCCCATGAGCCTGGGGCGCAAGCCCTTGCGGGTGGGTCTCGGCTGCCTGGGGGGGGTGGTGTGGGGAGGGCAGCCTGTTGGGTGGGCGTGTTGGGGCTGTGCGGCGACTCGGGTGGTTTGGGTGCCTGTAGCGTGTGGGAGAGGGATTTGGCCGCAGAGATGCTTCAACCTCCGAGATGTGTGTACTACCGGGTGGGGGGGGGCCTGGTGGAGGAGGGGGTAGTGGGCCGGTAGGGGGTGGCTGGGTGTTGGTAGGAGTCGGGGAGCATGGCTCCTCTAGGAAGACCAGAGCCCTGGCTGCTCCACGTGGTGCTCTAAGGAGCCCCTGAGGGTGGGGGCAGAGGTGTGCTGCCCTTGGGGGTGAAGGAAGGAGTGAGGGAAGGGGCGGGGAGGGGTGAGAGGTGAGAGAAGGGGTGCCCTCGGGTGACTCTGCTCTTGTCGCACCCGCGTGCTCTCCCGGTGGACCGCCTGCAACCGTGGGGTCAGGCGTTGGGGACGGAGAGGGGGGCTGGCCATGGAGCAGCGTGGGGGTCGGGGAGCACGGCTCCGCCAAGAAGGCCAGGGCCTTGGCTGCCCCCCTGGACACTACCGGGACCTGAGGGTGGGGGTGGGGAAGTGGTGCTCCTGGGGGTGGGTGGGCTGGAGGACGGGAGGTGAGGATGGGGGCTCCCTCGCGCGGCTCTGTCCTCAAGGTCTCCCCCAGCCCCTCCATCGGTCCTTCTGCTAGCATGGGGACGGGCATGGGGGGTAGAGGGGGAACCTCGACGTGAGGCTGCAGGGGGGCCGGGTCGGCCTCACCGTCAAGCGTGAGGTATTGGGCCAGTGGCCCGTCAATGTGCATCACATCCTCTCCCTCATCCTCCTCTATCGCTATCACATCCCCCTTTTCAGTGCCCACCCCGGTCGGGACCACACTCACCTCTCCTTCCCCTGTTGCCCCTATGTCCCCCGAGCCCACCCCGCCTGCTGCCGCTTTACTGCTAGCCCCTTTTGCAGTCTCTGCCGGCCCTGCTGTGTGTTTCCCCGCGTTTGCTGCGGCCCCTGCCGCCCCTACTGGCCGTGCTATGGCCCTCCCTGCTGCTTCAGCTGCAGTCTCACCTTCTGCCTTTGAGGCCACTGCTGACCCTTCTCCCACTCTAGCCCCTGCCGTACCCTCTCTTGCTACAGCCGGGGCGGCACTCTCCCTCGCGCCAGTCCCCGTTACCCCCTTCCCCGCTGCACCCGTAGCACCTCCCCCTGTACCAGCCCCCACTGTGGCCTCTGTCGCTCCTGCTGCAGTCCTTGCAGCCTCGACTGCTGCAGTCTGTAAAACCTCGCCTACCGTAATCTGCTCAGCCTCACCAGCCGCGATCCCTGCAGCCTTGCCTGCCGCGGTCCCTGCAGCCTCACGTGCTGCAGTCCCTGCAGCCTCACCTGCTGCAGTCCCTGCGGCCTCACCTGCTGCAGTCTGTGCAGCCTCACCTGCTAGAATCTGCTCAACCTCACATGCTGCGGCCTCTGCAGCCTCACCGGCTGCGGCTATTTCAGCCTCACCTGCTGCGCTCCCTGCGGCCTCACCTGCCCTGGTCCCGCCTGCAGCCTTATCCGCTGTGGTCCCTACCGCCTCACCTGCTGCAGTCCCTGCGGCCTCACCTGTTGCAGTCCCTGCGGCCTCACCAGCTGTAGACTGTGCAGCCTCACCTGCTAGAGTCTGCCCAACCTTACATGATGCAGCCCTTGCAGCCTCACCTGCTGCGTCCGCCGCAGCCGCACCTGCTGCGGCCCCTGCAGTCCCGCCTGCTGCGCTCCCTGCAGCCTCGCCTGCTGCGCTCCCTGCAGCCTCGCTTGCTGCGCTCCCTGCGGCCTCACCTGCTGCGCTCTCTGCAGCCTCACCTGCTGCGCCCCCTACAGCCTCACCTGCTGCGCTCCCTGCAGCCTCACCTACTGCGCTCCCTGCGGCCTCACCTGCCATGGTCCCTCCTGCAGCCTCACCCGTTGTGATCCCTGCAGCCACACCTGCTGTGGTCTGTGCGGCCTCACCTGGTGCGGTCCCTATAGCCTCCTCTGCTGCGGTTCCCCCAGCCGACACAGCAGCAGGTTCCGTGGCCCCTACTCCTGCAAAACCTGTCTCCATGGCCTCTGCCCTTTGCCTGGCTAGAGTCACGGTCCCTGCCGCCCCTTCCCGTGCAGCCCCTGCCGCCCTTTCCCGTGCAGCCGCTGCTGCCCCTTCCCTTGCAGCCTCTGCTGCCCTTTCCTCTGCAGCCTCTGCTGCCCCTTCCCCCACAACCCCCATTGCCCCTTCCCGTGCAGCCTTTGCTGCCCCATCCTCTGCAGCCTTTGCTGCTCCTTCACACACAAACTCACTTACCCCTTCCCGTGCAGTGTCAGCTGCAAGTTCCCCCCTGGCTCTGCCCTCTCCCGCTTCTATGTGCTTGGGGGTGCGGGTAGGATTAAGTGTTTTCACAAGTAATCTGGTTTGCGAATGGGAGGTAGCGAGTGAGTTGGAGGATCTCTCTACTGAGCATGCATGGGTGCCGCCCCCGCTGTCACCTGAAGGGGGGGTAGGCTGGGATGGGGCAGCGGGGGTAGGGCGCGGTTTTGAGCGTGCTGGCTCCTCCTCGTGTATTTCCTCCAGTGGGGCTTGGCGTTCCTCTGTTCCATCCTCTTCAAGGGTACGCTTCTGGCCCCTAGGGTCAGATTGTGTGAGTGTTTTCGCTTGGTCAGGTGTGTGTTGTTTCTTCCTGACTGTTGAAGTGGGGGGAGTGGGAGAGTAGGGGGTGGCTCGGCTGCGGGACCTCCCAGATCGCCGAGGGGCTCCCGGGTCTGCCTTTCCCCCACTCGCGGGGTGCTGGGGCATTGTTACAGAGGCAGCATGCCTGGCGGTGGCGGTGTGAGTTGCTGGAGTTGGCTCAAGAGGGCGTCAAAGGGGGAAGGAACTCCCTGGCAGAGGCCGGGGTGCGGGGGGTTAGCTTGGGGAAAGGGGAAAAGGGTGGGGAAAGCGGTGCGCAGTGGGTGGAAGAGAGGGTAGAGGGGGCCTGACAGTTGGAGGGGATTGGGGCCCAAGGGGGGGGCGGGCTGGGGGCCGGTTGAGAGGGGAAGTGTTGGCTGGCTGTAGTGGAGGTGGGAGGGCGGGGGTGATGTAGCGGTGGGTGAGCAGGGTGTGGGGACAGGTGGTGGGCCAGAGGTAAGGAGGGCAGGGCAGAATTCCACGGGAGGTGGGGGTGGGCAGGTGGAGCCAAGTGGGGAAGGAAGGGTGGGGAACAGAGAGGAAGGGGCAAAGGGTAGTGGGTAGTCGAGTTGGCGTGAACCTGGTAGCGGGTAATGAGAAGGTTGGGAGGCGGGGGGTGAGAACGTGGGAGGGGAGAGAGGGCACCGAAAGGAGGCGCTGTGGTAAATGCAGAATAGGATGCGGGGCCGGGAAACAGGGGAGAGAGGGAATTGGGGAAACAATGAAGGGTGATAACTGCGGATGGGCGAGCCCCAGGGGGGAGGAAATATGGAGGGTGTTGGAGAAGGGGGAGACTGGGGGGGGTTGAGGTAGGGTGTTGGAGGGCACAAGGGGCAGGAACAGGGGGTGCAAAGGTTGGCTGGGGGAGGGAGAGGCGGTCTGGTGCCGCGGAAAGGCAAAGGGAGGTTGGGGACGGCACAGCCCAGGGAGCAAAAGCAAGGGGTGTAGACCTTGGCTGGGGGTAGGAACGGCGGTGTGGAGTTAGGGAGAGGTAGAGGGAGGCTGGGGTAGGTGGCTGGATTGCGCAAGGAGCAGGGGCAGGGGGTGTAGAGATTGGATGGGGGTGGGAAAGGCGGCGTGGTGCCAGGTGGCGGCAGTTGGGTCACCGAAGGGCCTGGCAGGGCGGGATGCAGAGGTGCAGCCCACGCTGGATGCGGAAGTAGCTGGGGGGGAAAGGGAGGCTGGAGGGGGAAGTACGGCTCGTAGAGGTGTGGGGGGCAGAGTGGGAGTGGGGAAAGCAGGAGGGGGGGTGGAGGAGGGACGTTGTGGACAGGGGAGTGGGGGAACATGCGGGTGATGATAGGGAGAAGCCGGGGGGGGGGGGAGAAGGGGGAGGTGGTATGAAGTGGGCAAGGGTGACGCACGGGCAGAGCGCGGCGGTACTAAGGGCAGGGAGACGGGAGGCTAGGGGGAGAAAAGCCTGCTTGGGGGCGTGGTGGGGGATAAGGGGAAAGGGGCGGTAATGCTGGTGGGCAAAAGGGGAGGGTGTGGTGCAGTATGATGAAACAGAATGGGGGGGTGGCGGACTGGATGGGGCCCTGGAGGGTTGGGAGAACAAGGTGTAAGCTGCCTTTCTGATTTTTTCTGGTTTTTTCCGATTTATATATATATATATATTTTTTTTTTTTCCTTGAAGTTGTTTACCCTTATTTCCTACGGTTTCCAGAGACAGGGCGGCCTTTGCTAGCTAAGCGCCGATAGGGAAAGAGGTTAGGTGGCGGGGTGGCTAAAGCGCGCGTGTGAGGGGGAAAGGGGCAGTGTGAGCAGGAAGGTGAATATGTGGGTGGCGACGGGGTAAGATTACGACGTGTGGGTGGCATGCACGAGTGCGCGACGAGGCATGGCAGGGTGGGAGTGAGCAAAGGGGGAGTGGGGCAGCCTGTGTGCCCAACGTGGGCGGCTAAAACGCTCTAGGCAGAAAACGCGCTTCGGGAGGCGCGCAAGGGGAGGGCTGCTTAATCGCTACGAACGTAGCAATTTCGCCTCCCTCCGCGCTGCCTTTCCCTGGCGGTAAGCGCCCCGTGCGCGGTTCCGTCTACGTCGCGGCTAGATTGAACGGGCGGGGAAAATGAGTGCGTGACTAAACATGACAGGCGACGAGAAAGCGTGCTTGAAAACGCGCGGCTCTTCGAATTAGGGTTTCGATAAAGAAGGGCGCACTGAAAGTGAAGGAAGAATGCTAACTACGTGTGGAAGCTAAGCTCAGTGACTTCGAGAGAGGGAAACCGTGGGAAGAAAATCGGTAGTAACTTCTCAACCGTGAGAAGAAAACCGTGGGCGAGAGCAGTACTGGGCTGGGTGACCTCCCGGGAAGTCCTCGTGTTGTACCCATTTATGCCCCTTGCTCGGCACGTGCCGGGGGAGGGGCAAGCGGGAAAAAGAAAGGACGATTTCAGCGCGTCCGATTTTTTTATTTTCGTTTTTTTTGCCCGAACAACGACCCAGCGGGGTGGGGGGCCCCCGGGGAGGCTTGCCCGTGCGAAGAAACGCCCCGTGCGCACCACCGTTGGGCGGTTGGAAGCCGCACACGGTCGCGGGGGTGGAGAGCGGAAACGGGCAGCCGGGGGAGGGTGGGGGCGGTTGGATGGGACTGGGGTGTACGGGGGGCAGGGGAGTTGAGGGGGCAAGGGGAGGGGCAGCAACGGGCAGGGGCTGGGCCAGCTGAGGGCACGGAAAAGGGGCGGGCAGAGGGTGAGCAGAGGGGCGAGCGATGCAAGGGAGGCACCATAGGGGGGAAACCAGTTGCACGGAGGTGGGAGGTGAGGGGCGTGCGAGGGGGTGGGAAAGGGGCAGGGAGGGGCAGAATGGGAGGATGTGGGTGGGGGGTGGGGGAGGGGAGTGTGCGTGTGTGTGTGTGAGAAAGAGAGAGAGGGAAAGGGAGGGGGGGAGAGAAGGGTGGGAGGGGGGCTGGTGGTGGGGATGGGCTGATGGTGGTAAGAGGGCAGCAGGGATGGGGAGAAGGGAGCGTAACGAGGGGAGAGCAAAGGGCAGGGGGGGAGGAAGGGAGGGGCAGGGAGGGAAGAGGCTGAACGTACAAAGGGGGGGAGACGAGGGGCATGGATGGTAGGAAACAAGGGCAGGGGTGCGGGAAATCAAGGGCAGGGAGGGGAGAAACGTGGGGCAGGGAGGGGAGAAGCCAAAGACAGGGGCATGGGCAGGCGGGGGCAGGGAGGGAGCAAAGGAGAGGCACGGAGAAAGAAAGGGAGGCGCGGGGAGGGGAGAAACCGGGCGTGGGGGGGCGGAAAACGAGGGGCAGGGCGGGGAGGAGGGAGGGGCAGGGAGGGGAGAAGCTGAGCACACGGAGGGGGGAAAGGTGGGGCAGGGAGGTAGGAAGCCAAGGGCAAGGGGGGGAGAGTGGGGGGGGCAGGGAGAGGGGGGAGGTGGGGAGCGGAGAAAGGCGGCGAGGGGCAGGGAGGGGAGAAACCAAGCATAGAGGGGCGAGATACGAGGGGCAGGGTGCGGATTGAGGAGGGGCAGGGAGTGGAGTGGGTCGGCGAGGGGAAGGAAGAGGCGTGCAGCAGAGGAGGGGAGGGGGGAGGAGAAGGTAAACGAGGGGAGCGCACGGGCGGGGAGGAGCGAATGGCGGGCGGTGGGAAACGGCGAGGGGGGCAGGGAGGGTCAAAAGAGGCGGCAAGGGAGCGGGCACGCGGAGGGTAGGGGCGGGGGGAGCGGATGGCATGAGGGGGCAGGGGGTGTGACTATGAAGGGGGGACCCGGGCAAGGGGTGTGTACCGGTCGGGGCACGGGGTTGACGTGGTACCATCATACCTTGGCTACTACGCCGGATCCCATCAGAACTCCGAAGCTAAGCGCCGGTGGGCGAGGCAGTTATTCGTTAATGAGGGAAGAGCAAATACAAGCCGAATATAATGGTTTTTCCAAGACTAGGAAATTTCGACATAGCCTAATCGCTATGAGGACGGTATATATATTTTGTAGGAAAAGGGGGAAAGAAAGGAAAGGAAGGAAAGATGAAGGAGTAAGAAGAAGTGGTAGGGAAAGGAAGAGGGTGGTAGGAAGAGGAGGGAAGGATAGAAGAAGGGAACAGAAAGAGGGAGGTGGGAAGAGAAGAGGAGAGAGGGAGAGAGACTAAGGAGGAGGAAGCACCGAAGGACCAAACACGGCAGCAACCCGCACGACCGCACGGGCACAGCGTTTCAAGCACAGCCACTATTGTTTTTTACACATATGCATCATATATATACTGCATATCAGCCACACTCTCGAAGCACCCTGTGACGTGGTGCCAAGTTCCCTGCCCCACACCCAGTGGGACTGGTGCGGGCATCCACCCGTCTTCGGACCTCCCTAACTGCCGCACCGCATGCTGGATCATGCATTGAGCCTGCGCGCGCTGCAGTGCAACGGAGAGGCGTGTAGTGAGTCCTGCCTCAAATATCCGTGCCGATCCGTCATCCCCCCCACCTCTATCCCTCCTCCGCTGTGCTATCCTCTTTGCGCAGAGCCCCAGAAACTGACGCAGCGGCTCACTCAGAAGGCCAAAGGTCTCCGCCACGCACGCGTAAAAGTGTGGTGCCGGCTGCAGCCCCTCTAAGTGCGGCCCCCAGTGACGCAGCTTCTCCTGCACCCGCCTAGCTGCTGCCACTCCAATCTGTGTGGGGGTCGCCCGTCTCAGCTGCACGTTCCCCTCCCGCTGTGGATCCGCTATGGAGACATCCACAAGAACCATCAGACCCTGGCCAACGTCGCGGCAGGTGAGATCTGGAATGCGGGAGGCGGTGCCTACACGGCCTGTGCGTCCGACTGGTCCCTGCTGTTGCGCTGGCTGCTGCCCTGTCTGGTCCCTTGGTGCCCCCTCTCCGATCGTCTCTCTCCCCCTCTCCTCTCCTCCATCCACCTGTCCTCTCCCCTCCCCCTCTCTACCCTCCCCCAAACCTCCCGACCCCCCTGCTCCATCCCCTGCTGCCTCTCTCACTCCCTGGCCCTCCCCTCCCAATCCCGCTGCCCCTCCTGTACCTCCGTCCGCTCTCTGCTGCTCCCGCCCCTGCCCCGCCCCCGAGGCCGAACCTGGAGGCGCGGCGCCCTGGGCCCGCGGCCTCCACTGGCTCTCCTGCTGCTGCCTGTGCCGTCCCCCCTCCCCGTCCTGGCCCGTCTGCTCCCCCTGCCGTCCCCTCTGCCCACCTGTCCCTCGCTCCACCTGACCCCGCAGCTGGTGCCGTCCCCATTGTCCCCCGCCACCCGGGTGTCCCGCCTTGCCTCTCCGCTCCCCCGGTTCCTCAGCCCGTGTCCCCTCTCCCACCACTGGCTGTCCCAGTAGTCTCGCTCGAGCCGCCTCCAACTGTGTGAACAGCGTAGAGTCCTCCACCTTTACCGCGAAGCCCGCCTCGACCGCAAAGTCTCGAAGCATGTACTTCACCGTGTCGTGGATGGTAGTGGCGACCCCGTAGCGCGGGCACCGAGCCGCGTGATGAGGCACCGTCATGTCGTCAATCGCCTGTCCGCAGGAGCACTGACCTGCAAGGGCTAACTGGGGGATAGGGAGACCAAGACGAGAAGATGAAGCCGCCTGCCACAGCGCCTCCGGGATGCGCAGTGGGTCGGCGTACGGCACCGACGTCAACCACGCCCCTGCACCTCCGCCCTGAAGGGAAGTCAAACGGGCAAGGTGCAAGGGAGAGGCGTGACGGGCACGCACGGCCTCCAAGGCATGCGCCTCCAGAAGACGGCTCGCTCCTGCAAAAAGGGAATCGGGGGAGGCAGAAGCGCAAGAGGGCCAGGGGGGAAGGAGAGAGAGAACGTCAGGTGGGAGACCCTCTAGCGCCGTCTGCAGAGCCCGGTCGATCTGCTCTGGCTCACCTGAAGCGAAGCTCTGCCGAAACACCTCGCCACACGCAGGGAGAGAACAGAGAATGGGTGCACACTGCACCCAGGAGCACACGAAACTCACCGGGGCAATGCGCGCCATGCGACGAATGCCGAAACCCCCGAGACGGATGGGGAGGAAGATCTGGTCTAGGGCGGCCTCTCGGACGTCCTCGCGACAAGCCCAGGTCCCTGAAGCTAAAAGCTGCTGAAATGTCTCTCCCAGGTGTGCGTCCCACCGTGTAAAAGTGGAGATCACTGCGGGCGAAGGAGGGACGGTCCTCGACAGGTACTGCGGACGAGTGCTGACACACGCCGAAAGGAGGCGGGCAGCTGTCTGGGGCTGGCGCAACCTCGGAAGCCAAGGTAGCACTCGCCCCATCCTCTCGAGACGATCCGGGAGACTCTGCTCCACGAACGAAACGGTGCCTACCGGTACGCCTGTCACGGTGAGCCCTCGGCGTGCGACCTCGATCCCTAGGCCCGTGAAAGCCTCCAGATCCCTGGACAGAAAGGACTCCGTCTGGTAGACGAGGCACTTGTGCGGCTGGGCTGCAAGGCCCATCTCGCCCAAGCGCCTCACGATCTCGGCAAAGTGGTGCAGCACCCTGGCTGGGGGACCTAGCACGTACGTGTCATCGGCGTACGACCAGAGCTGGACATCCCCCTCCGCCAGAACCGGCTCCAAAGCAAGACGCTGTGTCAGAGCGTACAAGAAGGGGCTGAGAGGGTCTCCCTGGCGAGTGCCCCGCTCCGAGTGCATCGTGACCACTCCCGTGCCTGACCTGTAGTGGAGATCCGAGGGCGTCCCGTAGAAGAGGCCGATGAAGGGGATCAGACACTGAAACTCCGGGCTGGCCTGCAGCGCCTGGAACATCCTGTATCGGTGGAAAGAGTTAAAGGCATTCGCCACGTCTAGCTGCAAGACCACCCAGTCTGGGTGGTCAGCCAGGGCGCGGCGGACGCCTCTAACTACGACCTCTGTCCCGCACATAACCCCCACCCCAAACTGCTGTGACGCCAAGAAGACCCTCGCCATCTGGTCACGTAGCTGGAGACAGACTGCACGAGAAAGAATGCGGACCAAAACCTCGCCGATGGCAATCGCCCGAACATCCATGTTCGACTTCGCCAGAGCCACGAGGGTGGAAGACGCTAGCAAGGAGCGTGCAGCTGGAGCGCAACGGCCTTGGAGCCACTGCTGGTACACGGCCAGGAGGAAATGGAGACTCTGAGGGAGAGCTAAGAAAGTGTCTCGCAGGTGCTCAGCGACCCAACTGGACGGTCCTCCCGAAGAGCCCCGCGGAGCTGTGAAAATCGCGCGGCGTAAGTGATCCATCGAGAGCACAAGAGGGGACCCCTGGAAGCCAGACAGCCAAGCTGGGGTCGGCCTCTCCGCGTTGGGGTGCTTCGACTGCAGGCGCTGTATCGTCCCCTGTGTATCTGGGGCTGCCTCCGCGGACTCGAGAGCCGCGCACGCCCGTGAGGTCTCATTGCACGCTGCCAGACGAAGGCAACGTGCAATGCGGCGCTCATCTGCTGTAGAGGGATCGGTGGCGGTGCGTGACCGGTGACTTGTGCGCCGAGGAAGGGGTGTGCGACGGCCTAGTGCATCTGAGACTAGCTCAGCCCACTCACCTCGACCAAAGCGGGAGATGCGCGCTGCAATGGCAGCCGTGTGCGAGCGGTCGGGTGGCGTCGCTGGAACAAGGAAAAGAGTCGGCGCTGCAGCGAGGAGGAAGGTAGGGCCAGCAGCCTCCGGGTCCTGGGCAATGCGGACTAGGATCGCACTGAGGACGTCAAGATATCCTCCGCGGACCCTCTCCGGGACACGTCGGAGAGGGCGTGTATGGATACGCTCGGGCGAGAAGTACTCTGTCCAGTCCACCGAGTCAAGCGTCTGCCACTGTGCGTCGGTGAACTGCATCCCGGTCGCACGGGGCTGTGAGAGGGAAGGGATGATCGAGGCGGTATCATGGGCAGCCTGCGCCCTGCGAGCCGCGTCCGCAGGATGGCAGAAGGGAATGTGGTGCTGGAGCGCGCGTCGGTTCGCGAGAGAGCTCCTGCAGGTGGGGCAACTCACGACCTGGTCGGGTGATGTCGCCGTGTCGGCGGGGTCAATCGGGGCCGTGGCGTCGGAACTGGCTGTAGAGGGGACCCCGTGGGCGGCCTGAGCTCCGAGAGGATTGCCTGGGACGAGGGGAGGAGACGGCTCACCAGCCCCGCGCGGGGGGGGTGTCAGCGAAGATAGAGGTGGTGTCGCACAGGATAGGGCCGGGCCTCGTGCCGGTACCGGTGTCGAAGCTGGGGAGGGGGGACGTGGAGGTGAGCCTGAAGTGTGTGCCGTGGTGTGCTCCTGCCCCTCGGCGGGGTGCGGTTCAAGTGACGGCTCTGCTACCCCAGGCGGAGGGGTCTCGGTAGGGGCGGATGCTTCATCCCTACTGCTGGTGACCTCCTGCGCCACGGGCTGAACGGGGGGAGGCGCCACCCCGTCTAGGTGCGAGTGACACGGCCTCAGAACCCGGTCCGTCTCCATTGGGGTCGGGAGTGACGCGCCTAGCTGAGTGGCGGGGGGGATAAAAGAAGGGACAGACCGGGTGACCTCCGCATACGTCCGGGTCCGGTCCTGTGGGACTGGAAGGGTGGGGGCAGCCGGAGAGCTGCTCAGGCGGTGTATTGCCAGCAAATCTGAAATGCCAGCCCTCACCTCCTGTGGGGTCTCGAAGACCTGCCTGCCTGTAGGTGAGAGTAGGAGGGCTGGCAGGGTAGAGGGTGGAGTGGGGCGTGCTGGCTGAGCGGAGCTCGGGTGTGGACCCTGCCCTAGAAGGCCCCCTTGGCCCTCCCCAATCACCATGGGTTGCGGTAGGGGGTCGTCGACATGGAAGGGGTGGGAGGGATGGGAGGGGGAGTCGGTGGCGTCTGCCATGGGCGCATCCCTCAACCCGACGGCCTCCCTCCCAGTAGCGATCGCGGCCGCCGCCACCTGGGAGGGGGACACAGCACGGGAGGGGCAGAATGGGGGTGAGTGGGCTGGACCGCTCCCATGGCCCTGTGGAGGTGCAGGAGCGGGGCGGGAGTGTAGGTTTGGTGGTCGGGCTGTAGAGGTAGGGCCTGGTAAGGGTTCAACGGGATGTGAGGTAGGGAGGGGCTCTTGGTGGGGGAGGGAGGGAGGGGGGAGTACGTGGGCTGACCCTCTGCCCCTGTTCTTCCGCCGGCGGCCAACCTGGTTGTCCGCGCCTGTTTGTGAAGGAAGGGGGGGCTGTGGGGCCAAAGGGGTGGGTGGAGGGAGGATGGGTGGTTCGCCAGGCGGGGGGTGCTCTGTGTGCATCCCCTCTCTCCTCGAAACATCCCCCTCCGTGGGAACAGATCGGGCAAGCTGTGTGTGGGGGGTGATGGCTGCCCAACGGGGCCACTCGTGGGGAACCCGGCCGGGAGAGGGGGTTGGAGGTGGGGGTCGAGGGGCTGGGCTAGTGTGGAGATTAGAGCGAGGTACAAACGGTGGGGGGAGAGAGATTTGTGTGGGCCCTGTGGTGGCCTCTCCTGTGGGCCCCTCTACCCGGGTGCCGCCGCTCCCATGAGCCTGGGGCGCAAGCCCTTGCGGGTGGGTCTCGGCTGCCTGGGGGGGGTGGTGTGGGGAGGGCAGCCTGTTGGGTGGGCGTGTTGGGGCTGTGCGGCGACTCGGGTGGTTTGGGTGCCTGTAGCGTGTGGGAGAGGGATTTGGCCGCAGAGATGCTTCAACCTCCGAGATGTGTGTACTACCGGGTGGGGGGGGGCCTGGTGGAGGAGGGGGTAGTGGGCCGGTAGGGGGTGGCTGGGTGTTGGTAGGAGTCGGGGAGCATGGCTCCTCTAGGAAGACCAGAGCCCTGGCTGCTCCACGTGGTGCTCTAAGGAGCCCCTGAGGGTGGGGGCAGAGGTGTGCTGCCCTTGGGGGTGAAGGAAGGAGTGAGGGAAGGGGCGGGGAGGGGTGAGGGGTGAGAGAAGGGGTGCCCTCGGGTGGCTCTGCTCTTGTCGCACCCGCGTGCTCTCCCGGTGGACCGCCTGCAACCGTGGGGTCAGGCGTTGGGGACGGAGAGGGGGGCTGGCCATGGAGCAGCGTGGGGGTCGGGGAGCACGGCTCCGCCAAGAAGGCCAGGGCCTTGGCTGCCCCCCTGGACACTACCGGGACCTGAGGGTGGGGGTGGGGAAGTGGTGCTCCTGGGGGTGGGTGGGCTGGAGGACGGGAGGTGAGGATGGGGGCTCCCTCGCGCGGCTCTGTCCTCAAGGTCTCCCCCAGCCCCTCCATCGGTCCTTCTGCTAGCATGGGGACGGGCATGGGGGGTAGAGGGGGAACCTCGACGTGAGGCTGCAGGGGGGCCGGGTCGGCCTCACCGTCAAGCGTGAGGTATTGGGCCAGTGGCCCGTCAATGTGCATCACATCCTCTCCCTCATCCTCCTCTATCGCTATCACATCCCCCTCTTCAGTGCCCACCCCGGTCGGGACCACACTCACCTCTCCTTCCCCTGTTGCCCCTATGTCCCCCGAGCCCACCCCGCCTGCTGCCGCTTTACTGCTAGCCCCTTTTGCAGTCCCTGCCGGCCCTGCCGGCCCTGCTGTGTGTTTCCCCGCGTTTGCTGCGGCCCCTGCCGCCCCTACTGGCCGTGCTATGGCCCTCCCTGCTGCTTCAGCTGCAGCCTCACCTTCTGCCTTTGAGGCCACTGCTGTCCCCTCTCCCACTCTAGCCCCTGCCGTACCCTCTCTTGCTACAGCCGGGGCGGCACTCTCCCTCGCACCAGTCCCCGTTACCCCCTTCCCCGCTGCACCCGTAGCACCTCCCCCTATACCAGCCCCCACTGTGGCCTCTGTCGCTCCTTCTGCAGTCCTTGCAGCCTCGACTGTTGCAGTCTGTAAAACCTCGCCTACCGTAATCTGCTCAGCCTCACCAGCCGCGATCCCTGCAGCCTTGCCTGCCGCGGTCCCTGCAGGCTCACGTGCTGCAGTCCCTTCAGCCTCACCCGCTGCAGTCCCTGCGGCCTCACCTGCTGCGTCCGCCGCAGTCTCACCTGCTGCAGCCCTTGCAGTCCCGCCTGCTGCGCTCCCTGCGGCCTCACCTGCTGCGCTCTCTGCAGCCTCACCTGCTGCGCCCCCTACAGCCTCACCTGCTGCGCTCCCTGCAGCCTCACCTACTGCGCTCCCTGCGGCCTCACCTGCCATGGTCCCTCCTGCAGCCTCACCCGTTGTGATCCGTGCAGCCACACCTGCTGTGGTCTTTGCGGCCTCACCTGGTGCGGTCCCTATAGCCTCCTCTGCTGCGGTTCCTCCAGCCGACACAGCAGCAGGTTCCGTGGCCCCTACTCCTGCAAAACCTGTCTCGATGGCCTCTGCCCTTTGCCTGGCCAGAGTCACGGTCCCTGCCGCCCCTTCCCGTGCAGCCCCTGCCGCCCTTTCCCGTGCAGCCGCTGCTGCCCCTTCCCTTGCAGCCTCTGCTGCCCTTTCCTCTGCAGCCTCTGCTGCCCCTTCCCCCACAACCCCCATTGCCCCTTCCCGTGCAGCCTTTGCTGCCCCATCCTCTGCAGCCTCTGCTGCTCCTTCACACACAAACTCACTTACCCCTTCCCGTGCAGTGTCAGCTGCAAGTTCCCCCCTGGCTCTGCCCTCTCCCGCTTCTATGTGCTTGGGGGTGCGGGTAGGATTAAGTGTTTTCACAAGTAATCTGGTTTGCGAATGGGAGGTAGCGAGTGAGTTGGAGGATCTCTCTACTGAGCATGCATGGGTGCCGCCCCCGCTGTCACCTGAAGGGGGGGTAGGCTGGGATGGGGCAGCGGGGGTAGGGCGCGGTTTTGAGCGTGCTGGCTCCTCCTCAGTGTATTTCCTCCAGTGGGGCTTGGCGTTCCTCTGTTCCATCCTCTTCAAAGGTACGCTTCTGGCCCCTAGGGTCAGATTGTGTGAGTGTTTTCGCTTGGTCAGGTGTGTGTTGTTTCTTCCTGACTGTTGAAGTGGGGGGAGTGGGAGAGTAGGGGGTGGCTCGGCTGCGGGACCTCCCAGATCGCCGAGGGGCTCCCGAGTCTGCCTTTCCCCCACTCGCGGGGTGCTGGGGCATTGTTACAGAGGCAGCATGCCTGGCGGTGGCGGTGTGAGTTGCTGGAGTTGGCTCAAGAGGGCGTCAAAGGGGGAAGGAACTCCCTGGCAGAGGCCGGGGTGCGGGGGGTTAGCTTGGGGAAAGGGGAAAAGGGTGGGGAAAGCGGTGCGCAGTGGGTGGAAGAGAGGGTAGAGGGGGCCTGACAGTTGGAGGGGATTGAGGCCCAAGGGGGGGGCGGGCTGGGGGCCGGTTGAGAGGGGAAGTGTTGGCGGGCTGTAGTGGAGGTGGGGGGGGCGGGGGTGATGTAGCGGTGGGTGAGCAGGGTGTGGGGACAGGTGGTGGGCCGGAGGTGGGGAGGGCAGGGCAGAATTCCACGGGAGGTGGGGGTGGGCAGGTGGAGCCAAGTGGGAAAGGAAGGGTGGGGAACAGAGAGGAAGGGGCAAAGGGTAGTGGGTAGTCGAGTTGGCGTGAGCCTGGTAGCGGGTAATGAGAAGGTTGGGAGGCGGGGGGTGAGAACGTGGGAGGGCAGAGAGGGCACCGAAAGGAGGCGCTGTGGTAAATGCAGAATAGGATGCGGGGCCGGGAAACAGGGGACAGAGGGAATTGGGGAAACGATGAAGGGTGATAACTGCGGATGGGCGAGCCCCAGGGGGGAGGAAATATGGAGGGTGTTGGAGAAGGGGGAGACTGGGGGGGGTTGAGGTAGGGTGTTGGAGGGCACAAGGGGCAGGAACAGGGGGTGCAAAGGTTGGCTGGGGGAGGGAGAGGCGGTCTGGTGCCGCGGAAAGGCGGAGGGAGGTTGGGGACGGCACAGCCCAGGGAGCAAAAGCAAGGGGTGTAGACCTTGGCTCGGGGTAGGAACGGCGGTGTGGAGTTAGGGAGAGGTAGAGGGAGGCTGGGGTAGGTGGCTGGATTGCGCAGGGAGCAGGGGCAGGGGGTGTAGAGATTGGATGGGGGTGGGAAAGGCGGCGTGGTGCCAGGTGGCGGCAGTTGGGTCACCGAAGGGCCTGGCAGGGCGGGATGCAGAGGTGCAGCCCACGCTGGATGCGGAAGTAGCTGGGGGGGAAAGGGAGGCTGGAGGGGGAAGTACGGCTCGTAGAGGTGTGGGGGGCAGAGTGGGAGTGGGGAAGGCAGGAGGGGGGGTGGAGGAGGGACGTTGTGGACAGGGGAGTGGGGGAACATGCGGGTGATGATAGGGAGAAGCCGAGGGGGGGGGAGAAGGGGGAGGTGGTATGAAGTGGGCAAGGGTGACGCACGGGCAGGGCACGGCGGTACTAAGGGCAGGGAGACGGGAGGCTGGGGGGAGAAAAGCCTGCTTGGGGGCGTGGTGGGGGATAAGGGGAAAGGGGCGGTAATGCTGGTGGGCGAAAGGGGAGGGTGTGGTGCAGTATGATGAAACAGAATGGGGGGGTGGCGGACTGGATGGGGCCCTGGAGGGTTGGGAGAACAAAGTGTAAGCTGCCTTTCTGATTTTTTTTCTGGTTTTTTTCCGATTTATATGAATATTTTTTTTTTTTCTTTGAAGTTGTTTCCCCTTATTTCCTACGGTTTCCAGAGACAGGGCGGCCTCTGCTAGCTAAGCGCCGTTAGGGAAAGAGGTTAGGTGGCGGGGTGGCTAAAGCGCGCGTGTGAGGGGGAAAGGGGCGGTGTGAGCAGGAAGGTGAATATGTGGGTGGCGACGGGGTAAGATTACGACGTGTGGGTGGCATGCACGAGTGCGCGACGAGGCATGGCAGGGTGGGAGTGAGCAAAGGGGGAGTGGGGCAGCCTGTGTGCCCAACGTGGGCGGCTAAAACGCTCCACGCAGAAAACGCGCTTTGGGAGGCGCGCAAGGGGAGGGCTGCTTAATCGCTACGAACGTAGCAATTTCGCCTCCCTCCGCGCTGCCTTTCCCTGGCGGTAAGCGCCCCGTGCGCGGTTCTGTCTACGTCACGGCTAGATTGAACGGGCGGGGAAAATGAGTGCGTGACTAAACATGACAGGCGACGAGAAAGCGTGCTTGAAAACGCGCGGCTCTTCGAATTAGGGTTTCGATAAAGAAGGGTGCACTGAAAGGGAAGGAAGAATGCTAACTACGGGCGGAAGCTAAGCTCAGTGACTTCGAGAGAGGGAAACCGTGGGAAGAAAATCGGTAGTAGCTAATCGCTTCGAATAGAAAAGCCGTGGGCAGAAAAGAGCGGGGGGATAAGGGAGAGTGTCGAGAGAGGGGATGGGCGGGAACACCGTGTCTGGCGGAGTTGTGGTTGTGAGTCGCGCGCGCTGTTACACTCCGCGGGCGAACTTCGCGTCAACGCCCCACCTCCCGTTACACCGGCTGCAGCGCGTCCGCAGCCTTCCCGCGATGGCGGGGTCGAACGAGCGGTTCCGTAACACCCCACGAGTTCCGTTTCCGAGACTCCTGAGGGTCGCGTGCGGAACTCGCGACCCCCGTCCCGTCGAACTCGACAGTCGAAACTGGAAAACTAACCGTTGGAAACGCTTATAACTATAACATAAACAACTATCACAATCACTTTGTCCTTAAGCAACTCGAAATAGTAGGTTTGGGAGGCTCCTTAGTAGGCAGCCCTGGCTAGGTAAGCTAGGTCAAGGTAAGAGCGCCAGTGGGCGAGAGCAGTACTGGGCTGGGTGACCTCCCGGGAAGTCCTCGTGTTGTACCCATTTATGCCCCTTGCTCGGCACGTGCCGGGGGAGGGGCAAGCGGGAAAAAGAAAGGACGATTTCAGCGCGTCCGATTTTTCTATTTTCGTTTTTTTGCCCGAACAACGACCCAGCGGGGTGGGGGGCCCCCGGGGAGGCTTGCCCGTGCGAAGAAACGCCCCGTGCGCACCACCGTTGGGCGGTTGGAAGCCGCGCACGGTCGCGGGGGTGGAGAGCGGAAACGGGCAGCCGGGGGAGGGTGGGGGCGGTTGGATGGGACTGGGGTGTACGGGGGGCAGGGGAGTTGAGGGGGCAAGGGGAGGGGCAGCAACGGGCAGGGGCTGGGCCAGCTGAGGGCACGGAAAAGGGGCGGGCAGAGGGTGAGCAGAGGGGCGAGCGATGCAAGGGAGGCACCATAGGGGGGAAACCAGTTGCACGGAGGTGGGAGGTGAGGGGCGTGCGAGGGGGTGGGAAAGGGGCAGGGAGGGGCAGAATGGGAGGATGTGGGTGGGGGGTGGGGGAGGGGAGTGTGCGTGTGTGTGTGTGAGAAAGAGAGAGAGGGAAAGGGAGGGGGGGAGAGAAGGGTGGGAGGGGGGCTGGTGGTGGGGATGGGCTGATGGTGGTAAGAGGGCAGCAGGGATGGGGAGAAGGGAGCGTAACGAGGGGAGAGCAAAGGGCAGGGGGGGAGGAAGGGAGGGGCAGGGAGGGAAGAGGCTGAACGTACAAAGGGGGGGAAACGAGGGGCATGGATGGTAGGAAACAAGGGCAGGGAGGGGAGAAGCAATGGGTGAGGGGAAAACAAGGGAGGGGCAGAGGGGGAGGGCAGGGAGGGAAGAAACGTGGGGCAGGGAGGGGAGAAGCCAAAGACAGGGGCATGGGCAGGCGGGGGCAGGGAGGGAGCAAAGGAGAGGCACGGAGAAAGAAAGGGAGGCGCGGGGAGGGGAGAAACCGGGTGTGGGGGGGAAGGAAAACGAGGGGCAGGGCGGGGAGGAGGGAGGGGCAGGGAGGGGAGAAGCTGAGCACACAGAGGGGGGAAAGGTGGGGCAGGGAGGTAGGAAGCCAAGGGCAAGGGTGGGAGAGTGGGGGGGGCAGGGAGAGGGGGGAGGTGGGGGGCGGAGAAAGGCGGCGAGGGGCAGGGAGGGGAGAAACCAAGCATAGGGGGGCGAGATACGAGGGGCAGGGTGCGGATTGAGGAGGGGCAGGGAGTGGAGTGGGTCGGCGAGGGGAAGGAAGAGGCGTGCAGCAGAGGAGGGGAGGGGGGAGGAGAAGGTAAACGAGGGGAGCGCACGGGCGGGGAGGAGCGAATGGCGGGCGGTGGGAAACGGCGAGGGGGGCAGGGAGGGTCAAAAGAGGCGGCAAGGGAGCGGGCACGCGGAGGGTAGGGGCGGGGGGAGCGGATGGCATGAGGGGGCAGGGGGTGTGACTATGAAGGGGGGACCCGGGCAAGGGGTGTGTACCGGTCGGGGCACGGGGTTGACGTGGTACGATCATACCTCGGCTACTACGCCGGATCCCATCAGAACTCCGAAGCTAAGCGCCGGTGGGCGAGAGCAGTTATTCATTAATAAGGGAAGAGCAAATACAAGCCGAATATAATGGTTTTTCCAAGACTAGGAAATTTCGACATAGCCTAATCGCTATGAGGACGGTATATATATTTTGTAGGAAAAGGGGGAAAGAAAGGAAAGGAAGGAAAGATGAAGGAGTAAGAAGAAGTGGTAGGGAAAGGAAGAGGGTGGTAGGAAGAGAAGGGAAGGATAGAAGAAGGGAACAGAAAGAGGGAGGTGGGAAGAGAAGAGGAGAGAGGGAGAGAGACTAAGGAGGAGGAAGCACCAAAGGACCAAACACGGCAGCAACCCGCACGACCGCACGGGCACAGCGTTTCAAGCACAGCCACTATTGTTTTTTACACATATGCATCATATATATACTGCATATCAGCCACACTCTCGAAGCACCCTGTGACGTGGTGCCAAGTTCCCTGCCCCGCACCCAGTGGGACTGGTGCGGGCATCCACCCGTCGTCGGACCTCCCTAACTGCCGCACCGCATGCTGGATCATGCATTGAGCCTGCGCGCGCTGCAGTGCAACGGAGAGGCGTGTAGTGAGTCCTGCCTCAAATATCCGTGCCGATCCGTCATCCCCCCCACCTCTATCCCTCCTCCGCTGTGCTATCCTCTTTGCGCAGAGCCCCAGAAACTGACGCAGCGGCTCACTCAGAAGGCCAAAGGTCTCCGCCACGCACGCGTAAAAGTGTGGTGCCGGCTGCAGCCCCTCTAAGTGCGGCCCCCAGTGACGCAGCTTCTCCTGCACCCGCCTAGCTGCTGCCACTCCAATCTGTGTGGGGGTCGCCCGTCTCAGCTGCACGTTCCCCTCCCGCTGTGGATCCGCTATGGAGACATCCACAAGAACCATCAGACCCTGGCCAACGTCGCGGCAGGTGAGATCTGGAATGCGGGAGGCGGTGCCTACACGGCCTGTGCGTCCGACTGGTCCCTGCTGTTGCGCTGGCTGCTGCCCTGTCTGGTCCCTTGGTGCCCCCTCTCCGATCGTCTCTCTCCCCCTCTCCTCTCCTCCATCCACCTGTCCTCTCCCCTCCCCCTCTCTACCCTCCCCCAAACCTCCCGACCCCCCTGCTCCATCCCCTGCTGCCTCTCTCACTCCCTGGCCCTCCCCTCCCAATCCCGCTGCCCCTCCTGTACCTCCGTCCGCTCTCTGCTGCTCCCGCCCCTGCCCCGCCCCCGAGGCCGAACCTGGAGGCGCGGCGCCCTGGGCCCGCGGCCTCCACTGGCTCTCCTGCTGCTGCCTGTGCCGTCCCCCCTCCCCGTCCTGGCCCGTCTGCTCCCCCTGCCGTCCCCTCTGCCCACCTGTCCCTCGCTCCACCTGACCCCGCAGCTGGTGCCGTCCCCACTGTCCCCCGCCACCCGGCTGTCCCGCCTCGCCTCTCCGCTCCCCCGGTCCCTCAGCCCGTGTCCCCTCTCCCACCACTGGCTGTCCCAGTAGTCTCGCTCGAGCCGCCTCCAACTGTGTGAACAGCGTAGAGTCCTCCACCTTTACCGCGAAGCCCGCCTCGACCGCAAAGTCTCGAAGCATGTACTTCACCGTGTCGTGGATGGTAGTGGCGACCCCGTAGCGCGGGCACCGAACCGCGTGATGAGGCACCGTCATGTCGTCAATCGCCTGTCCGCAGGAGCACTGACCTGCAAGGGCTAACTGGGGGATAGGGAGACCAAGACGAGAAGATGAAGCCGCCTGCCACAGCGCCTCCGGGATGCGCAGTGGGTCGGCGTACGGCACCGACGTCAACCACGCCCCTGCACCTCCGCCCTGAAGGGAAGTCAAACGGGCAAGGTGCAAGGGAGAGGCGTGACGGGCACGCACGGCCTCCAAGGCATGCGCCTCCAGAAGACGGCTCGCTCCTGCAAAAAGGGAATCGGGGGAGGCAGAAGCGCAAGAGGGCCAGGGGGGAAGGAGAGAGAGAACGTCAGGTGGGAGACCCTCTAGCGCCGTCTGCAGAGCCCGGTCGATCTGCTCTGGCTCACCTGAAGCGAAGCTCTGCCGAAACACCTCGCCACACGCAGGGAGAGAACAGAGAATGGGTGCACACTGCACCCAGGAGCACACGAAACTCACCGGGGCAATGCGCGCCATGCGACGAATGCCGAAACCCCCGAGACGGATGGGGAGGAAGATCTGGTCTAGGGCGGCCTCTCGGACGTCCTCGCGACAAGCCCAGGTCCCTGAAGCTAAAAGCTGCTGAAATGTCTCTCCCAGGCGTGCGTCCCACCGTGTAAAACTGGAGATCACTGCGGGCGAAGGAGGGACGGTCCTCGACAGGTACTGCGGACGAGTGCTGACACACGCCGAAAGGAGGCGGGCAGCTGTCTGGGGCTGGCGCAACCTTGGAAGCCAAGGTAGCACCCGCCCCATCCTCTCGAGACGATCCGGGAGACTCTGCTCCACGAACGAAACGGTGCCTACCGGTACGCCTGTCACGGTGAGCCCTCGGCGTGCGACCTCGATCCCTAGGCCCGTGAAAGCCTCCAGATCCCTGGACAGAAAGGACTCCGTCTGGTAGACGAGGCACTTGTGCGGCTGGGCTGCAAGGCCCATCTCGCCCAAGCGCCTCACGATCTCGGCAAAGTGGTGCAGCACCCTGGCTGGGGGACCTAGCACGTACGTGTCATCGGCGTACGACCAGAGCTGGACATCCCCCTCCGCCAGAACCGGCTCCAAAGCAAGACGCTGTGTCAGAGCGTACAAGAAGGGGCTGAGAGGGTCTCCCTGGCGAGTGCCCCGCTCCGAGTGCATCGTGACCACTCCCGTGCCTGACCTGTAGTGGAGATCCGAGGGCGTCCCGTAGAAGAGGCCGATGAAGGGGATCAGACACTGAAACTCCGGGCTGGCCTGCAGCGCCTGGAACATCCTGTCTCGGTGGAAAGAGTTAAAGGCATTCGCCACGTCTAGCTGCAGGACCACCCAGTCTGGGTGGTCAGCCAGGGCGCGGCGGACGCCTCTAACTACGACCTCTGTCCCGCACATAACCCCCACCCCAAACTGCTGTGACGCCAAGAAGACCCTCGCCATCTGGTCACGTAGCTGGAGACAGACTGCACGAGAAAGAATGCGGACCAAAACCTCGCCGATGGCAATCGGCCGAACATCCATGTTCGACTTCGCCAGAGCCACGAGGGTGGAAGACGCTAGCAAGGAGCGTGCAGCTGGAGCGCAACGGCCTCGGAGCCACTGCTGGTACACGGCCAGGAGGAAATGGAGACTCTGAGGGAAAGCTAAGAAAGTGTCTCGCAGGTGCTCAGCGACCCAACCGGACGGTCCTCCCGAAGAGCCCCGCGGAGCTGTGAAAATCGCGCGGCGTAAGTGATCCACCGAGAGCACAAGAGGGGACCCCTGGAAGCCAGACAGCCAAGCTGGGGTCGGCCTCTCCGCGTTGGGGTGCTTCGACTGCAGGCGCTGTATCGTCCCCTGTGTATCTGGGGCTGCCTCCGCGGACTCGAGAGCCGCGCACGCCCGTGAGGTCTCATTGCACGCTGCCAGACGAAGGCAACGTGCAATGCGGCGCTCATCTGCTGTAGAGGGATCGGTGGCGGTGCGTGACCGGTGACCTGTGCGCCGAGGAAGGGGTGTGCGACGGCCTAGTGCATCTGAGACTAGCTCAGCCCACTCACCTCGACCAAAGCGGGAGATGCGCGCTGCAATGGCAGCCGTGTGCGAGCGGTCGGGTGGCGTCGCTGGAACAAGGAAAAGAGTCGGCGCTGCAGCGAGGAGGAAGGTAGGGCCAGCAGCCTCCGGGTCCTGGGCAATGCGGACTAGGATCGCACTGAGGACGTCAAGATATCCTCCGCGGACCCTCTCCGGGACACGTCGGAGAGGGCGTGTATGGATACGCTCGGGCGAGAAGTACTCTGTCCAGTCCACCGAGTCGAGCGTCTGCCACTGTGCGTCGGTGAACTGCATCCCGGTCGCACGGGGCTGTGAGAGGGAAGGGATGATCGAGGCGGTATCATGGGCAGCCTGCGCCCTGCGAGCCGCGTCCGCAGGATGGCAGAAGGGAATGTGGTGCTGGAGCGCGCGTCGGTTCGCGAGAGAGCTCCTGCAGGTGGGGCAACTCACGACCTGGTCCGGGTGATGTCGCCGTGTCGGCGGGGTCAATCGGGGCCGTGGCGTCGGAACTGGCTGTAGAGGGGACCCCGTGGGCGGCCTGAGCTCCGAGAGGATCGCCTGGGATGAGGGGAGGAGACGGCTCACCAGCCCCGCGCGGGGGGGGTGTCAGCGAAGATAGAGGTGGTGTCGCACAGGATAGGGCCGGGCCTCGTGCCGGTACCGGTGTCGAAGCTGGGGAGGGGGGACGTGGAGGTGAGCCTGAAGTGTGTGCCGTGGTGTGCTCCTGCCCCTCGGCGGGGTGCGGTTCAAGTGACGGCTCTGCTACCCCAGGCGGAGGGGTCTCGGTAGGGGCGGATGCCTTCATCCCTACTGCTGGTGACCTCCTGCGCCACGGGCTGAACGGGGGGAGGCGCCACCCCGTCTAGGTGCGAGTGACACGGCCTCAGAACCCGGTCCGTCTCCATTGGGGTCGGGAGTGACGCGCCTAGCTGAGTGGCGGGGGGGATAAAAGAAGGGACAGACCGGGTGACCTCCGCATACGTCCGGGTCCGGTCCTGTGGGACTGGAAGGGTGGGGGCAGCCGGAGAGCTGCTCAGGCGGTGTATCGCCAGCAAATCTGAAATGCCAGCCCTCACCTCCTCTGGGGTCTCGAAGACCTGCCTGCCTGTAGGTGAGAGTAGGAGGGCTGGCAGGGTAGAGGGTGGAGTGGGGCGTGCTGGCTGAGCGGAGCTCGGGTGTGGACCCTGCCCTAGAAGGCCCCCTTGGCCCTCCCCAATCACCATGGGTTGCGGTAGGGGGTCGTCGACATGGAAGGGGTGGGAGGGATGGGAGGGGGAGTCGGTGGCGTCTGCCATGGGCGCATCCCTCAACCCGACGGCCTCCCTCCCAGTAGCGATCGCGGCCGCCGCCACCTGGGAGGGGGACACAGCACGGGAGGGGCAGAATGGGGGTGAGTGGGCTGGACCGCTCCCATGGCCCTGTGGAGGTGCAGGAGCGGGGCGGGAGTGTAGGTTTGGTGGTCGGGCTGTAGAGGTAGGGCCTGGTAAGGGTTCAACGGGATGTGAGGTAGGGAGGGGCTCTTGGTGGGGGAGGGAGGGAGGGGGGAGTACGTGGGCTGACCCTCTGCCCCTGTTCTTCCGCCGGCGGCCAACCTGGTTGTCCGCGCCTGTTTGTGAAGGAAGGGGGGGCTGTGGGGCCAAAGGGGTGGGTGGAGGGAGGATGGGTGGTTCGCCAGGCGGGGGGTGCTCTGTGTGCATCCCCTCTCTCCTCGAAACATCCCCCTCCGTGGGAACAGATCGGGCAAGCTGTGTGTGGGGGGTGATGGCTGCCCAACGGGGCCACTCGTGGGGAACCCGGCCGGGAGAGGGGGTTGGAGGTGGGGGTCGAGGGGTCGGGCCAGTGTGGAGGTTAGAGCGAGGTACAAACGGTGGGGGGAGAGAGATTTGTGTGGGCCCTGTGGTGGCCTCTCCTGTGGGCCCCTCTACCCGGGTGCCGCCGCTCCCATGAGCCTGGGGCGCAAGCCCTTGCGGGTGGGTCTCGGCTGCCTGGGGGGGGTGGTGTGGGGAGGGCAGCCTGTTGGGTGGGCGTGTTGGGGCTGTGCGGCGACTCGGGTGGTTTGGGTGCCTGTAGCGTGTGGGAGAGGGATTTGGCCGCAGAGATGCTTCAACCTCCGAGATGTGTGTACTACCGGGTGGGGGGGGGCCTGGTGGAGGAGGGGGTAGTGGGCCGGTAGGGGGTGGCTGGGTGTTGGTAGGAGTCGGGGAGCATGGCTCCTCTAGGAAGACCAGAGCCCTGGCTGCTCCACGTGGTGCTCTAAGGAGCCCCTGAGGGTGGGGGCAGAGGTGTGCTGCCCTTGGGGGTGAAGGAAGGAGTGAGGGAAGGGGCGGGGAGGGGTGAGGGGTGAGAGAAGGGGTGCCCTCGGGTGGCTCTGCTCTTGTCGCACCCGCGTGCTCTCCCGGTGGACCGCCTGCAACCGTGGGGTCAGGCGTTGGGGACGGAGAGGGGAGCTGGCCATGGAGCAGCGTGGGGGTCGGGGAGCACGGCTCCGCCAAGAAGGCCAGGGCCTTGGCTGCCCCCCTGGACACTACCGGGACCTGAGGGTGGGGGTGGGGAAGTGGTGCTCCTGGGGGTGGGTGGGCTGGAGGACGGGAGGTGAGGATGGGGGCTCCCTCGCGCGGCTCTGTCCTCAAGGTCTCCCCCAGCCCCTCCATCGGTCCTTCTGCTAGCATGGGGACGGGCATGGGGGGTAGAGGGGGAATCTCGACGTGAGGCTGCAGGGGGGCCGGGTCGGCCTCACCGTCAAGCGTGAGGTATTGGGCCAGTGGCCCGTCAATGTGCATCACATCCTCTCCCTCATCCTCCTCTATCGCTATCACATCCCCCTCTTCAGTGCCCACCCCGGTCGGGACCACACTCACCTCTCCTTCCCCTGTTGCCCCTATGTCCCCCGAGCCCACCCCGCCTGCTGCCGCTTTACTGCTAGCCCCTTTTGCAGTCTCTGCCGGCCCTGCCGGCCCTGCTGTGTGTTTCCCCGCGTTTGCTGCGGCCCCTGCCGCCCCTACTGGCCGTGCTATGGCCCTCCCTGCTGCTTCAGCTGCAGCCTCACCTTCTGCCTTTGAGGCCACTGCTGTCCCCTCTCCCACTCTAGCCCCTGCCGTACCCTCTCTTGCTACAGCCGGGGCGGCACTCTCCCTCGCACCAGTCCCCGTTACCCCCTTCCCCGCTGCACCCGTAGCACCTCCCCCTATACCAGCCCCCACTGTGGCCTCTGTTGCTCCTGCTGCAGTCCTTGCAGCCTCGACTGCTGCAGTCTGTAAAACCTCGCCTACCGTAATCTGCTCAGCCTCACCAGCCGCGATCCCTGCAGCCTTGCCTGCCGCGGTCCCTGCAGGCTCACGTGCTGCAGTCCCTGCAGCCTCACCCGCTGCAGTCCCTGCGGCCTCACCTGCTGCAGTCTGTGCAGCCTCACCTGCTAGAATCTGCTCAACCTCACATGCTGCGGCCTCTGCAGCCTCACCTGCTGCGGCTATTTCAGCCTCACCTGCTGCGCTCCCTGCGGCCTCACCTGCCATGGTCCCGCCTGCAGCCTCATCCGCTGTGGTCCCTGCCGCCTCACCTGCTGCAGTCCCTGCGGCCTCACCTGTTGCAGTCCCTGCGACCTCACCAGCTGTAGACTGTGCAGCCTCACCTGCTAGAGTCTGCCCAACCTTACATGATGCAGCCCTCGCAGCCTCACCTGCTGCGTCCGCCGCAGTCTCACCTGCTGCGGCCCCTGCAGTCCCGCCTGCTGCGCTCCCTGCGGCCTCACCTGCTGCGCTCTCTGCAGCCTCACCTGCTGCGCCCCCTACAGCCTCACCTGCTGCGCTCCCTGTAGCCTCACCTACTGCGCTCCCTGCGGCCTCACCTGCCATGGTCCCTCCTGCAGCCTCACCCGTTGTGATCCCTGCAGCCACACCTGCTGTGGTCTGTGCGGCCTCACCTGGTGCGGTCCCTATAGCCTCCTCTGCTGCGGTTCCCCCAGCCGACACAGCAGCAGGTTCCGTGGCCCCTACTCCTGCAAAACCTGTCTCCATGGCCTCTGCCCTTTGCCTGGCCAGAGTCACGGTCCCTGCCGCCCCTTCCCGTGCAGCCCCTGCCGCCCTTTCCCGTGCAGCCGCTGCTGCCCCTTCCCTTGCAGCCTCTGCTGCCCTTTCCTCTGCAGCCTCTGCTGCCCCTTCCCCCACAACCCCCATTGCCCCTTCCCGTGCAGCCTTTGCTGCCCCATCCTCTGCAGCCTCTGCTGCTCCTTCACACACAAACTCACTTACCCCTTCCCGTGCAGTGTCAGCTGCAAGTTCCCCCCTGGCTCTGCCCTCTCCCGCTTCTATGTGCTTGGGGGTGCGGGTAGGATTAAGTGTTTTCACAAGTAATCTGGTTTGCGAATGGGAGGTAGCGAGTGAGTTGGAGGATCTCTCTACTGAGCATGCATGGGTGCCGCCCCCGCTGTCACCTGAAGGGGGGGTAGGCTGGGATGGGGCAGCGGGGGTAGGGCGCGGTTTTGAGCGTGCTGGCTCCTCCTCGTGTATTTCCTCCAGTGGGGCTTGGCGTTCCTCTGTTCCATCCTCTTCAAAGGTACGCTTCTGGCCCCTAGGGTCAGATTGTGTGAGTGTTTTCGCTTGGTCAGGTGTATGTTGTTTCTTCCTGACTGTTGAAGTGGGGGGAGTGGGAGAGTAGGGGGTGGCTCGGCTGCGGGACCTCCCAGATCGCCGAGGGGCTCCCGAGTCTGCCTTTCCCCCACTCGCGGGGTGCTGGGGCATTGTTACAGAGGCAGCATGCCTGGCGGTGGCGGTGTGAGTTGCTGGAGTTGGCTCAAGAGGGCGTCAAAGGGGGAAGGAACTCCCTGGCAGAGGCCGGGGTGCGGGGGGTTAGCTTGGGGAAAGGGGAAAAGGGTGGGGAAAGCGGTGCGCAGTGGGTGGAAGAGAGGGTAGAGGGGGCCTGACAGTTGGAGGGGATTGGGGCCCAAGGGGGGGGCGGGCTGGGGGCCGGTTGAGAGGGGAAGTGTTGGCGGGCTGTAGTGGAGGTGGGGGGGCGGGGGTGATGTAGCGGTGGGTGAGCAGGGTGTGGGGACAGGTGGTGGGCCGGAGGTGGGGAGGGCAGGGCAGAATTCCACGGGAGGTGGGGGTGGGCAGGTGGAGCCAAGTGGGAAAGGAAGGGTGGGGAACAGAGAGGAAGGGGCAAAGGGTAGTGGGTAGTCGAGTTGGCGTGAGCCTGGTAGCGGGTAATGAGAAGGTTGGGAGGCGGGGGGTGAGAACGTGGGAGGGCAGAGAGGGCACCGAAAGGAGGCGCTGTGGTAAATGCAGAATAGGATGCGGGGCCGGGAAACAGGGGACAGAGGGAATTGGGGAAACGATGAAGGGTGATAACTGCGGATGGGCGAGCCCCAGGGGGGAGGAAATATGGAGGGTGTTGGAGAAGGGGGAGACTGGGGGGGGTTGAGGTAGGGTGTTGGAGGGCACAAGGGGCAGGAACAGGGGGTGCAAAGGTTGGCTGGGGGAGGGAGAGGCGGTCTGGTGCCGCGGAAAGGCGGAGGGAGGTTGGGGACGGCACAGCCCAGGGAGCAAAAGCAAGGGGTGTAGACCTTGGCTGGGGGTAGGAACGGCGGTGTGGAGTTAGGGAGAGGTAGAGGGAGGCTGGGGTAGGTGGCTGGATTGCGCAGGGAGCAGGGGCAGGGGGTGTAGAGATTGGATGGGGGTGGGAAAGGCGGCGTGGTGCCAGGTGGCGGCAGTTGGGTCACCGAAGGGCCTGGCAGGGCGGGATGCAGAGGTGCAGCCCACGCTGGATGCGGAAGTAGCTGGGGGGGAAAGGGAGGCTGGAGGGGGAAGTACGGCTCGTAGAGGTGTGGGGGGCAGAGTGGGAGTGGGGAAGGCAGGAGGGGGGGTGGAGGAGGGACGTTGTGGACAGGGGAGTGGGGGAACATGCGGGTGATGATAGGGAGAAGCCGGGGGGGGGGGAGAAGGGGGAGGTGGTATGAAGTGGGCAAGGGTGACGCACGGGCAGAGCGCGGCGGTACTAAGGGCAGGGAGACGGGAGGCTGGGGGGAGAAAAGCCTGCTTGGGGGCGTGGTGGGGGATAAGGGGAAAGGGGCGGTAATGCTGGTGGGCGAAAGGGGAGGGTGTGGTGCAGTATGATGAAACAGAATGGGGGGGTGGCGGACTGGATGGGGCCCTGGAGGGTTGGGAGAACAAAGTGTAAGCTGCCTTTCTGATTTTTTTTCTGGTTTTTTTCCGATTTATATGAATATTTTTTTTTTTCTTTGAAGTTGTTTCCCCTTATTTCCTACGGTTTCCAGAGACAGGGCGGCCTCTGCTAGCTAAGCGCCGTTAGGGAAAGAGGTTAGGTGGCGGGGTGGCTAAAGCGCGCGTGTGAGGGGGAAAGGGGCGGTGTGAGCAGGAAGGTGAATATGTGGGTGGCGACGGGGTAAGATTACGACGTGTGGGTGGCATGCACGAGTGCGCGACGAGGCATGGCAGGGTGGGAGTGAGCAAAGGGGGAGTGGGGCAGCCTGTGTGCCCAACGTGGGCGGCTAAAACGCTCTAGGCAGAAAACGCGCTTCGGGAGGCGCGCAAGGGGAGGGCTGCTTAATCGCTACGAACGTAGCAATTTCGCCTCCCTCCGCGCTGCCTTTCCCTGGCGGTAAGCGCCCCGTGCGCGGTTCTGTCTACGTCGCGGCTAGATTGAACGGGCGGGGAAAATGAGTGCGTGACTAAACATGACAGGCGACGAGAAAGCGTGCTTGAAAACGCGCGGCTCTTCGAATTAGGGTTTCGATAAAGAAGGGCGCACTGAAAGGGAAGGAAGAATGCTAACTACGGGCGGAAGCTAAGCTCAGTGACTTCGAGAGAGGGAAACCGTGGGAAGAAAATCGGTAGTAGCTAATCGCTTCGAATAGAAAAGCCGTGGGCAGAAAAGAGCGGGGGGATAAGGGAGAGTGTCGAGAGAGGGGATGGGCGGGAACACCGTGTCTGGCGGAGTTGTGGTTGTGAGTCGCGCGCGCTGTTACACTCCGCGGGCGAACTTCGCGTCAACGCCCCACCTCCCGTTACACCGGCTGCAGCGCGTCCGCAGCCTTCCCGCGATGGCGGGGTCGAACGAGCGGTTCCGTAACACCCCGCGAGTTCCGTTTCCGAGACTCCTGAGGGTCGCGCGCGAAACTCGCGACCCCCGTCCCGTCGAACTCGACAGTCGAAACTGGAAAACTAACCGTTGGAAACGCTTATAACTATAACATAAACAACTATCACAATCACTTTGTCCTTAAGCAACTCGAAATAGTAGGTTTGGGAGGCTCCTTAGTAGGCAGCCATGGCTAGGTAAGCTAGGTCAAGGTAAGAGCGCCGGTGGGCGAGAGCAGTACTGGGCTGGGTGACCTCCCGGGAAGTCCTCGTGTTGTACCCATTTATGCCCCTTGCTCGGCACGTGCCGGGGGAGGGGCAAGCGGGAAAAAGAAAGGACGATTTCAGCGCGTCCGATTTTTCTATTTTCGTTTTTTTGCCCGAACAACGACCCAGCGGGGTGGGGGGCCCCCGGGGAGGCTTGCCCGTGCGAAGAAACGCCCCGTGCGCACCACCGTTGGGCGGTTGGAAGCCGCGCACGGTCGCAGGGGGTGGAGAGCGGAAACGGGCAGCCGGGGGAGGGTGGGGGCGGTTGGATGGGACTGGGGTGTACGGGGGGCAGGGGAGTTGAGGGGGCAAGGGGAGGGGCAGCAACGGGCAGGGGCTGGGCCAGCTGAGGGCACGGAAAAGGGGCGGGCAGAGGGTGAGCAGAGGGGCGAGCGATGCAAGGGAGGCACCATAGGGGGGAAACCAGTTGCACGGAGGTGGGAGGTGAGGGGCGTGCGAGGGGGTGGGAAAGGGGCAGGGAGGGGCAGAATGGGAGGATGTGGGTGGGGGTGTGGGGGAGGGGAGTGTGCGTGTGTGTGTGTGAGAAAGAGAGAGAGGGAAAGGGAGGGGGGGAGAGAAGGGTGGGAGGGGGGCTGGTGGTGGGGATGGGCTGATGGTGGTAAGAGGGCAGCAGGGATGGGGAGAAGGGAGCGTAACGAGGGGAGAGCAAAGGGCAGGGGGGGAGGAAGGGAGGGGCAGGGAGGGAAGAGGCTGAACGTACAAAGGGGGGGAAACGAGGGGCATGGATGGTAGGAAACAAGGGCAGGGGTGCGGGAAATCAAGGGCAGGGAGGGGAGAAGCAATGGGTGAGGGGAAAACAAGGGAGGGGCAGAGGGGGTGGGCAGGGAGGGAAGAAACGTGGGGCAGGGAGGGGAGAAGCCAAAGACAGGGGCATGGGCAGGCGGGGGCAGGGAGGGAGCAGAGGAGAGGCACGGAGAAAGAAAGGGAGGCGCGGGGAGGGGAGAAACCGGGCGTGGGGGGGCGGAAAACGAGGGGCAGGGCGGGGAGGAGGGAGGGGCAGGGAGGGGAGAAGCTGAGCACACAGAGGGGGGAAAGGTGGGGCAGGGAGGTAGGAAGCCAAGGGCAAGGGTGGGAGAGTGGGGGGGCAGGGAGAGGGGGGAGGTGGGGGGCGGAGAAAGGCGGCGAGGGGCAGGGAGGGGAGAAACCAAGCATAGGGGGGCGAGATACGAGGGGCAGGGTGCGGATTGAGGAGGGGCAGGGAGTGGAGTGGGTCGGCGAGGGGAAGGAAGAGGCGTGCAGCAGAGGAGGGGAGGGGGGAGGAGAAGGTAAACGAGGGGAGCGCACGGGCGGGGAGGAGCGAATGGCGGGCGGTGGGAAACGGCGAGGGGGGCAGGGAGGGTCAAAAGAGGCGGCAAGGGAGCGGGCACGCGGAGGGTAGGGGCGGGGGGAGCGGATGGCATGAGGGGGCAGGGGGTGTGACTATGAAGGGGGGACCCGGGCAAGGGGTGTGTACCGGTCGGGGCACGGGGTTGACGTGGTACGATCATACCTCGGCTACTACGCCGGATCCCATCAGAACTCCGAAGCTAAGCGCCGGTGGGCGAGAGCAGTTATTCATTAATAAGGGAAGAGCAAATACAAGCCGAATATAATGGTTTTTCCAAGACTAGGAAATTTCGACATAGCCTAATCGCTATGAGGACGGTATATATATTTTGTAGGAAAAGGGGGAAAGAAAGGAAAGGAAGGAAAGATGAAGGAGTAAGAAGAAGTGGTAGGGAAAGGAAGAGGGTGGTAGGAAGAGAAGGGAAGGATAGAAGAAGGGAACAGAAAGAGGGAGGTGGGAAGAGAAGAGGAGAGAGGGAGAGAGACTAAGGAGGAGGAAGCACCAAAGGACCAAACACGGCAGCAACCCGCACGACCGCACGGGCACAGCGTTTCAAGCACAGCCACTATTGTTTTTTACACATATGCATCATATATATACTGCATATCAGCCACACTCTCGAAGCACCCTGTGACGTGGTGCCAAGTTCCCTGCCCCGCACCCAGTGGGACTGGTGCGGGCATCCACCCGTCGTCGGACCTCCCTAACTGCCGCACCGCATGCTGGATCATGCATTGAGCCTGCGCGCGCTGCAGTGCAACGGAGAGGCGTGTAGTGAGTCCTGCCTCAAATATCCGTGCCGATCCGTCATCCCCCCCACCTCTATCCCTCCTCCGCTGTGCTATCCTCTTTGCGCAGAGCCCCAGAAACTGACGCATCGGCTCACTCAGAAGGCCAAAGGTCTCCGCCACGCACGCGTAAAAGTGTGGTGCCGGCTGCAGCCCCTCTAAGTGCGGCCCCCAGTGACGCAGCTTCTCCTGCACCCGCCTAGCTGCTGCCACTCCAATCTGTGTGGGGGTCGCCCGTCTCAGCTGCACGTTCCCCTCCCGCTGTGGATCCGCTATGGAGACATCCACAAGAACCATCAGACCCTGGCCAACGTCGCGGCAGGTGAGATCTGGAATGCGGGAGGCGGTGCCTACACGGCCTGTGCGTCCGACTGGTCCCTGCTGTTGCGCTGGCTGCTGCCCTGTCTGGTCCCTTGGTGCCCCCTCTCCGATCGTCTCTCTCCCCCTCTCCTCTCCTCCATCCACCTGTCCTCTCCCCTCCCCCTCTCTACCCTCCCCCAAACCTCCCGACCCCCCTGCTCCATCCCCTGCTGCCTCTCTCACTCCCTGGCCCTCCCCTCCCAATCCCGCTGCCCCTCCTGTACCTCCGTCCGCTCTCTGCTGCTCCCGCCCCTGCCCCGCCCCCGAGGCCGAACCTGGAGGCGCGGCGCCCTGGGCCCGCGGCCTCCACTGGCTCTCCTGCTGCTGCCTGTGCCGTCCCCCCTCCCCGTCCTGGCCCGTCTGCTCCCCCTGCCGTCCCCTCTGCCCACCTGTCCCTCGCTCCACCTGACCCCGCAGCTGGTGCCGTCCCCACTGTCCCCCGCCACCCGGCTGTCCCGCCTCGCCTCTCCGCTCCCCCGGTCCCTCAGCCCGTGTCCCCTCTCCCACCACTGGCTGTCCCAGTAGTCTCGCTCGAGCCGCCTCCAACTGTGTGAACAGCGTAGAGTCCTCCACCTTTACCGCGAAGCCCGCCTCGACCGCAAAGTCTCGAAGCATGTACTTCACCGTGTCGTGGATGGTAGTGGCGACCCCGTAGCGCGGGCACCGAACCGCGTGATGAGGCACCGTCATGTCGTCAATCGCCTGTCCGCAGGAGCACTGACCTGCAAGGGCTAACTGGGGGATAGGGAGACCAAGACGAGAAGATGAAGCCGCCTGCCACAGCGCCTCCGGGATGCGCAGTGGGTCGGCGTACGGCACCGACGTCAACCACGCCCCTGCACCTCCGCCCTGAAGGGAAGTCAAACGGGCAAGGTGCAAGGGAGAGGCGTGACGGGCACGCACGGCCTCCAAGGCATGCGCCTCCAGAAGACGGCTCGCTCCTGCAAAAAGGGAATCGGGGGAGGCAGAAGCGCAAGAGGGCCAGGGGGGAAGGAGAGAGAGAACGTCAGGTGGGAGACCCTCTAGCGCCGTCTGCAGAGCCCGGTCGATCTGCTCTGGCTCACCTGAAGCGAAGCTCTGCCGAAACACCTCGCCACACGCAGGGAGAGAACAGAGAATGGGTGCACACTGCACCCAGGAGCACACGAAGCTCACCGGGGCAATGCGCGCCATGCGACGAATGCCGAAACCCCCGAGACGGATGGGGAGGAAGATCTGGTCTAGGGCGGCCTCTCGGACGTCCTCGCGACAAGCCCAGGTCCCTGAAGCTAAAAGCTGCTGAAATGTCTCTCCCAGGCGTGCGTCCCACCGTGTAAAACTGGAGATCACTGCGGGCGAAGGAGGGACGGTCCTCGACAGGTACTGCGGACGAGTGCTGACACACGCCGAAAGGAGGCGGGCAGCTGTCTGGGGCTGGCGCAACCTTGGAAGCCAAGGTAGCACCCGCCCCATCCTCTCGAGACGATCCGGGAGACTCTGCTCCACGAACGAAACGGTGCCTACCGGTACGCCTGTCACGGTGAGCCCTCGGCGTGCGACCTCGATCCCTAGGCCCGTGAAAGCCTCCAGATCCCTGGACAGAAAGGACTCCGTCTGGTAGACGAGGCACTTGTGCGGCTGGGCTGCAAGGCCCATCTCGCCCAAGCGCCTCACGATCTCGGCAAAGTGGTGCAGCACCCTGTCTGGGGGACCTAGCACGTACGTGTCATCGGCGTACGACCAGAGCTGGACATCCCCCTCCGCCAGAACCGGCTCCAAAGCAAGACGCTGTGTCAGAGCGTACAAGAAGGGGCTGAGAGGGTCTCCCTGGCGAGTGCCCCGCTCCGAGTGCATCGTGACCACTCCCGTGCCTGACCTGTAGTGGAGATCCGAGGGCGTCCCGTAGAAGAGGCCGATGAAGGGGATCAGACACTGAAACTCCGGGCTGGCCTGCAGCGCCTGGAACATCCTGTCTCGGTGGAAAGAGTTAAAGGCATTCGCCACGTCTAGCTGCAGGACCACCCAGTCTGGGTGGTCAGCCAGGGCGCGGCGGACGCCTCTAACTACGACCTCTGTCCCGCACATAACCCCCACCCCAAACTGCTGTGACGCCAAGAAGACCCTCGCCATCTGGTCACGTAGCTGGAGACAGACTGCACGAGAAAGAATGCGGACCAAAACCTCGCCGATGGCAATCGGCCGAACATCCATGTTCGACTTCGCCAGAGCCACGAGGGTGGAAGACGCTAGCAAGGAGCGTGCAGCTGGAGCGCAACGGCCTCGGAGCCACTGCTGGTACACGGCCAGGAGGAAATGGAGACTCTGAGGGAAAGCTAAGAAAGTGTCTCGCAGGTGCTCAGCGACCCAACCGGACGGTCCTCCCGAAGAGCCCCGCGGAGCTGTGAAAATCGCGCGGCGTAAGTGATCCACCGAGAGCACAAGAGGGGACCCCTGGAAGCCAGACAGCCAAGCTGGGGTCGGCCTCTCCGCGTTGGGGTGCTTCGACTGCAGGCGCTGTATCGTCCCCTGTGTATCTGGGGCTGCCTCCGCGGACTCGAGAGCCGCGCACGCCCGTGAGGTCTCATTGCACGCTGCCAGACGAAGGCAACGTGCAATGCGGCGCTCATCTGCTGTAGAGGGATCGGTGGCGGTGCGTGACCGGTGACCTGTGCGCCGAGGAAGGGGTGTGCGACGGCCTAGTGCATCTGAGACTAGCTCAGCCCACTCACCTCGACCAAAGCGGGAGATGCGCGCTGCAATGGCAGCCGTGTGCGAGCGGTCGGGTGGCGTCGCTGGAACAAGGAAAAGAGTCGGCGCTGCAGCGAGGAGGAAGGTAGGGCCAGCAGCCTCCGGGTCCTGGGCAATGCGGACTAGGATCGCACTGAGGACGTCAAGATATCCTCCGCGGACCCTCTCCGGGACACGTCGGAGAGGGCGTGTATGGATACGCTCGGGCGAGAAGTACTCTGTCCAGTCCACCGAGTCGAGCGTCTGCCACTGTGCGTCGGTGAACTGCATCCCGGTCGCACGGGGCTGTGAGAGGGAAGGGATGATCGAGGCGGTATCATGGGCAGCCTGCGCCCTGCGAGCCGCGTCCGCAGGATGGCAGAAGGGAATGTGGTGCTGGAGCGCGCGTCGGTTCGCGAGAGAGCTCCTGCAGGTGGGGCAACTCACGACCTGGTCGGGTGATGTCGCCGTGTCGGCGGGGTCAATCGGGGCCGTGGCGTCGGAACTGGCTGTAGAGGGGACCCCGTGGGCGGCCTGAGCTCCGAGAGGATCGCCTGGGATGAGGGGAGGAGACGGCTCACCAGCCCCGCGCGGGGGGGGTGTCAGCGAAGATAGAGGTGGTGTCGCACAGGATAGGGCCGGGCCTCGTGCCGGTACCGGTGTCGAAGCTGGGGAGGGGGGACGTGGAGGTGAGCCTGAAGTGTGTGCCGTGGTGTGCTCCTGCCCCTCGGCGGGGTGCGGTTCAAGTGACGGCTCTGCTACCCCAGGCGGAGGGGTCTCGGTAGGGGCGGATGCTTCATCCCTACTGCTGGTGACCTCCTGCGCCACGGGCTGAACGGGGGGAGGCGCCACCCCGTCTAGGTGCGAGTGACACGGCCTCAGAACCCGGTCCGTCTCCATTGGGGTCGGGAGTGACGCGCCTAGCTGAGTGGCGGGGGGGATAAAAGAAGGGACAGACCGGGTGACCTCCGCATACGTCCGGGTCCGGTCCTGTGGGACTGGAAGGGTGGGGGCAGCCGGAGAGCTGCTCAGGCGGTGTATCGCCAGCAAATCTGAAATGCCAGCCCTCACCTCCTCTGGGGTCTCGAAGACCTGCCTGCCTGTAGGTGAGAGTAGGAGGGCTGGCAGGGTAGAGGGTGGAGTGGGGCGTGCTGGCTGAGCGGAGCTCGGGTGTGGACCCTGCCCTAGAAGGCCCCCTTGGCCCTCCCCAATCACCATGGGTTGCGGTAGGGGGTCGTCGACATGGAAGGGGTGGGAGGGATGGGAGGGGGAGTCGGTGGCGTCTGCCATGGGCGCATCCCTCAACCCGACGGCCTCCCTCCCAGTAGCGATCGCGGCCGCCGCCACCTGGGAGGGGGACACAGCACGGGAGGGGCAGAATGGGGGTGAGTGGGCTGGACCGCTCCCATGGCCCTGTGGAGGTGCAGGAGCGGGGCGGGAGTGTAGGTTTGGTGGTCGGGCTGTAGAGGTAGGGCCTGGTAAGGGTTCAACGGGATGTGAGGTAGGGAGGGGCTCTTGGTGGGGGAGGGAGGGAGGGGGGAGTACGTGGGCTGACCCTCTGCCCCTGTTCTTCCGCCGGCGGCCAACCTGGTTGTCCGCGCCTGTTTGTGAAGGAAGGGGGGGCTGTGGGGCCAAAGGGGTGGGTGGAGGGAGGATGGGTGGTTCGCCAGGCGGGGGGTGCTCTGTGTGCATCCCCTCTCTCCTCGAAACATCCCCCTCCGTGGGAACAGATCGGGCAAGCTGTGTGTGGGGGGTGATGGCTGCCCAACGGGGCCACTCGTGGGGAACCCGGCCGGGAGAGGGGGTTGGAGGTGGGGGTCGAGGGGCTGGGCCAGTGTGGAGGTTAGAGCGAGGTACAAACGGTGGGGGGAGAGAGATTTGTGTGGGCCCTGTGGTGGCCTCTCCTGTGGGCCCCTCTACCCGGGTGCCGCCGCTCCCATGAGCCTGGGGCGCAAGCCCTTGCGGGTGGGTCTCGGCTGCCTGGGGGGGGTGGTGTGGGGAGGGCAGCCTGTTGGGTGGGCGTGTTGGGGCTGTGCGGCGACTCGGGTGGTTTGGGTGCCTGTAGCGTGTGGGAGAGGGATTTGGCCGCAGAGATGCTTCAACCTCCGAGATGTGTGTACTACCGGGTGGGGGGGGGCCTGGTGGAGGAGGGGGTAGTGGGCCGGTAGGGGGTGGCTGGGTGTTGGTAGGAGTCGGGGAGCATGGCTCCTCTAGGAAGACCAGAGCCCTGGCTGCTCCACGTGGTGCTCTAAGGAGCCCCTGAGGGTGGGGGCAGAGGTGTGCTGCCCTTGGGGGTGAAGGAAGGAGTGAGGGAAGGGGCGGGGAGGGGTGAGGGGTGAGAGAAGGGGTGCCCTCGGGTGGCTCTGCTCTTGTCGCACCCGCGTGCTCTCCCGGTGGACCGCCTGCAACCGTGGGGTCAGGCGTTGGGGACGGAGAGGGGGGCTGGCCATGGAGCAGCGTGGGGGTCGGGGAGCACGGCTCCGCCAAGAAGGCCAGGGCCTTGGCTGCCCCCCTGGACACTACCGGGACCTGAGGGTGGGGGTGGGGAAGTGGTGCTCCTGGGGGTGGGTGGGCTGGAGGACGGGAGGTGAGGATGGGGGCTCCCTCGCGCGGCTCTGTCCTCAAGGTCTCCCCCAGCCCCTCCATCGGTCCTTCTGCTAGCATGGGGACGGGCATGGGGGGTAGAGGGGGAACCTCGACGTGAGGCTGCAGGGGGGCCGGGTCGGCCTCACCGTCAAGCGTGAGGTATTGGGCCAGTGGCCCGTCAATGTGCATCACATCCTCTCCCTCATCCTCCTCTATCGCTATCACATCCCCCTCTTCAGTGCCCACCCCGGTCGGGACCACACTCACCTCTCCTTCCCCTGTTGCCCCTATGTCCCCCGAGCCCACCCCGCCTGCTGCCGCTTTACTGCTAGCCCCTTTTGCAGTCCTCTGCCGGCCCTGCCGGCCCTGCTGTGTGTTTCCCCGCGTTTGCTGCGGCCCCTGCCGCCCCTACTGGCCGTGCTATGGCCCTCCCTGCTGCTTCAGCTGCAGCCTCACCTTCTGCCTTTGAGGCCACTGCTGTCCCCTCTCCCACTCTAGCCCCTGCCGTACCCTCTCTTGCTACAGCCGGGGCGGCACTCTCCCTCGCACCAGTCCCCGTTACCCCCTTCCCCGCTGCACCCGTAGCACCTCCCCCTATACCAGCCCCCACTGTGGCCTCTGTCGCTCCTGCTGCAGTCCTTGCAGCCTCGACTGCTGCAGTCTGTAAAACCTCGCCTACCGTAATCTGCTCAGCCTCACCAGCCGCGATCCCTGCAGCCTTGCCTGCCGCGGTCCCTGCAGGCCTCACGTGCTGCAGTCCCTGCAGCCTCACCCGCTGCAGTCCCTGCGGCCTCACCTGCTGCAGTCTGTGCAGCCTCACCTGCTAGAATCTGCTCAACCTCACATGCTGCGGCCTCTGCAGCCTCACCTGCTGCGGCTATTTCAGCCTCACCTGCTGCGCTCCCTGCGGCCTCACCTGCCATGGTCCCGCCTGCAGCCTCATCCGCTGTGGTCCCTGCCGCCTCACCTGCTGCAGTCCCTGCGGCCTCACCTGTTGCAGTCCCTGCGACCTCACCAGCTGTAGACTGTGCAGCCTCACCTGCTAGAGTCTGCCCAACCTTACATGATGCAGCCCTCGCAGCCTCACCTGCTGCGTCCGCCGCAGCCTCACCTGCTGCGGCCCCTGCAGTCCCGCCTGCTGCGCTCCCTGCAGCCTCGCCTGCTGCGCTCCCTGCAGCCTCGCTTGCTGCGCTCCCTGCGGCCTCACCTGCTGCGCTCTCTGCAGCCTCACCTGCTGCGCCCCCTACAGCCTCACCTGCTGCGCTCCCTGCAGCCTCACCTACTGCGCTCCCTGCGGCCTCACCTGCCATGGTCCCTCCTGCAGCCTCACCCGTTGTGATCCCTGCAGCCACACCTGCTGTGGTCTGTGCGGCCTCACCTGGTGCGGTCCCTATAGCCTCCTCTGCTGCGGTTCCCCCAGCCGACACAGCAGCAGGTTCCGTGGCCCCTACTCCTGCAAAACCTGTCTCCATGGCCTCTGCCCTTTGCCTGGCCAGAGTCACGGTCCCTGCCGCCCCTTCCCGTGCAGCCCCTGCCGCCCTTTCCCGTGCAGCCGCTGCTGCCCCTTCCCTTGCAGCCTCTGCTGCCCTTTCCTCTGCAGCCTCTGCTGCCCCTTCCCCCACAACCCCCATTGCCCCTTCCCGTGCAGCCTTTGCTGCCCCATCCTCTGCAGCCTCTGCTGCTCCTTCACACACAAACTCACTTACCCCTTCCCGTGCAGTGTCAGCTGCAAGTTCCCCCCTGGCTCTGCCCTCTCCCGCTTCTATGTGCTTGGGGGTGCGGGTAGGATTAAGTGTTTTCACAAGTAATCTGGTTTGCGAATGGGAGGTAGCGAGTGAGTTGGAGGATCTCTCTACTGAGCATGCATGGGTGCCGCCCCCGCTGTCACCTGAAGGGGGGGTAGGCTGGGATGGGGCAGCGGGGGTAGGGCGCGGTTTTGAGCGTGCTGGCTCCTCCTCGTGTATTTCCTCCAGTGGGGCTTGGCGTTCCTCTGTTCCATCCTCTTCAAAGGTACGCTTCTGGCCCCTAGGGTCAGATTGTGTGAGTGTTTTCGCTTGGTCAGGTGTGTGTTGTTTCTTCCTGACTGTTGAAGTGGGGGGAGTGGGAGAGTAGGGGGTGGCTCGGCTGCGGGACCTCCCAGATCGCCGAGGGGCTCCCGAGTCTGCCTTTCCCCCACTCGCGGGGTGCTGGGGCATTGTTACAGAGGCAGCATGCCTGGCGGTGGCGGTGTGAGTTGCTGGAGTTGGCTCAAGAGGGCGTCAAAGGGGGAAGGAACTCCCTGGCAGAGGCCGGGGTGCGGGGGGTTAGCTTGGGGAAAGGGGAAAAGGGTGGGGAAAGCGGTGCGCAGTGGGTGGAAGAGAGGGTAGAGGGGGCCTGACAGTTGGAGGGGATTGGGGCCCAAGGGGGGGGCGGGCTGGGGGCCGGTTGAGAGGGGAAGTGTTGGCGGGCTGTAGTGGAGGTGGGGGGGCGGGGGTGATGTAGCGGTGGGTGAGCAGGGTGTGGGGACAGGTGGTGGGCCGGAGGTGGGGAGGGCAGGGCAGAATTCCACGGGAGGTGGGGGTGGGCAGGTGGAGCCAAGTGGGAAAGGAAGGGTGGGGAACAGAGAGGAAGGGGCAAAGGGTAGTGGGTAGTCGAGTTGGCGTGAGCCTGGTAGCGGGTAATGAGAAGGTTGGGAGGCGGGGGGTGAGAACGTGGGAGGGCAGAGAGGGCACCGAAAGGAGGCGCTGTGGTAAATGCAGAATAGGATGCGGGGCCGGGAAACAGGGGATAGAGGGAATTGGGGAAACGATGAAGGGTGATAACTGCGGATGGGCGAGCCCCAGGGGGGAGGAAATATGGAGGGTGTTGGAGAAGGGGGAGACTGGGGGGGGTTGAGGTAGGGTGTTGGAGGGCACAAGGGGCAGGAACAGGGGGTGCAAAGGTTGGCTGGGGGAGGGAGAGGCGGTCTGGTGCCGCGGAAAGGCGGAGGGAGGTTGGGGACGGCACATCCCAGGGAGCAAAAGCAAGGGGTGTAGACCTTGGCTGGGGGTAGGAACGGCGGTGTGGAGTTAGGGAGAGGTAGAGGGAGGCTGGGGTAGGTGGCTGGATTGCGCAGGGAGCAGGGGCAGGGGGTGTAGAGATTGGATGGGGGTGGGAAAGGCGGCGTGGTGCCAGGTGGCGGCAGTTGGGTCACCGAAGGGCCTGGCAGGGCGGGATGCAGAGGTGCAGCCCACGCTGGATGCGGAAGTAGCTGGGGGGGAAAGGGAGGCTGGAGGGGGAAGTACGGCTCGTAGAGGTGTGGGGGGCAGAGTGGGAGTGGGGAAGGCAGGAGGGGGGGTGGAGGAGGGACGTTGTGGACAGGGGAGTGGGGGAACATGCGGGTGATGATAGGGAGAAGCCGGGGGGGGGGGAGAAGGGGGAGGTGGTATGAAGTGGGCAAGGGTGACGCACGGGCAGGGCGCGGCGGTACTAAGGGCAGGGAGACGGGAGGCTGGGGGGAGAAAAGCCTGCTTGGGGGCGTGGTGGGGGATAAGGGGAAAGGGGCGGTAATGCTGGTGGGCGAAAGGGGAGGGTGTGGTGCAGTATGATGAAACAGAATGGGGGGGTGGCGGACTGGATGGGGCCCTGGAGGGTTGGGAGAACAAAGTGTAAGCTGCCTTTCTGATTTTTTTTCTGGTTTTTTTCCGATTTATATGAATATTTTTTTTTTTTCTTTGAAGTTGTTTCCCCTTATTTCCTACGGTTTCCAGAGACAGGGCGGCCTCTGCTAGCTAAGCGCCGTTAGGGAAAGAGGTTAGGTGGCGGGGTGGCTAAAGCGCGCGTGTGAGGGGGAAAGGGGCGGTGTGAGCAGGAAGGTGAATATGTGGGTGGCGACGGGGTAAGATTACGACGTGTGGGTGGCATGCACGAGTGCGCGACGAGGCATGGCAGGGTGGGAGTGAGCAAAGGGGGAGTGGGGCAGCCTGTGTGCCCAACGTGGGCGGCTAAAACGCTCTACGCAGAAAACGCGCTTCGGGAGGCGCGCAAGGGGAGGGCTGCTTAATCGCTACGAACGTAGCAATTTCGCCTCCCTCCGCGCTGCCTTTCCCTGGCGGTAAGCGCCCCGTGCGCGGTTCTGTCTACGTTGCGGCTAGATTGAACGGGCGGGGAAAATGAGTGCGTGACTAAACATGACAGGCGACGAGAAAGCGTGCTTGAAAACGCGCGGCTCTTCGAATTAGGGTTTCGATAAAGAAGGGCGCACTGAAAGGGAAGGAAGAATGCTAACTACGGGCGGAAGCTAAGCTCAGTGACTTCGAGAGAGGGAAACCGTGGGAAGAAAATCGGTAGTAGCTAATCGCTTCGAATAGAAAAGCCGTGGGCAGAAAAGAGCGGGGGGATAAGGGAGAGTGTCGAGAGAGGGGATGGGCGGGAACACCGTGTCTGGCGGAGTTGTGGTTGTGAGTCGCGCGCGCTGTTACACTCCGCGGGCGAACTTCGCGTCAACGCCCCACCTCCCGTTACACCGGCTGCAGCGCGTCCGCAGCCTTCCCGCGATGGCGGGGTCGAACGAGCGGTTCCGTAACACCCCGCGAGTTCCGTTTCCGAGACTCCTGAGGGTCGCGCGCGAAACTCGCGACCCCCGTCCCGTCGAACTCGACAGTCGAAACTGGAAAACTAACCGTTGGAAACGCTTATAACTATAACATAAACAACTATCACAATCACTTTGTCCTTCAGCAACTCGAAATAGTAGGTTTGGGAGGCTCCTTAGTAGGCAGCCATGGCTAGGTAAGCTAGGTCAAGGGGCGAGCGCCGGTGGGCGAGAGCAGTACTGGGCTGGGTGACCTCCCGGGAAGTCCTCGTGTTGTACCCATTTATGCCCCTTGCTCGGCACGTGCCGGGGTGGGGGCAAGCGGGAAAAAGAAAGGACGATTTCAGCGCGTCCGATTTTTCTATTTTCGTTTTTTTGCCCGAACAACGACCCAGCGGGGTGGGGGGCCCCCGGGGAGGCTTGCCCGTGCGAAGAAACGCCCCGTGCGCACCACCGTTGGGCGGTTGGAAGCCGCACACGGTCGCGTGGGTGGAGAGCGGAAACGGGCAGCCGGGGGAGGGTGGGGGCGGTTGGATGGGACTGGGGTGTACGGGGGGCAGGGGAGTTGAGGGGGCAAGGGGAGGGGCAGCAACGGGCAGGGGCTGGGCCAGCTGGGGTCACGGAAAAGGGGCGGGCAGAGGGTGAGCAGAAGGGCGAGCGATGCAAGGGAGGCACCATAGGGGGGAAACCAGTTGCACGGAGGTGGGAGGTGAGGGGCGTGCGAGGGGGGTGGGAAAGGGCAGGGAGGGGCAGAATGGGAGGATGTGGGTGGGGGGTGGGGGAGGGGAGTGTGCGTGTGTGTGTGTGAGAAAGAGAGAGAGGGAAAGGGAGGGGGGGAGAGAAGGGCGGGAGGGGGGCTGGGGGTGGGGATGGGCTGATGGTGGTAAGAGGGCAGCAGGGATGGGGAGAAGGGAGCGTAACGAGGGGAGAGCAAAGGGCAGGGGGGGAGGAAGGGAGGGGCAGGGAGGGAAGAGGCTGAACGTACAAAGGGGGGGAAACGAGGGGCATGGATGGTAGGAAACAAGGGCAGGTAGGGGAGAAGCAATGGGTGAGGGGAAAACAAGGGAGGGGCAGAGGGGGAGGGCAGGGAGGGAAGAAACGTGGGGCAGGGAGGGGAGAAGCCAAAGACAGGACCATGGGCAGGCGGGGGCAGGGAGGGAGCAAAGGAGAGGCACGGAGAAAGAAAGGGAGGCGCGGGGAGGGGAGAAACCGGGTGTGGGGGGGAGGAAAACGAGGGGCAGGGCGGGGAGGAGGGAGGGGGCAGGGAGGGGAGAAGCTGAGCACACAGAGGGGGGAAAGGTGGGGCAGGGAGGTAGGAAGCCAAGGGCAAGGGGGGGAGAGTGGGGGGGCAGGGAGAGGGGGGAGGTGGGGGGCGGAGAAAGGCGGCGAGGGGCAGGGAGGGGAGAAACCAAGCATAGGGGGGCGAGATACGAGGGGCAGGGTGCGGATTGAGGAGGGGCAGGGAGTGGAGTGGGTCGGCGAGGGGAAGGAAGAGGCGTGCAGCAGAGGAGGGGAGGGGGGAGCGGATGGCATGAGGGGGCAGGGGGTGTGACTATGAAGGGGGGACCCGGGCAAGGGGTGTGTACCGGTCGGGGCACGGGGTTGACGTGGTACGATCATACCTCGGCTACTACGCCGGATCCCATCAGAACTCCGAAGCTAAGCGCCGGTGGGCGAGAGCAGTTATTCATTAATAAGGGAAGAGCAAATACAAGCCGAATATAATGGTTTTTCCAAGACTAGGAAATTTCGACATAGCCTAATCGCTATGAGGACGGTATATATATTTTGTAGGAAAAGGGGGAAAGAAAGGAAAGGAAGGAGAGATGAAGGAGTAAGAAGAAGTGGTAGGGAAAGGAAGAGGGTGGTAGGAAGAGAAGGGAAGGATAGAAGAAGGGAACAGAAAGAGGGAGGTGGGAAGAGAAGAGGAGAGAGGGAGAGAGACTAAGGAGGAGGAAGCACCAAAGGACCAAACACGGCAGCAAGGGGGGAAGGAGAGAGAGAACGTCAGGTGGGAGACCCTCTAGCGCCGTCTGCAGAGCCCGGTCGATCTGCTCTGGCTCACCTGAAGCGAAGCTCTGCCGAAACACCTCGCCACACGCAGGGAGAGAACAGAGAATGGGTGCACATTGCACCCAGGAGCACACGAAGCTCACCGGGGCAATGCGCGCCATGCGACGAATGCCGAAACCCCCGAGACGGATGGGGAGGAAGATCTGGTCTAGGGCGGCCTCTCGGACGTCCTCGCGACAAGCCCAGGTCCCTGAAGCTAAAAGCTGCTGAAATGTCTCTCCCAGGCGTGCGTCCCACCGTGTAAAACTGGAGATCACTGCGGGCGAAGGAGGGACGGTCCTCGACAGGTACTGCGGACGAGTGCTGACACACGCCGAAAGGAGGCGGGCAGCTGTCTGGGGCTGGCGCAACCTTGGAAGCCAAGGTAGCACCCACCCCATCCTCTCGAGACGATCCGGGAGACTCTGCTCCACGAACGAAACGGTGCCTACCGGTACGCCTGTCACGGTGAGCCCTCGGCGTGCGACCTCGATCCCTAGGCCCGTGAAAGCCTCCAGATCCCTGGACAGAAAGGACTCCGTCTGGTAGACGAGGCACTTGTGCGGCTGGGCTGCAAGGCCCATCTCGCCCAAGCGCCTCACGATCTCGGCAAAGTGGTGCAGCACCCTGTCTGGGGGACCTAGCACGTACGTGTCATCGGCGTACAACCAGAGCTGGACATCCCCCTCCGCCAGAACCGGCTCCAAAGCAAGACGCTGTGTCAGAGCGTACAAGAAGGGGCTGAGAGGGTCTCCCTGGCGAGTGCCCCGCTCCGAGTGCATCGTGACCACTCCCGTGCCTGACCTGTAGTGGAGATCCGAGGGCGTCCCGTAGAAGAGGCCGATGAAGGGGATCAGACACTGAAACTCCGGGCTGGCCTGCAGCGCCTGGAACATCCTGTCTCGGTGGAAAGAGTTAAAGGCATTCGCCACGTCTAGCTGCAGGACCACCCAGTCTGGGTGGTCAGCCAGGGCGCGGCGGACGCCTCTAACTACGACCTCTGTCCCGCACATAACCCCCACCCCAAACTGCTGTGACGCCAAGAAGACCCTCGCCATCTGGTCACGTAGCTGGAGACAGACTGCACGAGAAAGAATGCGGACCAAAACCTCGCCGATGGCAATCGGCCGAACATCCATGTTCGACTTCGCCAGAGCCACGAGGGTGGAAGACGCTAGCAAGGAGCTGTGCAGCTGGAGCGCAACGGCCTCGGAGCCACTGCTGGTACACGGCCAGGAGGAAATGGAGACTCTGAGGGAAAGCTAAGAAAGTGTCTCGCAGGTGCTCAGCGACCCAACCGGACGGTCCTCCCGAAGAGCCCCGCGGAGCTGTGAAAATCGCGCGGCGTAAGTGATCCACCGAGAGCACAAGAGGGGACCCCTGGAAGCCAGACAGCCAAGCTGGGGTCGGCCTCTCCGCGTTGGGGTGCTTCGACTGCAGGCGCTGTATCGTCCCCTGTGTATCTGGGGCTGCCTCCGCGGACTCGAGAGCCGCGCACGCCCGTGAGGTCTCATTGCACGCTGCCAGACGAAGGCAACGTGCAATGCGGCGCTCATCTGCTGTAGAGGGATCGGTGGCGGTGCGTGACCGGTGACCTGTGCGCCGAGGAAGGGGTGTGCGACGGCCTAGTGCATCTGAGACTAGCTCAGCCCACTCACCTCGACCAAAGCGGGAGATGCGCGTTGCAATGGCAGCCGTGTGCGAGCGGTCGGGTGGCGTCGCTGGAACAAGGAAAAGAGTCGGCGCTGCAGCGAGGAGGAAGGTAGGGCCAGCAGCCTCCGGGTCCTGGGCAATGCGGACTAGGATCGCACTGAGGACGTCAAGATATCCTCCGCGGACCCTCTCCGGGACACGTCGGAGAGGGCGTGTATGGATACGCTCGGGCGAGAAGTACTCTGTCCAGTCCACCGAGTCGAGCGTCTGCCACTGTGCGTCGGTGAACTGCATCCCGGTCGCACGGGGCTGTGAGAGGGAAGGGATGATCGAGGCGGTATCATGGGCAGCCTGCGCCCTGCGAGCCGCGTCCGCAGGATGGCAGAAGGGAATGTGGTGCTGGAGCGCGCGTCGGTTCGCGAGAGAGCTCCTGCAGGTGGGGCAACTCACGACCTAGGTCCGGGTGATGTCGCCGTGTCGGCGGGGTCAATCAGGGGCCGTGGCGTCGGAACTGGCTGTAGAGGGGACCCCGTGGGCGGCCTGAGCTCCGAGAGGATCGCCTGGGATGAGGGGAGGAGACGGCTCACCAGCCCCGCGCGGGGGGGGGTGTCAGCGAAGATAGAGGTGGTGTCGCACAGGATAGGGCCGGGCCTCGTGCCGGTACCGGTGTCGAAGCTGGGGAGGGGGGACGTGGAGGTGAGCCTGAAGTGTGTGCCGTGGTGTGCTCCTGCCCCTCGGCGGGGTGCGGTTCAAGTGACGGCTCTGCTACCCCAGGCGGAGGGGTCTCGGTAGGGGCGGATGCCTCATCCCTACTGCTGGTGACCTCCTGCGCCACGGGCTGAACGGGGGGAGGCGCCACCCCGTCTAGGTGCGAGTGACACGGCCTCAGAACCCGGTCCGTCTCCATTGGGGTCGGGAGTGACGCGCCTAGCTGAGTGGCGGGGGGGATAAAAGAAGGGACAGACCGGGTGACCTCCGCATACGTCCGGGTCCGGTCCTGTGGGACTGGAAGGGTGGGGGCAGCCGGAGAGCTGCTCAGGCGGTGTATCGCCAGCAAATCTGAAATGCCAGCCCTCACCTCCTCTGGGGTCTCGAAGACCTGCCTGCCTGTAGGTGAGAGTAGGAGGGCTGGCAGGGTAGAGGGTGGAGTGGGGCGTGCTGGCTGAGCGGAGCTCGGGTGTGGACCCTGCCCTAGAAGGCCCCCTTGGCCCTCCCCAATCACCATGGGTTGCGGTAGGGGGTCGTCGACATGGAAGGGGTGGGAGGGATGGGAGGGGGAGTCGGTGGCGTCTGCCATGGGCGCATCCCTCAACCCGACGGCCTCCCTCCCAGTAGCGATCGCGGCCGCCGCCACCTGGGAGGGGGACACAGCACGGGAGGGGCAGAATGGGGGTGAGTGGGCTGGACCGCTCCCATGGCCCTGTGGAGGTGCAGGAGCGGGGCGGGAGTGTAGGTTTGGTGGTCGGGCTGTAGAGGTAGGGCCTGGTAAGGGTTCAACGGGATGTGAGGTAGGGAGGGGCTCTTGGTGGGGGAGGGAGGGAGGGGGGAGTACGTGGGCTGACCCTCTGCCCCTGTTCTTCCGCCGGCGGCCAACCTGGTTGTCCGCGCCTGTTTGTGAAGGAAGGGGGGGCTGTGGGGCCAAAGGGGTGGGTGGAGGGAGGATGGGTGGTTCGCCAGGCGGGGGGTGCTCTGTGTGCATCCCCTCTCTCCTCGAAACATCCCCCTCCGTGGGAACAGATCGGGCAAGCTGTGTGTGGGGGGTGATGGCTGCCCAACGGGGCCACTCGTGGGGAACCCGGCCGGGAGAGGGGGTTGGAGGTGGGGGTCGAGGGGCTGGGCCAGTGTGGAGGTTAGAGCGAGGTACAAACGGTGGGGGGAGAGAGATTTGTGTGGGCCCTGTGGTGGCCTCTCCTGTGGGCCCCTCTACCCGGGTGCCGCCGCTCCCATGAGCCTGGGGCGCAAGCCCTTGCGGGTGGGTCTCGGCTGCCTGGGGGGGGTGGTGTGGGGAGGGCAGCCTGTTGGGTGGGCGTGTTGGGGCTGTGCGGCGACTCGGGTGGTTTGGGTGCCTGTAGCGTGTGGGAGAGGGATTTGGCCGCAGAGATGCTTCAACCTCCGAGATGTGTGTACTACCGGGTGGGGGGGGGCCTGGTGGAGGAGGGGGTAGTGGGCCGGTAGGGGGTGGCTGGGTGTTGGTAGGAGTCGGGGAGCATGGCTCCTCTAGGAAGACCAGAGCCCTGGCTGCTCCACGTGGTGCTCTAAGGAGCCCCTGAGGGTGGGGGCAGAGGTGTGCTGCCCTTGGGGGTGAAGGAAGGAGTGAGGGAAGGGGCGGGGAGGGGTGAGGGGTGAGAGAAGGGGTGCCCTCGGGTGGCTCTGCTCTTGTCGCACCCGCGTGCTCTCCCGGTGGACCGCCTGCAACCGTGGGGTCAGGCGTTGGGGACGGAGAGGGGAGCTGGCCATGGAGCAGCGTGGGGGTCGGGGAGCCTGGCTCCGCCAAGAAGGCCAGGGCCTTGGCTGCCCCCCTGGACACTACCGGGACCTGAGGGTGGGGGTGGGGAAGTGGTGCTCCTGGGGGTGGGTGGGCTGGAGGACGGGAGGTGAGGATGGGGGCTCCCTCGCGCGGCTCTGTCCTCAAGGTCTCCCCCAGCCCCTCCATCGGTCCTTCTGCTAGCATGGGGACGGGCATGGGGGGTAGAGGGGGAATCTCGACGTGAGGCTGCAGGGGGGCCGGGTCGGCCTCACCGTCAAGCGTGAGGTATTGGGCCAGTGGCCCGTCAATGTGCATCACATCCTCTCCCTCATCCTCCTCTATCGCTATCACATCCCCCTCTTCAGTGCCCACCCCGGTCGGGACCACACTCACCTCTCCTTCCCCTGTTGCCCCTATGTCCCCCGAGCCCACCCCGCCTGCTGCCGCTTTACTGCTAGCCCCTTTTGCAGTCTCTGCCGGCCCTGCCGGCCCTGCTGTGTGTTTCCCCGCGTTTGCTGCGGCCCCTGCCGCCCCTACTGGCCGTGCTATGGCCCTCCCTGCTGCTTCAGCTGCAGCCTCACCTTCTGCCTTTGAGGCCACTGCTGTCCCCTCTCCCACTCTAGCCCCTGCCGTACCCTCTCTTGCTACAGCCGGGGCGGCACTCTCCCTCGCACCAGTCCCCGTTACCCCCTTCCCCGCTGCACCCGTAGCACCTCCCCCTATACCAGCCCCCACTGTGGCCTCTGTCGCTCCTGCTGCAGTCCTTGCAGCCTCGACTGCTGCAGTCTGTAAAACCTCGCCTACCGTAATCTGCTCAGCCTCACCAGCCGCGATCCCTGCAGCCTTGCCTGCCGCGGTCCCTGCACGCTCACGAGCTGCAGTCCCTGCAGCCTCACCCGCTGCAGTCCCTGCGGCCTCACCTGCTGCAGTTTGTGCAGCCTCACTTGCTAGAATCTGCTCAACCTCACATGCTGCGGCCTCTGCAGCCTCACCTGCTGCGGCTATTTCAGCCTCACCTGCTGCGCTCCCTGCGGCCTCACCTGCCATGGTCCCGCCTGCAGCCTCATCCGCTGTGGTCCCTGCCGCCTCACCTGCTGCAGTCCCTGCGGCCTCACCTGTTGCAGTCCCTGCGACCTCACCAGCTGTAGACTGTGCAGCCTCACCTGCTAGAGTCTGCCCAACCTTACATGATGCAGCCCTCGCAGCCTCACCTGCTGCGTCCGCCGCAGTCTCACCTGCTGCGGCCCCTGCAGTCCCGCCTGCTGCGCTCCCTGCGGCCTCATCTGCTGCGTTCTCTGCAGCCTCACCTGCTGCGCCCCCTACAGCCTCACTTGCTGCGCTCCTTGCAGCCTCACCTACTGCGCTCCCTGCGGCCTCACCTGCCATGGTCCCTCCTGCAGCCTCACCCGTTGTGATCCCTGCAGCCACACCTGCTGTGGTCTGTGCGGCCTCACCTGGTGCGGTCCCTATAGCCTCCTCTGCTGCGGTTCCCCCAGCCGACACAGCAGCAGGTTCCGTGGCCCCTACTCCTGCAAAACCTGTCTCCATGGCCTCTGCCCTTTGCCTGGCCAGAGTCACGGTCCCTGCCGCCCCTTCCCGTGCAGCCCCTGCCGCCCTTTCCCGTGCAGCCGCTGCTGCCCCTTCCCTTGCAGCCTCTGCTGCCCTTTCCTCTGCAGCCTCTGCTGCCCCTTCCCCCACAACCCCCATTGCCCCTTCCCGTGCAGCCTTTGCTGCCCCATCCTCTGCAGCCTCTGCTGCTCCTTCACACACAAACTCACTTACCCCTTCCCGTGCAGTGTCAGCTGCAAGTTCCCCCCTGGCTCTGCCCTCTCCCGCTTCTATGTGCTTGGGGGTGCGGGTAGGATTAAGTGTTTTCACAAGTAATCTGGTTTGCGAATGGGAGGTAGCGAGTGAGTTGGAGGATCTCTCTACTGAGCATGCATGGGTGCCGCCCCCGCTGTCACCTGAAGGGGGGGTAGGCTGGGATGGGGCAGCGGGGGTAGGGCGCGGTTTTGAGCGTGCTGGCTCCTCCTCGTGTATTTCCTCCAGTGGGGCTTGGCGTTCCTCTGTTCCATCCTCTTCAAAGGTACGCTTCTGGCCCCTAGGGTCAGATTGTGTGAGTGTTTTCGCTTGGTCAGGTGTAGTGTTGTTTCTTCCTGACTGTTGAAGTGGGGGGAGTGGGAGAGTAGGGGGTGGCTCGGCTGCGGGACCTCCCAGATCGCCGAGGGGCTCCCGAGTCTGCCTTTCCCCCACTCGCGGGGTGCTGGGGCATTGTTACAGAGGCAGCATGCCTGGCGGTGGCGGTGTGAGTTGCTGGAGTTGGCTCAAGAGGGCGTCAAAGGGGGAAGGAACTCCCTGGCAGAGGCCGGGGTGCGGGGGGTTAGCTTGGGGAAAGGGGAAAAGGGTGGGGAAAGCGGTGCGCAGTGGGTGGAAGAGAGGGTAGAGGGGGCCTGACAGTTGGAGGGGATTGGGGCCCAAGGGGGGGGCGGGCTGGGGGCCGGTTGAGAGGGGAAGTGTTGGCGGGCTGTAGTGGAGGTGGGGGGGCGGGGGTGATGTAGCGGTGGGTGAGCAGGGTGTGGGGACAGGTGGTGGGCCGGAGGTGGGGAGGGCAGGGCAGAATTCCACGGGAGGTGGGGGTGGGCAGGTGGAGCCAAGTGGGAAAGGAAGGGTGGGGAACAGAGAGGAAGGGGCAAAGGGTAGTGGGTAGTCGAGTTGGCGTGAGCCTGGTAGCGGGTAATGAGAAGGTTGGGAGGCGGGGGGTGAGAACGTGGGAGGGCAGAGAGGGCACCGAAAGGAGGCGCTGTGGTAAATGCAGAATAGGATGCGGGGCCGGGAAACAGGGGACAGAGGGAATTGGGGAAACGATGAAGGGTGATAACTGCGGATGGGCGAGCCCCAGGGGGGAGGAAATATGGAGGGTGTTGGAGAAGGGGGAGACTGGGGGGGGTTGAGGTAGGGTGTTGGAGGGCACAAGGGGCAGGAACAGGGGGTGCAAAGGTTGGCTGGGGGAGGGAGAGGCGGTCTGGTGCCGCGGAAAGGCGGAGGGAGGTTGGGGACGGCACAGCCCAGGGAGCAAAAGCAAGGGGTGTAGACCTTGGCTGGGGGTAGGAACGGCGGTGTGGAGTTAGGAAGAGGTAGAGGGAGGCTGGGGTAGGTGGCTGGATTGCGCAGGGAGCAGGGGCAGGGGGTGTAGAGATTGGATGGGGGTGGGAAAGGCGGCGTGGTGCCAGGTGGCGGCAGTTGGGTCACCGAAGGGCCTGGCAGGGCGGGATGCAGAGGTGCAGCCCACGCTGGATGCGGAAGTAGCTGGGGGGGAAAGGGAGGCTGGAGGGGGAAGTACGGCTCGTAGAGGTGTGGGGGGCAGAGTGGGAGTGGGGAAGGCAGGAGGGGGGGTGGAGGAGGGACGTTGTGGACAGGGGAGTGGGGGAACATGCGGGTGATGATAGGGAGAAGCCGGGGGGGGGGGAGAAGGGGGAGGTGGTATGAAGTGGGCAAGGGTGACGCACGGGCAGAGCGCGGCGGTACTAAGGGCAGGGAGACGGGAGGCTGGGGGGAGAAAAGCCTGCTTGGGGGCGTGGTGGGGGATAAGGGGAAAGGGGCGGTAATGCTGGTGGGCGAAAGGGGAGGGTGTGGTGCAGTATGATGAAACAGAATGGGGGGGTGGCGGACTGGATGGGGCCCTGGAGGGTTGGGAGAACAAAGTGTAAGCTGCCTTTCTGATTTTTTTTCTGGTTTTTTTCCGATTTATATGAATAATTTTATTTTTCTTTGAAGTTGTTTCCCCTTATTTCCTACGGTTTCCAGAGACAGGGCGGCCTCTGCTAGCTAAGCGCCGTTAGGGAAAGAGGTTAGGTGGCGGGGTGGCTAAAGCGCGCGTGTGAGGGGGAAAGGGGCGGTGTGAGCAGGAAGGTGAATATGTGGGTGGCGACGGGGTAAGATTACGACGTGTGGGTGGCATGCACGAGTGCGCGACGAGGCATGGCAGGGTGGGAGTGAGCAAAGGGGGAGTGGGGCAGCCTGTGTGCCCAACGTGGGCGGCTAAAACGCTCTAGGCAGAAAACGCGCTTCGGGAGGCGCGCAAGGGGAGGGCTGCTTAATCGCTACGAATGTAGCAATTTCGCCTCCCTCCGCGCTGCCTTTCCCTGGCGGTAAGCGCTCCGTGCGCGGTTCTGTCTACGTCGCGGCTAGATTGAACGGGCGGGGAAAATGAGTGCGTGACTAAACATGACAGGCGACGAGAAAGCGTGCTTGAAAACGCGCGGCTCTTCGAATTAGGGTTTCGATAAAGAAGGGCGCACTGAAAGGGAAGGAAGAATGCTAACTACGGGCGGAAGCTAAGCTCAGTGACTTCGAGAGAGGGAAACCGTGGGAAGAAAATCGGTAGTAGCTAATCGCTTCTGGCCCCTAGGGTCAGATTGTGTGAGTGTTTTCGCTTGGTCAGGTGTATGTTGTTTCTTCCTGACTGTTGAAGTGGGGGGAGTGGGAGAGTAGGGGGTGGCTCGGCTGCGGGACCTCCCAGATCGCCGAGGGGCTCCCGGGTCTGCCTTTCCCCCACTCGCGGGGTGCTGGGGCATTGTTACAGAGGCAGCATGCCTGGCGGTGGCGGTGTGAGTTGCTGGAGTTGGCTCAAGAGGGCGTCAAAGGGGGAAGGAACTCCCTGGCAGAGGCCGGGGTGCGGGGGGTTAGCTTGGGGAAAGGGGAAAAGGGTGGGGAAAGCGGTGCGCAGTGGGTGGAAGAGAGGGTAGAGGGGGCCTGACAGTTGGAGGGGATTGGGGCCCAAGGGGGGGGCGGGCTGGGGGCCGGTTGAGAGGGGAAGTGTTGGCGGGCTGTAGTGGAGGTGGGGGGGCGGGGGTGATGTAGCGGGGGGTGAGCAGGGTGTGGGGACAGGTGGTGGGCCGGAGGTGGGGAGGGCAGGGCAGAATTCCACGGGAGGTGGGGGTGGGCAGGTGGAGCCAAGTGGGAAAGGAAGGGTGGGGAACAGAGAGGAAGGGGCAAAGGGTAGTGGGTAGTCGAGTTGGCGTGAGCCTGGTAGCGGGTAATGAGAAGGTTGGGAGGCGGGGGGTGAGAACGTGGGAGGGCAGAGAGGGCACCGAAAGGAGGCGCTGTGGTAAATGCAGAATAGGATGCGGGGCTGGGAAACAGGGGACAGAGGGAATTGGGGAAACGATGAAGGGTGATAACTGCGGATGGGCGAGCCCCAAGGGGGAGGAAATATGGAGGGTGTTGGAGAAGGGGGAGACTGGGGGGGGTTGAGGTAGGGTGTTGGAGGGCACAAGGGGCAGGAACAGGGGGTGCAAAGGTTGGCTGGGGGAGGGAGAGGCGGTACTGGGCTGGGTGACCTCCCGGGAAGTCCTCGTGTTGTACCCATTTATGCCCCTTGCTCGGCACGTGCCGGGGGAGGGGCAAGCGGGAAAAAGAAAGGACGATTTCAGCGCGTCCGATTTTTTATTTCCGTTTTTTTGCCCGAACAACGACCCAGCGGGGTGGGGGGATCCCCGGGGAGGCTTGCCCGTGCGAAGAAACGCCCCGTGCGCACCACCGTTGGGCGGTTGGAAGCCGCACACGGTCGCGGGGGTGGAGAGCGGAAACGGGCAGCCGGGGGAGGGTGGGGGCGGTTGGATGGGACTGGGGTGTACGGGGGGCAGGGGAGTTGAGGGGGCAAGGGGAGGGGCAGCAACGGGCAGGGGCTGGGCCAGCTGAGGGCACGGAAAAGGGGCGGGCAGAGGGTGAGCAGAGGGGCGAGCGATGCAAGGGAGGCACCATAGGGGGGAAACCAGTTGCACGGAGGTGGGAGGTGAGGGGCGTGCGAGGGGGTGGGAAAGGGGCAGGGAGGGGCAGAATGGGAGGATGTGGGTGGGGGGTGGGGGAGGGGAGTGTGCGTGTGTGTGTGTGAGAAAGAGAGAGAGGGAAAGGGAGGGGGGGAGAGAAGGGTGGGAGGGGGGCTGGTGGTGGGGATGGGCTGATGGTGGTAAGAGGGCAGCAGGGATGGGGAGAAGGGAGCGTAACGAGGGGAGAGCAAAGGGCAGGGGGGGAGGAAGGGAGGGGCAGGGAGGGAAGAGGCTGAACGTACAAAGGGGGGGAAACGAGGGGCATGGATGGTAGGAAACAAGGGCAGGGGTGCGGGAAATCAAGGGCAGGGAGGGGAGAAGCAATGGGTGAGGGGAAAACAAGGGAGGGGCAGAGGGGGTGGGCAGGGAGGGAAGAAACGTGGGGCAGGGAGGGGAGAAGCCAAAGACAGGGGCATGGGCAGGCGCGGGCAGGGAGGGAGCAGAGGAGAGGCACGGAGAAAGAAAGGGAGGCGCGGGGAGGGGAGAAACCGGGCGTGGGGGGGCGGAAAACGAGGGGCAGGGCGGGGAGGAGGGAGGGGCAGGGAGGGGAGAAGCTGAGCACACAGAGGGGGGAAAGGTGGGGCAGGGAGGTAGGAAGCCAAGGGCAAGGGGGGGAGAGTGGGGGGGCAGGGAGAGGGGGGAGGTGGGGGGCGGAGAAAGGCGGCGAGGGGCAGGGAGGGGAGAAACCAAGCATAGGGGGGCGAGATACGAGGGGCAGGGTGCGGATTGAGGAGGGGCAGGGAGTGGAGTGGGTCGGCGAGGGGAAGGAAGAGGCGTGCAGCAGAGGAGGGGAGGGGGGAGGAGAAGGTAAGCGAGGGGAGCGCACGGGCGGGGAGGAGCGAATGGCGGGCGGTGGGAAACGGCGAGGGGGGCAGGGAGGGTCAAAAGAGGCGGCAAGGGAGCGGGCACGCGGAGGGTAGGGGCGGGGGGAGCGGATGGCATGAGGGGGCAGGGGGTGTGACTATGAAGGGGGGACCCGGGCAAGGGGTGTGTACCGGTCGGGGCACGGGGTTGACGTGGTACGATCATACCTCGGCTACTACGCCGGATCCCATCAGAACTCCGAAGCTAAGCGCCGGTGGGCGAGAGCAGTTATTCATTAATAAGGGAAGAGCAAATACAAGCCGAATATAATGGTTTTTCCAAGACTAGGAAATTTCGACATAGCCTAATCGCTATGAGGACGGTCTCGCTATGGGCGAGAGCAGTACTGGGCTGGGTGACCTCCCGGGAAGTCCTCGTGTTGTACCCATTTATGCCCCTTGCTCGGCACGTGCCGGGGGAGGGGCAAGCGGGAAAAAGAAAGGACGATTTCAGCGCGTCCGATTTTTTCATTTTCGTTTTTTTGCCCGAACAACGACCCAGCGGGGTGGGGGGCCCCCGGGGAGGCTTGCCCGTGCGAAGAAACGCCCCGTGCGCACCACCGTTGGGCGGTTGGAAGTCGCACACGGTCGCGGGGGTGGAGAGCGGAAACGGGCAGCCGGGGGAGGGTGGGGGCGGTTGGATGGGACTGGGGTGTACGGGGGGCAGGGGAGTTGAGGGGGCAAGGGGAGGGGCAGCAACGGGCAGGGGCTGGGCCAGCTGAGGGCACGGAAAAGGGGCGGGCAGAGGGTGAGCAGAGGGGCGAGCGATGCAAGGGAGGCACCATAGGGGGGGAAACCAGTTGCACGGAGGTGGGAGGTGAGGGGCGTGCGAGGGGGTGGGAAAGGGGCAGGGAGGGGCAGAATGGGAGGATGTGGGTGGGGGGTGGGGGAGGGGAGTGTGCGTGTGTGTGTGTGAGAAAGAGAGAGAGGGAAAGGGAGGGGGGGAGAGAAGGGTGGGAGGGGGGCTGGTGGTGGGGATGGGCTGATGGTGGTAAGAGGGCAGCAGGGATGGGGAGAAGGGAGCGTAACGAGGGGAGAGCAAAGGGCAGGGGGGGAGGAAGGGAGGGGCAGGGAGGGAAGAGGCTGAACGTACAAAGGGGGGGAAACGAGGGGCATGGATGGTAGGAAACAAGGGCAGGGGTGCGGGAAATCAAGGGCAGGGAGGGGAGAAGCAATGGGTGAGGGGAAAACAAGGGAGGGGCAGAGGGGGTGGGCAGGGAGGGAAGAAACGTGGGGCAGGGAGGGGAGAAGCCAAAGACAGGGGCATGGGCAGGCGGGGGCAGGGAGGGAGCAGAGGAGAGGCACGGAGAAAGAAAGGGAGGCGCGGGGAGGGGAGAAACCGGGCGTGGGGGGGCGGAAAACGAGGGGCAGGGCGGGGAGGAGGGAGGGGCAGGGAGGGGAGAAGCTGAGCACACAGAGGGGGGAAAGGTGGGGCAGGGAGGTAGGAAGCCAAGGGCAAGGGTGGGAGAGTGGGGGGGCAGGGAGAGGGGGGAGGTGGGGGGCGGAGAAAGGCGGCGAGGGGCAGGGAGGGGAGAAACCAAGCATAGGGGGGCGAGATACGAGGGGCAGGGTGCGGATTGAGGAGGGGCAGGGAGTGGAGTGGGTCGGCGAGGGGAAGGAAGAGGCGTGCAGCAGAGGAGGGGAGGGGGGAGGAGAAGGTAAACGAGGGGAGCGCACGGGCGGGGAGGAGCGAATGGCGGGCGGTGGGAAACGGCGAGGGGGGCAGGGAGGGTCAAAAGAGGCGGCAAGGGAGCGGGCACGCGGAGGGTAGGGGCGGGGGGAGCGGATGGCATGAGGGGGCAGGGGGTGTGACTATGAAGGGGGGACCCGGGCAAGGGGTGTGTACCGGTCGGGGCACGGGGTTGACGTGGTACGATCATACCTCGGCTACTACGCCGGATCCCATCAGAACTCCGAAGCTAAGCGCCGGTGGGCGAGAGCAGTTATTCATTAATACGGGAAGAGCAAATACAAGCCGAATATAATGGTTTTTCCAAGACTAGGAAATTTCGACATAGCCTAAGCGCTATGAGGACGGTATATATATTTTGTAGGAAAAGGGGGAAAGAAAGGAAAGGAAGGAAAGATGAAGGAGTAAGAAGAAGTGGTAGGGAAAGGAAGAGGGTGGTAGGAAGAGAAGGGAAGGATAGACGAAGGGAACAGAAAGAGGGAGGTGGGAAGAGAAGAGGAGAGAGAGAGAGAGACTAAGGAGGAGGAAGCACCAAAGGACCAAACACGGCAGCAACCCGCACGACCGCACGGGCACAGCGTTTCAAGCACAGCCACTATTTTTTTTTTACACATATGCATCATATATATACTGCATATCAGCCACACTCTCGAAGCACCCTGTGACGTGGTGCCAAGTTCCATGCCCCGCACCCAGTTGGACTGGTGCGGGCATCCACCCGTCGTCGGACCTCCCTAACTGCCGCACCGCATGCTGGATCATGCATTGAGCCTGCGCGCGCTGCAGTGCAACGGAGAGGCGTGTAGTGAGTCCTGCCTCAAATATCCGTGCCGATCCGTCATCCCCCCCACCTCTATCCCTCCTCCGCTGTGCTATCCTCTTTGCGCAGAGCCCCAGAAACTGACGCAGCGGCTCACTCAGAAGGCCAAAGGTCTCCGCCACGCACGCGTAAAAGTGTGGTGCCGGCTGCAGCCCCTCTAAGTGCGGCCCCCAGTGACGCAGCTTCTCCTGCACCCGCCTAGCTGCTGCCACTCCAATCTGTGTGGGGGTCGCCCGTCTCAGCTGCACGTTCCCCTCCCGCTGTGGATCCGCTATGGAGACATCCACAAGAACCATCAGACCCTGGCCAACGTCGCGGCAGGTGAGGTCTGGAATGCGGGAGGCGGTGCCTACACGGCCTGTGCGTCCGACTGGTCCCTGCTGTTGCGCTGGCTGCTGCCCTGTCTGGTCCCTTGGTGCCCCCTCTCCGATCGTCTCTCTCCCCCTCTCCTCTCCTCCATCCACCTGTCCTCTCCCCTCCCCCTCCCTACCCTCCCCCAAACCTCCCGACCCCCCTGCTCCATCCCCTGCTGCCTCTCTCACTCCCTGGGCCTCCCCTCCCAATCCCGCTGCCCCTCCTGTACCTCCGTCCGCTCTCTGCTGCTCCCGCCCCTGCCCCGCCCCCGAGGCCGAACCTGGAGGCGCGGCGCCCTGGGCTCGCGGCCTCCACTGGCTCTCCTGCTGCTGCCTGTGCCGTCCCCCCTCCCCGTCCTGGCCCGTCTGCTCCCCCTGCCGTCCCCTCTGCCCACCTGTCCCTCGCTCCACCTGACCCCGCAGCTGGTGCCGTCCCCACTGTCCCCCGCCACCCGGCTGTCCCGCCTCGCCTCTCCGCTCCCCCGGACCCTCAGCCCGTGTCCCCTCTCCCACCACTGGCTGTCCCAGTAGTCTCGCTCGAGCCGCCTCCAACTGTGTGAACAGCGTAGAGTCCTCCACCTTTACCGCGAAGCCCGCCTCGACCGCAAAGTCTCGAAGCATGTACTTCACCGTGTCGTGGATGGTAGTGGCGACCCCGTAACGCGGGCACCGAACCGCGTGATGAGGCACCGTCATGTCGTCAATCGCCTGTCCGCAGGAGCACTGACCTGCAAGGGCTAACTGGGGGATAGGGAGACCAAGACGAGAAGATGAAGCCGCCTGCCACAGCGCCTCCGGGATGCGCAGTGGGTCGGCGTACGGCACCGACGTCAACCACGCTCCTGCACCTCCGCCCTGAAGGGAAGTCAAACGGGCAAGGTGCAAGGGAGAGGCGTGACGGGCACGCACGGCCTCCAAGGCATGCGCCTCCAGAAGACGGCTCGCTCCTGCAAAAAGGGAATCGGGGGAGGCAGAAGCGCAAGAGGGCCAGGGGGAAGGAGAGAGAGAACGTCAGGTGGGAGACCCTCTAGCGCCGTCTGCAGAGCCCGGTCGATCTGCTCTGGCTCACCTGAAGCGAAGCTCTGCCGAAACACCTCGCCACACGCAGGGAGAGAACAGAGAATGGGTGCACACTGCACCCAGGAGCACACGAAACTCACCGGGGCAATGCGCGCCATGCGACGAATGCCGAAACCCCCGAGACGGATGGGGAGGAAGATCTGGTCTAGGGCGGCCTCTCGGACGTCCTCGCGACAAGCCCAGGTCCCTGAAGCTAAAAGCTGCTGAAAAGTCTCTCCCAGGCGTGCGTCCCACCGTGTAAAACTGGAGATCACTGCGGGCGAAGGAGGGACGGTCCTCGACAGGTACTGCGGACGAGTGCTGACACACGCCGAAAGAAGGCGGGCAGCTGTCTGGGGCTGGCGCAACCTCGGAAGCCAAGGTAGCACCCGCCCCATCCTCTCGAGACGATCCGGGAGACTCTGCTCCACGAACGAAACGGTGCCTACCGGTACGCCTGTCACGGTGAGCCCTCGGCGTGCGACCTCGATCCCTAGGCCCGTGAAAGCCTCCAGATCCCTGGACAGAAAGGACTCTGTCTGGTAGACGAGGCACTTGTGCGGCTGGGCTGCAAGGCCCATCTCGCCCAAGCGCCTCACGATCTCGGCAAAGTGGTGCAGCACCCTGTCTGGGGGACCTAGCACGTACGTGTCATCGGCGTACGACCAGAGCTGGACATCCCCCTCCGCCAGAACCGGCTCCAAAGCAAGACGCTGTGTCAGAGCGTACAAGAAGGGGCTGAGAGGGTCTCCCTGGCGAGTGCCCCGCTCCGAGTGCATCGTGACCACTCCCGTGCCTGACCTGTAGTGGAGATCCGAGGGCGTCCCGTAGAAGAGGCCGATGAAGGGGATCAGACACTGAAACTCCGGGCTGGCCTGCAGCGCCTGAAACATCCTGTCTCGGTGGAAAGAGTTAAAGGCATTCGCCACGTCTAGCTGCAGGACCACCCAGTCTGGGTGGTCAGCCAGAGCGCGGCGGACGCCTCTAACTACGACCTCTGTCCCGCACGTAACCCCCACCCCAAACTGCTGTGATGCCAAGAAGACCCTCGCCATCTAGTCACGTAGCTGGAGACAAACTGCCCGAGAAAGAATGCGGACCAAAACCTCGCCGATGGCAATCGGCCGAACATCCATGTTCGACTTCGCCAGAGCCACGAGGGTGGAAGACGCTAGCAAGGAGCGCGCAGCTGGAGCGCAACGGCCTCGGAGCCACTGCTGGTACACGGCCAGGAGGAAATGGAGACTCTGAGGGAAAGCTAGGAAAGTGTCTCGCAGGTGCTCAGCGACCCAACCGGACGGTCCTCCCGAAGAGCCCCGCGGAGCTGTGAAAATCGCGCGGCGTAAGTGATCCACCGAGAGCACGAGAGGGGACCCCTGGAAGCCAGACAGCCAAGCTGGGGTCGGCCTCTCCGCGTTGGGGTGCTTCGACTGTAGGCGCTGTATCGTCCCCTGTGTATCTGGGGCTGCCTCCGCGGACTCGAGAGCCGCGCACGCCCGTGAGGTCTCATTGCACGCTGCCAGACGAAGGCAACGTGCAATGCGGCGCTCATCTGCTGCAGAGGGATCGGTGGCGGTGCGTGACCGGTGACCTGTGCGCGAGGAAGGGGTGTGCGACGGCCTAGTGCATCTGAGACTAGCTCAGCCCACTCACCTCGACCAAAGCGGGAGATGCGCGTTGCAATGGCAGCCGTGTGCGAGCGGTCGGGTGGCGTCGCTGGAACAAGGAAAAGAGTCGGCGCTGCAGCGAGGAGGAAGGTAGGGCCAGCAGCCTCCGGGTCCTGGGCAATGCAGGACTAGGATCGCACTGAGGACGTCAAGATATCCTCCGCGGACCCTCTCCGGGACACGTCGGAGAGGGCGTGTATGGATACGCTCGGGCGAGAAATACTCTGTCCAGTCCACCGAGTCGAGCGTCTGCCACTGTGCGTCGGTGAACTGCATCCCGGTCGCACGGGGCTGTGAGAGGGAAGGGATGATCGAGGCGGTATCATGGGCAGCCTGCGCCCTGCGAGCCGCGTCCGCAGGATGGCAGAAGGGAATGTGGTGCTGGAGCGCGCGTCGGTTCGCGAGAGAGCTCCTGCAGGTGGGGCAACTCACGACCTGGTCAGGTGATGTCGCCGTGTCGGCGGGGTCAATCGGGGCCGTGGCGTCGGAACTGGCTGTAGAGGGGACCCCGTGGGCGGCCTGAGCTCCGAGAGGATCGCCTGGGATGAGGGGAGGAGACGACTCACCAGCCCCGCGCGGGGGGGGGTGTCAGCGAAGATAGAGGTGGTATCGCACAGGATAGGGCCGGGCCTCGTGCCGGTACCGGTGTCGAAGCTGGGGAGGGGGGACGTGGAGGTGAGCCTGAAGTGTGTGCCGTGGTGTGCTCCTGCCCCTCGGCGGGGTGCGGTTCAAGTGACGGCTCTGCTACCCCAGGCGGAGGGGTCTCGGTAGGGGCGGATGCCTCATCCCTACTGCTGGTGACCTCCTGCGCCACGGGCTGAACGGGGGGAGGCGCCACCCCGTCTAGGTGCGAGTGACACGGCCTCAGAACCCGGTCCGTCTCCATTGGGGTCGGGAGTGACGCGCCTGGCTGAGTGGCGGGGGGGATAAAAGAAGGGACAGACCGGGTGACCTCCGCATACGTCCGGGTCTGGTCCTGTGGGACTGGAAGGGTGGGGGCAGCCGGAGAGCTGCTCAGGCGGTGTATCGCCAGCAAATCTGAAATGCCAGCCCTCACCTCCTCTGGGGTCTCGAAGACCTGCCTGCCTGTAGGTGAGAGTAGGAGGGCTGGCAGGGTAGAGGGTGGAGTGGGGCGTGCTGGCTGAGCGGAGCTCGGGTGTGGACCCTGCCCTAGGAGGCCCCCTTGGCCCTCCCCAATCACCATGGGTTGCGGTAGGGGGTCGTCGACATGGAAGGGATGGGAGGGATGGGAGGGAGAGTCGGTGGCGTCTGCCATGGGCGCATCCCTCAACCCGACGGCCTCCCTCCCAGTAGCGATCGCGGCCGTCGCCACCTGGGAGGGGGACACAGCACGGGAGGGGCAGAATGGGGGTGAGTGGGCTGGTCCGCTCCCATGGCCCTGTGGAGGTGCAGGAGCGGGGCGGGAGTGTAGGTTTGGTGGTCGGGCTGTAGAGGTAGGGCCTGGTAAGGGTTCAACGGGATGTGAGGTAGGGAGGGGCTCTTGGTGGGGGAGGGAGGGAGGGGGGAGTACGTGGGCTGACCCTCTGCCTCCTCTGCCCCTGTTCTTCCGCCGGCGGCCAACCTGGTCGTCCGCGCCTGTTTGTGAAGGAAGGGGGGGCTGTGGGGCCAAAGGGGTGGGTGGAGGGAGGATGGGTGGTTCGCCAGGCGGGGGGTGCTCTGTGTGCATCTCCTCTCTCCTCGAAACATCCCCCTCCGTGGGAACAGATCGGGCAAGCTGTGTGTGGGGGGTGATGGCTGCCCAACGGGGCCACTCGTGGGGAACCCGGCCGGGAGAGGGGGTTGGAGGTGGGGGTCGAGGGGCTGGGCCAGTGTGGAGGTTAGAGCGAGGTACAAACGGTGGGGGGAGAGAGATTTGTGTGGGCTCTGTGGTGGCCTCTCCTGTGGGCCCCTCTACCCGGGTGCCGCCGCTCCCATGAGCCTGGGGCGCAAGCCCTTGCGGGTGGGTCTCGGCTGCCTGGGGGGGGTGGTGTGGGGAGGGCAGCCTGTTGGGTGGGCGTGTTGGGGCTGTGCGGCGACTCGGGTGGTTTGGGTGCCTGTAGCGTGTGGGAGAGGGATTTGGCTGCAGAGATGCTTCAACCTCCGAGATGTGTGTACTACCGGGTGGGGGGGGGGCCTGGTGGAGGAGGGGGTAGTGGGCCGGTAGGGGGTGGCTGGGTGTTGGTAGGAGTCGGGGAGCATGGCTCCTCTAGGAAGACCAGAGCCCTGGCTGCTCCACGTGGTGCTCTAAGGAGCCCCTGAGGGTGGGGGCAGAGGTGTGCTGCCCTTGGGGGTGAAGGAAGGAGTGAGGGAAGGGGCGGGGAGGGGTGAGAGGTGAGAGAAGGGGTGCCCTCGGGTGACTCTGCTCTTGTCGCACCCGCGTGCTCTCCCGGTGGACCGCCTGCAACCGTGGGGTCAGGCGTTGGGGACGGAGAGGGGGGCTGGCCATGGAGCAGCGTGGGGGTCGGGGAGCACGGCTCCGCCAAGAAGGCCAGGGCCTTGGCTGCCCCCCCTGGACACTACCGGGACCTGAGGGTGGGGGTGGGGAAGTGGTGCTCCTGGGGGCTGGGTGGGCTGGAGGACGGGAGGTGAGGATGGGGGCTCCCTCGCGCGGCTCTGTCCTCAAGGTCTCCCCCAGCCCCTCCATCGGTCCTTCTGCTAGCATGGGGACGGGCATGGGGGGTAGAGGGGGAACCTCGACGTGAGGCTGCAGGGGGGCCGGGTCGGCCTCACCGTCAAGCGTGAGGTATTGGGCCAGTGGCCCGTCAATGTGCATCACATCCTCTCCCTCATCCTCCTCTATCGCTATCACATCCCCCTCTTTCAGTGCCCACCCGGTCGGGACCACCCTCCCCTCTCCTTCCCCTGTTTGCCCCTATGTCCCCCGAAGCCCACCCCGCCTGCTGCCGCTTTACTGCTAGCCCCTTTTGCAGTCTCTGCCGGCCCTGCCGGCCCTGCTGTGTGTTTCCCGCGTTTGCTGCGGCCCCTGCCGCCCCTACTGGCCGTGCTATGGCCCTCCCTGCTGCTTCAGCCTGCAGCCTCACCTTTTGCCTTTGAGGCCCATGCTGTCCCCTCTCCCACTCTAGCCCCCTGCCGTACCCTCTCTTGCTACAGCCGGGGCGGCACTCTCCCTCGTACCAGTCCCCGTTACCCCCTTCCCCGCTGCAACCCGTAGCACCTCCCCCCTATACCACCCCCACTGTGGCCTCTGTCGCTCCTGCTGCAGTCCTTGCAGCCTCGACTGCTGCAGTCTGTAAAACCTCGCCTACCGTGATCTGGCTCAGCCTCACCAGCCGCGATCCCTGTCAGCCTTGCCCGCTGCTGGTCCCTGCAGCCTCACGTGCTGCAGTCCCTCGCAGCCTCACCCGCTGCAGTCCCTGCGGCCTCACCTGCTGCAGTCTGTGCAGCCTCACCTGCTAGAATCTGCTCAACCTCACATGCTGCGGCCTCTGCAGCCTCACCGGCTGCGGCTATTTCAGCCTCACCTGCTGCGCTCCCTGCGGCCTCACCTGCCCTGGTCCCGCCTGCAGCCTTATCCGCTGTGGTCCCTACCGCCTCACCTGCTGCAGTCCCTGCGGCCTCACCTGTTGCAGTCCCTGCGGCCTCACCAGCTGTAGACTGTGCAGCCTCACCTGCTAGAGGTCTGCCCAACCTTACATGATGCAAGCCCTTGCAGCCTCACCTGCTGCGTCCGCCCGCAGCCTCACCTGCTGCTGGCCCCTGCAGTCCCGCCTGCTGCGCTCCCTGCAGCCTCGCCTGCTGCGCTCCCTGCAGCCTCGCTTGCTGCGCTCCCTGCGGCCTCACCTGCTGCGCTCTCTGCAGCCTCACCTGCTGCGCCCCCTACAGCCTCACCTGCTGCGCTCCCTGCAGCCTCACCTACTGCGCTCCCTGCGGCCTCACCTGCCCATGGTCCCTCCTGCAGCCTCACCCGTTGTGATCCCTGCAGCCACACCTGCTGTGGTCTGTGCGGCCTCACCTGGTACGGTCCCTATAGCCTCCTCTGCTGCGGTTCCCCCAGCCGACACAGCAGCAGGTTCCGTGGCCCCTACTCCTGCAAAACCTGTCTCCATGGCCTCTGCCCTTGCCTGGCCAGAGTCACGGTCCCTGCCGCCCCCTTCCCGTGCAGCCCTGCCGCCCTTTCCCGTGCAGCCGCTGCTGCCCCTTCCCTTGCAGCCTCTGGCCCTTTCCTCTGCAGCCTCTGCTGCCCCTTCCCCACAACCCCCATTGCCCCTTCCCGTGCAGCCTTTGCTGCCCCATCCTCTGCAGCCTCTGCTGCTCCTTCACACACAAACTCACTTACCCCTTCCCGTGCAGTGTCAGCTGCAAGTTCCCCCTGGCTCTGCCCTCTCCCGCTTCTATGTGCTTGGGGGGTGCGGGTAGGATTAAGTGTTTTCACAAGTAATCTGGTTTGCGAATGGGAGGTAGCGAGTGAGTTGGAGGATCTCTCTACTGAGCATGCATGGGTGCCGCCCCGCTGTCACCTGAAGGGGGGTAGGCTGGGATGGGGCAGGGGGGTAGGGCGCGGTTTTGAGCGTGCTGGCTCCTCCTCGTGTATTTCCTCCAGTGGGGCTTGGCGTTCCTCTGTTCCATCCTCTTCAAGGGTACGCTTCTGGCCCCTAGGGTCAGAT